AAAAAAAAAAAAAAAAAAAAAAAAAAAAAAAAAAAAAAAAAAAAAAAAAAAAAAAAAAAAAAAAAAAAAAAAAAAAAAAAAAAAAAAAAAACAGGAAAAAGAGAAAAACGAAAAAGAAAAAAGAAAAAAAAGGTAATAGCCGGCAATCATACGGCCATCCCTATTCAAGTTCATGCACAAGGCGATCTGGTCGCTGATTGAATCTCTGTCCCGCCTGCAACGAGCCAGGAACTTCGGCAATGTCACTGGCCCTTGACCAGCGATTCTGGTGCGGTGACATGGGGTCCTCCTCTTGAGTCGACTTTTGATCGTTAGACAGACTTGTCTGCTGTTGGAGATATGAGTCGGATACACATCCTGATACTGAGTCCCTCTTCTGCTTTTCCAGATCCGCCTTGATGACCAACCGGTCCACGAGCACCGCATGGGCCTTTTTGAGTGTCCGTTTAACAAAGCCTGTGGCCCAAATCTGCGACCGCATGTTCACATCTTCGCGAAGGTACAGCCCTTCACGGGGGGCATCGGGAATGCCTAGTTCGACGGGCTCTCGCGGCTCTCCCGGCATATTCCCACATACAGACCATTTTTCTCGGATGTCCAAACCGGTTGGGGCATAGACATGCGTCTGGAGGCCCCGCGGAAGATCATAAAAGCACCCTGAGTAGGACACATTGCCCTGGACAAGCCCGCCTGGTAGATACGAGATACGGTCGGTCATCTCGTACCAGGTACAATGAAATTCATCCGCAGGCGAAAAGCCGGGCGGGCGACAAGGCTGATGACGGATCACCAAAGGATTCAGTTCAATCATTTCCGAATGGTTGTGGAGGGCTTCTACGACCGTCTCCCGCGTGATATAGGGTGGGAGCGGGGTGATGTTGGTGAAAACGCTTCGTTTGTACATCCTTTCGACTCAGTGGGATCTCAGCAAAGATAGTAGTCCAGGTACAAGAACGACGGAGAAGAGGGATCCGCATCTGTTCGCGAATATATGCCATGATGACCGAACGGATGAGGTTTCTCTTGCCTCTCGTGTTTGCCGAAACCTTAAATGTTGGCGATGAAGTGGCTGAGCCCAAGGCCACAGCTTCTCATTGGTCACCGTTGTCCTCGTATACATGGGAAAGGCGTCCCAAATTGATCTGGCATTTGGAGGAGAGGTAAGGTACAACGGGCGTGAATAAACCTCATGTCCACGCCCATGCCGGAGGGAACATTTCGCCCAACTCTTGCCCACCTCGGCCCCGTACCTGGAGCTTATTACTTCTTCAGTCACGTTCGAGGGCATTGTATGACCGGATGAGATGATCTCGAAAGGGGAACATGGACTGAACGAGATTCGCCTGGTATATACAGGCGTTCTTGCCATGAAGATATGGAAAGTCAAGTAAAGCCTCACATGAGGTCCAATTGGGCCAGTGGAGCACGTGACCAAAGAAACAGAACTGCAGTGTGTCACAAATGATCTACTGAAAACTCGGTATGCGTTTCCATGCTGTTTGCTGGGTCGATCTGGAGAGGCTCTATTTCTCGTCTTCTCTTCATGCAATGTAAATCTCGCAATCAACTGGATTGGGTTGTAGCTCTGCAGATGCATAAATCCAACTGCCTATGCTTGGGGACAGGTAAAGCGACGGCATACCCACAGACCCACGGTATGTTCATACGGCTTGGGGCAGGGTTACATCGGGTGATATTGAGGCCCACATAGTGCAATATGCGTTATCTCGCAGACGGTGTGGGATGAACGGTATGGACCAGCCGGACAACGCCATCCGTGCTAAGCCCTAACTAACTTAGTCGTAGTGCTTAGCTACGCATGCTAAGACGCTTCCCCATGGCAAGCTTATCTTTCTTCTTGTTGCGTGATAGGTCCTTTGTTATCTCTCCTCATGCTAGTTAATATCTTGTGCCAACTGATTGTCTCCGTCATTGGATGTGGCCTGCCACCCCGCTTTGCTTAATATATCTCTAGTTACATCCGAGCCAACAAAGGGAAACAAGAGAATGAGTGCTTTAAAGAGGCCCCGGCTACCGCTGATCCGTTCCAGACACGGTCGCTTGTCCCCTTTTTTGTTTTTTCGTTTGTCTCTTGTATGCTGCTCCTATAGAGGCAGTTCCTCACAATGGGTACGTTTGGCGTTCGGTCTTGAATCTGTCCACTTGCATAGTTTCCCGTGACCAGATTGTTAACATACATCCAGCGTCCCAAGAGCGTTATGACGAAAAGGTCGAGATTCCCGCCATAGAGGAAACGTCGCCTTCTGCGGGAGAGTACGAGGAGAACGAGCCCACTGAGGAAGAGTTGGCGACCCTGCGACGTGTGCCGGGGAATCTCCCCCTGGTAGCCTATCTCATCTGTGCGGTCGAGTTCTCCGAGCGAGCTTCGTACTTGGGCGTTTCGGGCCTCATCTCCAACTTCGTCAATCGTCCATTGCCCGTCGGTGGCAATGGCTACGGTGCACCCCCACAGGGAACACAACAGACGGCCGGCGCCCTGGGCATGGGCACTGTGAAGGCAAACGCCGTCAACCAGTCGTTCAGTATGCTGGCATATGTCCTTCCCATGCTGTTCGGTTATCTAGCCGACGCTCATACGGGCCGCTTTAAGATGATCTTCTGGGGTGTCTTCGTCTTTGGTGTCGCTCATGTCCTAATGGTTGGGGCGACCGCCCCAGCACTACTTGCCAATGGGGGTGCTAAAGCGCCTTTCTTCATTTCTTTGTATATGTTGTCGGTCGGTGCGGGTATGTTCTACCTCTTATACCGTTACTGATGTTCATCACTAATAATCACAGCCATGTTCAAGCCCAATGTCTCCCCCCTGCTGTTGGATCAGATGCCCACGACGAAGGCAAGGACCAAGCTGCTGTCCAGTGGCGAGAAGGTTATCGTCGACCCTGAGGTCACGACGGAGCGTGCGATGTTGTGGTTCTATCTTCTTATCAACATCGGTGGCTTCATGCAGGTCGCAACCTCCTATGCTGAGAAATATGTCGGGTGGTGGTTGGCCTTTATCCTGCCGCTATTCTTGTATCTTCCGCTTCCTGCCCTCCTGGTATGTCATGATGAAATACCCTATAACCGATCTGCCACCAATACTAATCTGGTGTTAGTTCTGGCTGCGGAAACGTCTTGTTTTACACCCCCCCGGTGGCAGCGACCTGCTCAATGTCGTTCGTGTACTGCGCATCTGCCTTGCTCGTGGCGGCGTGTTGCGCATTGGACGCCATGGCTTCTGGGATGCGGCCAAGCCGTCAGTAATCGCAGCCAAGGGCCAGCGCTTCACGACTCATTGGAACGACCAATTTGTTGAAGACGTCCGCCGCGCATTCCAGGCGACAGGAATCTTTTGCTTCTTCCCAATCCAGTTCATCAATGACAACGGGTTGGGTAACGCGGCAAGCTTTTTGTCCACCATGTTGACGACGAACGGCGTGCCAAACGATGTTATTAGCAACTTCAACGCTCTTAGTATCATCGTGGGCGCCCCGGTCCTCAACTACATGCTCTACCCGTTGCTTCGTCGTCTCCACATTCGATATGGCCCTGTGGCTCGGATCACGACGGGACTGGCCTTGTCTTCCATAGGCGGCGTCGGCTACACGGTGCTCAACTACTACGCCTACAAGCTTGGACCTTGTGGCAAGTACGGTTCTTCCGACACATGCGTGGATGCGGACGGAGTTTCATTGGTGGCACCGATCAGCATTTGGGTATGTATTCTTGTTTCCATCCCCCCCTTCATTCGGTCGACGGAGTTGTTGCTTGCTAACGGAATATCAGTGGATGGCCATACCATATGCACTGGGTGGTATCTCCGAACTGTTTGTCAATGTACCAGCCTACGGTATCGCCTATTCCCGCGCTCCCAAGAACATGCGTGGCGTAGTCTCAGCCATCAACCTACTTAACACCGCAGTTGCTTATGCCATAGGGCTCGCATGCTCTGCCGTTGTCAGGGATCCTTACCTTACCTGGGTATTCGGCGGTCCCTCAATCGTGGGTGGTGTTCTCACTGTGATTTTCTACTTCATGTTCCGCCATATTGACAAGGAAGAATACATGCTAAGCGAGGATGCCGAGCGCGTTCTAGAGCTTGAGGGTACTGGAAACACGTTCACTGAAAACTCCTATAACAAAACAACCAACCCAACACCTGCGATTGCCGAAAATGAAGAGTATGGGATCTCGCCAAAACAGTGACGCAGGAACAAACCAGGGTGTTGCAGCTCCGACCTGACGGGCTTGGCCGTCATGGTGTGTTACCATGATACTGTGATTGAGGATCGTGGCGGTAATTGCTTCCTGTACGCAATTATCTTCTGCTAGCCCTTGTAGCTTGAAATGATTCCTGTTATTTGCAGAACAACTTCATGACGTATAATATTGTAATAACTAGGCCGGCCAGGAGGATGATCCGCCCCGTAAGCGAAGCTACCAAGCACACTGCCCTCCCATCTTAACATCTACTATATAAGAAGTCGAGACGATATTCCCCCCTGGCTCATCTCCATATCTTATAACCTGTTTGTGATGATATCTCCACATAGAACGATGCCGCCATCGGTGATTCAAGCTGTCAATCAGCTGGGGTGGAATCTGATAACCCACCTATGTGTCAAGAGGGATTCATCAGCGGCCATCGCTGTATCCCCTTTGGCGATCACTATCGCACTAGGCATGCTCGCAGGAGGGGCAGACAAAGCGAGATGCAAAGAGGTCTGCGAAAAGCTTGGGTTAGACGATCCTGAAGAGTTGATACCTGTCCTTTCGACAATTCAGGATACCTTGACCGGCGCGTTTGATCGTTGAAGGCGGTTCACTACCGCAAATGCAATGTTGGCGGACAGCTCGACCGATATCGCGCCTACTTACGTCGAATATCTTAGATGCTTCGGTGCACACTTGGATCATAGTTTTGCTCGCCTGGAAGACGGAACAGACTGTATGAATGCCTGGGTATCTGAACACACGAATGGGTTGATCCCATGTATGCTGAACAGCCAGACCCTCGCCCATGCCAACATAGTCTTAGTAAATGCACTTGTGTTCAAAGCCGCATGGCAGAAGAGATTCGATCGGAAGAATACTCTCAAGGACTTTCCCTTCCATGTATCCACTCATCGAACTTGTCCTGTCGAAATGATGCTCCTGCATCGTCACGAAATTCTGATCTCGCGAGACAGGACCTATACAGCCATTCGGCTTCCTTATACCTCAAGTGCCTCGTCCCAATTGGCTTTTATCGCATATTTACCGACCGATGCCAGCTCTCTGCTCCATACGTTACAAGCATTGCGCCGCGACGGACCTCCGCGCCGCTTCGAACCAACAAAGCTACTGCAATTTGGCCTCCCAAAGATTAATCTTCGTGTCAGGAGGGCATTGTCGAATCGCTTTGTGACCTGGCATATCCGATATCCGGAACATTTCCGGGCATTTCCGCTGGTGTCATGGTTCAACATATCATACACAGTGTTGCTATCCTGCTGGACGAGGACGGCACGGAGTCCGCAGCTGCTACAGCGGTGGTAACGGGACGAGGTGGTCGTTCGACCTATCTACCTAGTGTGGTGTTTGACAGGCCATTTGTGTTTTCGATTGTGGCTGAGGACATGGACCTTGTTCTATTCACCGGTATTTTTACGGTTGGATAAGTCTGCTACCTCCTAGTATTGAAATCTGTCTTTGTCTTGAGCGCTCTTCTTGCAATATGAGGTGATAGCCCGTTCGTTGTTTTCAAAATCAGTCGCATGAATGAAGTGATCCATCTTTTCAAACATGACGTTGTTGTAGAAGCTCTGGGAATGATTTTGACATTCCATAATCGATAAGCAGACACTGTGGTACCCAAGCCTGATATAACCAAGGCCTTGAGTCATCGACAATAGATAGAGATACTTTGTTCTGAACTAATAAGGGTTTTCATCTGCGGGTAATGTGCTGGATATCTCACAACGGTATTCCTCCAAAAGATCGCATCTGGTCTGTCTCAAACCCACTGCGGATGTCAATTGTGCGTTGTTCAAAATATCAGATGTCCATTACTGAGTGCGTTGATGATAGCAATTCCTTCCACCTGTCTTTGTTCGTCACTCGGTGCAGTCTCAGTTAGGGCTTGTTCAATAGCATCCAATAGGTCAGTCCATCTTCTCGCGCAAGTCATACTTGCCTCCTGAATTATACAGCACCAACTTTCGTCACATACGATTATCATGGCCATCGTTGTCGGGCGAAAAGTTAAGATACAGAGCAATTTCATGTAGGATGTTATCCTTCTATTGGCTGTTATTCACCAGTAATCGTCTACCCGCAATGAAAGATTGCGAGTTTCTCCATCGTGCTCCAAATACTAGCTCTATAACCAGGCATTACCGATGCCGAGACAATAGAGAAAAGATGTGTCGAACAAAGAGGACTACTTGTAGATGACTGAAATAATTCTGAAGACGTGGTTGACATCTCAATTAGTTACTAAAGAGGCCCTTCGTTGTTGTCGTTGACAAAAAAAAGAATTGGTACAGTTCTACCTTGCTATATATTTTGGCGGTGATGGCCGCCCTGGTCAGACCCAAATGGGGGAAAGAAGCACGAATGTAGGACCCTCAATGCTTTATAGGTAACAAGTGTTGGAAAACCAATTTCTTGATTGAGATGTGTGTTGAGAGTTGATTATCCTTATGTAGGTGCGAGATGAAAGTCCTCTACTCTAAGGCTGAAGGTTAAACGTGGATCCTTACGGATCTTCCGGGGCGCTGCCGTGGGTTAAAGCAATGTAGGTAAGCATAGTACTGATATGACAACAGCTAGGTGACATTACGTGACCCAAAGAAATCTATTTCCTGGCATTGGCGAGATCTAACTGGTGAAGGTGTCGAATAGTTACTACGTGCTGGCGTTGTATCAGATAAGATCTCTGCTCGGCGCCTCGGAGGGCATCCCACCACCGAGCCTTGGCGTGACAAAAGGAATCCTGCAAGGACCCCAAGTGGGGGAAGTAAAAAGGTTCTAGACCCGAGGCTAAGCGAATTTCTGTCATGCAAGGCAGCAATGAAGTGAAATCCGTTCGTCGGAGCGCCGGGAAGGCATTTCACCAGGACCAAGAATGGAATTGGAGTAGTGAACATGGGTTGGAATCCATCAGGAAGAATTCGTCATCAGCAAGGGGCACAGGAGAGGGAGCCAAGCCTCATCCCTCCAACCAAAAAAAAAAAAAAAAAAGCACGAGAAAATAACGAAAGAAGCCAAAAGACACTCATTTCCACTCATTCTCGTCATGTGAACGTGCGTATCATGGGGCCAGTGGCAATATCATCCTTCAAGGGTACTCAAAATTGGATATGGGATAGTCAACAGGCTGGTCGGCCTCAAGTAACACTCGTACACAACCCTCATCGCCCGCATGAACCGCGAGGTGCAGTGGAAGCCAGCCTGCCGCATTGGTGAGGGTGGGATCAGCCCCCCGTTGGAGGAGCTCAGCCACCATCGTGTAATTGCCATTTATGACTCCGACATGGAGAGCCGTAGCTCCTTCGCTGTTGACTGCGTTGGGGTCCGCTCCATGGCCCAGGAGAAGTCGCATCACCGCGAAATTGCCCCTCGAGACTGCCATATGTAGCGCCGTGGTCCATCGCGGATGTGCCTGTGCCGGAAATGGCGTTCTGCAATGTTGTGGGACTTGATAAGATGGAAGGCCTGGTGAACTCATCTGGTCACCATCTGTGGACGAGGGTAACGTGCAGGCTCCGGGCGATGTGTCATTTAAGCCAGACCTCATACTCCGTAGGTTTGACGCTCGAGGAAGATTGTTGTCGTCGGTGATTGGGATTTGAGCCTCACGGGGTGGCGTGTTACTGCCATCAAAGGAAATCGTGGGTAGTGATGTATCATAGAAAGTCTGTAACCAAGTAGGATCTGTTGAATCATCGTACGTGCGCTGACTGGCAGACGTAGAACCTGATAGTGGGCCCGCAGATGATGAGAAAGACAAGGCATATGCCGGCAATGAGACTTCAGTCAGTAGAATTTGGCTGTCCAATCGTATCAGACTTTTCAAAGACGCATCATATGGCGACATGTCTGTGTCAGCAATGGGGATCTCAAATGATAAAGAGTTGGTTGATCTGGCGCTCTGGTGAGAATTTAGTGTGACTGTACGGTCTTTTGACATTGGACTGGGAGAGAGCGGACTGTTAGTGTCGAGGCCCAGGTCTCTCAACCGCCGTCGAACATTATCACCTGGGTGAGTTAGCTGGGCTTTATAGAAGCAATTCGAAAGTTTAAACGTACGGCGACGTCGTTGTGCAAGGCGGTTTTGCTCCCTGCGTCTTTTGAGGGCTAGTATCTCCTCGTGAGGCGGGCCCATCTCGACTAGAGCCATGTACGACGAGAGATCCGTGTTTGTTCCTCTCGACGACTGCACTGGGTGGAAATCCGGAAATATATAAGGCAAGGCAGCACTGAAATCAGAAATTGCAGCGCAGTCAACGGCTGGCGCCGCGAAAGGATTTCTTACACATTTCTAAACAGGAAAATATCAGCTGCCAAGCTTCAGAAAGACATTAAGACAGTAAGCAGTATAGTATAGTTACCCAAAGAGACCTCTTCTAGGATGGAGTGTACTGATTCCGCTAATCCCCTCCAGAGCGGTAATGAAATTCTAACTTCAAAGGGCCAAAAAGTACCATATGGAGGCGAAAGTACGGACTGTAGAGGGTTCCGAGGCATTGCAGTGGATTAATTGACTACAGCTCGACAGCCACTGACAGGCCGGCCTCGTATCATTACCTTGGCTAGTGGCACCTCGTATTGAGGTGCAGTTCTGCAAAAGACGACTCACGGAACCTTTCCGGGAGGAACCGCTTCCATCTGCTTGCTTGGTGCTTAGCCCAAGCATCATATAGTCTTGTCAAGCCAGCGGGCATGGAGATATCAGGCCAGCACTTGGCAGAGTACTCTTCAATAGAAAATGGAAGCACTGGGCAGCAGCAGGTCAAGCCCAGCATATATACTCTGCGCGACAGTGGCACCATGCGCGTTCATCCGCTCGGCGTACCTTTTCTTCCGATACTCTAACCCTGGTCCGCACAGAATGCGTGAAGAATGTCTAATGTGCTGCAGTGGGGAACAAACATCAGAGACCACCTCGCGAATGTCCCCACTGACTACTACCTCGGACTCCGTTCAAATACGCTCTTCCGACAGCCGAGACAAACCGAAGGCCTCAGACTTGCTGTCGTATCGTTTTCTTGAGCCTGGTAGCATTTGTGTGAAAGTAGGGCGCTTGCTCTTTTATCAACCTCACATTCCCTGCTCAACACATGCCCACCTGAGTGGATGGAATTGAAAAGTATAGAATACATCATTTACTATATTAGTTAGTCACGGTGAGACGGTAACATCTCCAGTTCAATGCAAGAAATGCTAACAATTGTCGCTGAAAGCCTCCTCCTCTGGAGAGAGAGTCACACTGACGGCGTGATGGAACAGGCATCTCTCCGAGCCGATGATCATTTCTACACAAGCAATAGCCATTGACGCAATGGAACATGCCAAGAAGACTTATCTGATCATCAGATCCTGCACGTCATGCCTCCGAGCCCTTGCAACACAGTCCCCGCGCGATGCTGGCATTTGCCACCACCCCTGGGTCAAGCATGCATATGCATTTTAGGAGACTTGTTGTAGTGCACTGTGATTTGGACGAAGCTCGGTATCCTCGGAGCGACGATCAGTGCTCAGTACCCTCCTGCTGGATAGGTCATCTCGTATTTATGCACTCTTATCCCTGAACGTTACATCTCCAAAGCAACTGATAGCAAAACTCGGGGTCTCGGTGTAGAATCTACGGTCGCCATCGGCTGCACTATCATGAGAAAAGCCTCGTATTGCGAATCATGCTTGGTTCGTGTTGTCAGAGGTCTGCGCCGTGGCTCCAAGTATTCAAAAGGGTCACAATGGCATCGCTCATAAATAGCGGCAAGCCAGCAATACAGTTCATCTCATATCACTGCAATTTAAGCTCCCGTTCCCGAAGGCTGTCTGGACTGCACGTCGACCCTAGAATCTCCAATTGGCTTCCCTTAGGTGATAGGTCCATTGACAACCATGCGCTCCCGTCAGGTAGTTCAGACATTCTTGAATTATTGGCCTACCGAAGGCCCTATGCAAAGGGAGCTTATACTGGGCACAGTTGGTGCATATCGCCGGCCCATTGATACTCGACCTGTCCTAATCCAGGATGTGCGTGGTGAAGAGGGCGCATTTACCCTGGACGTCCATGGTTTTCAGTTCATGAACCATGTCAGTCAGCATGTTGCGTTTTTCAAGGAAGCTTCTGTGAAAACACATATGTACCCCGAAGCGGAGGATATTCTAAAGAACGTGTAAGTATAGCCTTGTACCATTTCTCCATTTTCCCTTGGCCCTTTTGATTTCAGCTTCTGTTATACATCCACAAGAATGTTGCTGATGCCACAAATAAAGAACTGGTGCCACCCGCGCCCACGTCTTTTCGCATATCACTCGCACCGCTCCTTATGAAAGGGTCGAAGCAATGGCCGGTTCGACCGACCCGGATACAAAGGCGACGAGTGTGATGGTACCTGCGCGGCATGTCCATGTGGATCAGTCAGAGCCTGGGGCTTTCGAAGTGTTAAAAGACAACCTGTCTGCGTTGGAAGCTGAGCGACTGTTGAAAACTCGATGGGCTATCATCAACATATGGCGACCACTGAAGGCAGTTCCCCGGGACCCTTTGGCTGTGTCAGATGCACGCTCCTTCAGTGATGATGATCTCCTCGAGATCTATGGACGGGTTCCTGGCCACGAGAAAAACAAAGACTACGATGGGGCGACAAAGGGTGGCGGTTTCGGTATGCTTTACGGCAAGTATGCACCTGGCCATAAATGGTATTATATGTCCGACATGAAGCCGGATGAGGTGCTGCTGATCAAATGTTACGATTCGAAGGATGACAGCCAGACAGCTAGACGAACGCCTCATACAGCCTTTGTGGATCCAAGAACGCAGGGTGTGCAAGAGGCTCGCCAGAGCTTGGAATTGCGGTGCCTAGTATTCTTTGAGAGTCAGCCTCAAGTATAAAGAAAAGTGGTGTAGGACTCCGCCAGACTGTACCGATGGTGATCAGGCCGTTGTACGAAGGCCAGTGGTATTCCTGGCACAGAGTTCTTTTTCCCATTTGTCCTAAAGTTAGCTGCAGGTACTGCCACTACACATTTTCGAGGTTGCTTCTAAATGTCATTCCATTGTACCCTATTCGTTCCACATACATACGGATACGTAGCAAAAGCAATAATAAAATTCCAGTAGTAGATAAGGTGCACGGTCCGAACCCGTTCCGTATATCACTCCTGTTGCAATCCGAGAGTGCTTTTCTTTTTGTCATCTACGTTCTATGAATTGCGTCGCTACACGGAAGAGGTTATTAGAACCCTTGGAACTTGATAGCCTTCTTGTTACTTCTCATTTATCTTTCCTTCACCACCTAATAGCCATTGTGGTGTGAATTAGCCTCTAAGTCTGCCATTTTTCTTTTACAACCCAAGCTGGAAAAGGGTCATTATCTGTACAGATGGCCATAGGATATACTCTATGGAAAGACCCTAGTTACTGGAAGGTACCAGTCCGCGAGTGACCCAGTCCTCAACATGTCGACGTAAGTCCTCCAGGCCAATGCCGGACTTCAGCTTTCCACAATCTGCTAGCGACTGTCTGGTGTTTGTCACATCGTACGTGGCCATGTCCTCGTAAAGCTCCCATCGAGTTAAATGCTTCCGGACTGGCTCCTGCAGTACTGGTAGCATAGGCAGTAATGGGTTGGTAAGCAGATCCTTGTCCTTTGATAGGATCTCTAACCAATCTTTGTACTCCACCGCTTTGAGGTCATACCCTAGCTCCTTGAGCATTTCCCAGGAGGTTTCAATATCCGTGTCCTCCTCCGGTGTTTGTGGCACCAGATGGAAAGTCCGTCCGAAGTTCTTGGGGTTCGAGGTGATATGCTGCAGGGCGGTGGTAATAAAATCAACAGGGATCATGATCTTGCTTTGGTTCGGGAGAATAGGCCTATATCCCAATCTGATAGAGCCGATGAACACCCGGCACATGAAGTCGTCGCAGTTACCCTTGCCTCGAAGACTGTCACCCATGATGAAGCCCGGTCGGAATACAATCGCCGGCAGGCCCTTTGCGATCATGGAGTGAATCAATTGCTCCGAGACCCACTTGCTCTGTGTGTACCCGATGTCGTAGGGCAGCCAGCCCTGGAACTCTCCTAGATCGACATCCTCCTGGATGCGGTCTGCACCTGTGAAGTGTGATACTGGGCCTGTGACGGCGGCCGTCGATGTATAATGCAGTGCCTTGGTCCGTCCGGTCGTCGCAAGCTTAATGCAGTTCAAAGTTCCATAGACATTAGTGTTACGATGTTTCTCGTACGGTTGCACGTAGTTCACATGTGCGCCGATGTGAAACACGACGCTGGTCCGGAGAGCTAGATCTGTAAACTCGGCTTGGGACAGTCCGAACAATTCCTTACCGAGATCTCCTGCAATGGCGGTCACCTTCTCTAGATTGTCGTTGCATCCCAGTCCGTACTTATCCAGAGCTCCCAGAAGCCGTGCACGGGCGGAATGCGCGTCCGAGGCACGAACCAGGCACTCAACAGTTTTGACATCTGGGCGGTCGATCAACTCACGTAGGAAGTACGTCCCTAGAAATCCGGTTGCTCCGGTCAGGAACACGCGACCCTCGGAGGGACTTCTCCAATCTGGAGCTTCCTTGGACAGAACAGGGATGTCCTGGGCTAATTGAGAGTCGGCGATGAAGAGGCCGAGCCGGGAGTGGTCTACTTTGCTTTTGGCATGGCCAGCATCGATCAAACTGGCCACGCCAAGAAGAGTGGGACAGTCATGGAGTTGCTGCATGGTCAATGTCATGCCGAAGCGCCGACGAATGTGGACCAGCAGTGCGGCCGCCTGTAGTGAGCTGCCTCCCAAGTGGAAGAAATTAGACTCGTTATCAATATTGCTGATGCCGAGCACTGATGTCCACAATGTACGTAACCAGGTTACAGTGTCTCCCGTATCCTTGACGTTAGAGGATACAAGAACTTGCTGTTCGGCCCTCTTCGTTTCCTCCAAATGCTTATTCATGACCGCTACACGGTCAATCTTGCCATGGACAGTGAAGGGTAGTGAGGCAACGGCCTCCAACCGAGGCATCATGTACGCAGGTAGCCGCCGACGCAGATACTCGTCGAGTTGCTCCAGAGAAAATGCACCATCATATTTGGGAATGACAAAGGCCACGATATACGTCTCTTTTCCCGGGCGACGGACGGGCAGCACAACGGTACCTTGGACCATCTCACTCTTTAGGAGTGCCCCCTCGATCTCGGCCGGCTCGATGCGAAATCCACGGAGCTTGACCATGTTGTCGGCACGCGCCACGAACTCAATGGCGCCGGTGTCAAGCATGCGAACTAGGTCCCCTGATCGGTAGACACGAACAGGTGACCCATCCTTCGATAAATGGGATACTTCGAGGAAGCTCTTGGCATTTGCTTCTGGGCGCCCCAGATAACCGCGTGCAACGGCGTCACCACCGATATAAAGTTCGCCAACACTGCCGTTTTTGACGGGCTGCAGACCATCATCCAGGATATAGACGTTGGTGCAATCCAATGGTCTCCCGATAGGAGTCTGTCCCCGGCGGACTTCTTCCAAGGTTGTGAGATGGTACGTTGTGATAATCGTACATTCGGTTGGTCCGTACGCATGAATAAGCTTCTTCGGTGGTCCATTCTCCAATATCACCTGCATCACACTGGGATTCGCCGCCTCGCCACCAGTGAGTACATAGTCGAGGTCCTCGAACGCATTGGGGATGGCCGACACGACATGGTTCAACAAAGCAGTCGTGACCAGGATCGAAGTGATGCGGTACTTGCGCAGGCTGTCATGAAGTGCAACAGGATCAATAACGACGTTCTTTGGAAGCAGAACAATGGTGGCTCCTCTAGCCAGAGTAGTCCAGATCTCAAACAGAGCGGCGTCAAAGCTGGGCGCCGAAATCTGAGCCACTCGATCCGTACTCTTGAACTCAACACATTGCGTGTTGAAGGCCATCCGGGTGATTCCCTTGGACATGATCTCCACAGGTTTGGGCAGACCTGTTGTCCCTGAGGTGTGTAGGATGTGGGTCCGATGATCGCGCCCAGTCTCAACAGCGAGAACCGGATCTTCATGATATCCATTCTGGTGCACGTTGGAGTACCTGGACTCCACGAGTATGGGCTTGAATTCCGGGAAGCGACCCTTTTCGCTCACGACAGTGAGGACAATACGCGTTTTCAAGGCACGCAGAAGGTCATTGATGCGCTGGTCAGGAAATGACAAATCCATCGGCACACAAGATCCTCCCAAACGCAGCACAGCAGCCTGAGCTACTACATGTGCAATTCCCATAGGCACTAGAATGCCAACTGGCTCCTCTTTTTGAATGCACTCCGAAGCTAGAATCGAGGCCAGATGATTCACACGCGTGTCTAGCTCTCGATATGTCATGGATTGGTCACCGTCCACTACCGCAGTAGCATTGGGAGTAGTGCAGACATGATGCCGATAGCATGCCTCGAGGCCAAGTGAGGAGATGTTTGAAAAGATTGACATTGTGGGGATGGTTCGTCGGAGAGCAGAATTTAGTAGATGTGATGAGGTCGATTGATTGTGATGGATCTAGCGACTTACCATTGCTTGGGCTTCTGACCTCAATATATACTGTCTACAGCTTTACCTTACCTTCATCTCTCTACAATCCTTGAATCCCTTCTCTTCTCTCGAGAACCGATTGATGACTCTCAACATCCGCTCTTCGCCATGCCTTGTTGTGGGTCCTCAGCCCTATCCTTCGTATACAATCCGAGCCAGTTTCATTACTCTCTTGGCGATGTAACAATCTGCGCATACCATTTACCTAACGGTTCAGCGTCGAAGGATCTCATCTTTTCAAACTTTATATACGAGTCACGTCACGTCATGTCATGTCATGTCAGCAAGTCTAGTTTCAGATGGTCTGCACTCAACTGAGGCAACCATATGTGCGAAGACCACTGTTTTCCATCACTACCTCATCAAGTCGTATCTCCGACCTTCATTCATCATCCTCTTTGTCCGGTGCTACTATATAGAGCGAGCAGACCACGAACCGCCGGCCATTTCTGTTCTACACTCCGAGTGAAGGAGACATCAGGATAACCGGGTCTTAGTTACTTTAACCATGTTGCCGACGCCGAACTTGGGCTTATCCTATCAGGATCGGCTGACACGGCCCGAAGTTCTATACGCGTGTCTTTTTGTCCTCTTGGCTGTGACTAGTCTCTGCATTGCCACACTGCTTCTACCAGCACCGTTCACTCCTGTGTCCAGAGTTATCTCTTGGGTCCTCAGTGTATGCACGTCTACCCCATGCTTAGTTTGCAGATTGCTCAACTAAACCGGTTGATTTATAGATCTATTTACAATTGCAGAATCCGATTCAACATACAGAGACTGGTAGGAGTATCCCCGGGCCGAATTACGTGTGGCCCAATGGACAAGGCGATGTAGAGAAGTACGTGCAGGGGAGAACAAGGAGCGAGCAATGGCAAAGGAAATACGGCAATGTCTACCGTATTTGGGCGGGAATGACTCCAGAAGTGTTCGGATACCCTCGTGCCCTCGTGTTGGAAACCACGATCTGACTGACGCACAACTAGGGTCTTGACAAGACCCGAGCAGCTGCACGCCATTTTCAGAGATTCAGACAAGCATACGAAAGCCACGAATAGTGATTCTGGTTACTTTATGAGCCGTATCCTAGGTCAGTGCCTAGGGCTAATGGCGGGTCAGCGCTGGAAATTCTTGAAGGGGATTGCGGCACCACCTTTCATGCACCCGGCAGCTGTCAGGTCCATCGGTCGGATTCAGGAGCATGTTAGGGCCCACTTCCATGACCTCGAGAGCATCGGAAATTTGAGAGAGGGCCGGATACACCCCGTTCAGGACCTGAAGATGCTTCCGTTTTTCATCGTTGCAGAGGCCAACTATGGCTCCCTTACACCAGACATGAAATCTGAACTCAATGCCCTCGCACCGGCCCGTGAAAATCTCATGAAATTCGTTCTTTTCGGTGGCCTGGCCCGCTTTAACATCTCGCGCTTCTTCCCAACGGAAGCCAACCGTCAGCTGCAGCGATTCCGCTCTCAGTGGCGGGCGTTCAATCGCGCCGCATATGAGCGTGCCCGGGACAAACACCCGTCGGCGATGGTTGTCCAGATGTACGACGCCGTGCTCAAGGGCACCCTCAGTGAGGAGCAGGTTGCACAGACAATGGACGAAACGCTGTACGCCAACCTGGACGTCACAACGGGGGGTCTTTCCTGGAATCTGGTGTTTTTGGCTGCCAATCCGGCCTGCCAAGCACGTCTGCACGAGGAAATATCCGCGCTGACAACTGCCGAGGAAGAAGGGTATATCTCTCGGAACGGAACCTATCTTGCAGCATGTGTGCTAGAGTCATCCCGGCTCCGTCCAGCCCTACCCTTTACCATCCCGCAGTCTGCGCCAACGGAGCGTGTAGTAGATGGATATCGCATCCCCGCTGGCACCAATTATGTAGTTGATACCTGGGGACTGAACGTGCGGAATGAATTTTGGGCACCCGATAATGACACATATCGCCCCGAGAGGTTCTTGAACAGCTCGAACACGGATCTACGGTACCACTTCTGGCGCTTTGGATTTGGCCCTCGCCAGTGTATCGGGCGCTACACTGCTGACGTGGTGATACGGGCCATCCTGCTGCATTTGGTCAAGCATTATGAGTTGCAGATGCTCGAGGAAGGGAGTTGGACGCAGGACCCTGAGTGTTGGATCACGCATCCAGATTTGCAAGTGAGGTGTGTTCAGCGGACATGAGAAGGGTGGCGATTTGTACATACAGGACATCTCCTGTGCAATCTATAGAGCACGAGTGAGACCCAGAATCCATCTTGTTACCATGAGTGGATTCATGGCTGAGATTGACGATGAAATTTCCACGTAGGGTGACATCGATCCCCGTGTTTCCATTATGTAACCTCTAGCCACGGTCTCGACTTGCACGTCGATCTACTAGTATATTTCTCGTATCTGATAACCCTAATGTCTGCCTTCCTGCACGTCGGTGCCTTGGCACTTCCGAGCCACCGAGCACCACCAATACGACGTTCAAGCGTTTTCCCTTGAGTCTGTTAGACAAACCCAGAGGCATCTCCATATTTGTACGTTCCCGACAGGATCATGGAGCGATCATGCACCCAGTGCCACCAGCGCAAAGTCCGCTGTAGCAAGACGCTGCCGTGCTCGGCCTGCGTACGGCTCGGCGCTGCGTGTCGCTACCCCACCACCGACGCCAACGCTCATCGGCCTCGGAGGGTCCAGAAAGTCACCATCACCGATCGGGTTGTGCAGCTGGAACGGAGTCTGGCCGTGCTAGCTAACAATACTAGCGCTTCGCAACCTCCTGACAATCCGAACGTCCGAGTCACCTCCGCGGCCTTGCTGCCAGAACCACCGCAATCTCCCAGCCGCCAACAGGAGCTTCTTGTTCCGGATGGTGCCTCCACTCGGTACATCAACGAGGCATTCCTCTCGCAGATCCTGGACAAGGAGAAGGCTCTGTACAAAGTCATAGGGACCCCACGGGATACAGATGAAATCAACGCAGGCTTGCGACCAGAAGGCATTTTGGCAAGCGCCAGACGGCCTGCGCATGGGGGTAACGAGCTCGACTTGTCGCGCTGGCAATCCGCACAGTTATGGCAGATATATCGCAACAATGTTGATCCCGTGGTCAAAATCCTCCATCTTCCAACAGTCGAGCCACTGGTGTATTCGATTATGAACGGTGAAGGATCGGATGACTGCAGGGCTCTTCTGTTCGCCATTTACTTTGCAGCAGTGACCAGTCTGGCCGAGGTCGACGCCGCAAACCTCCTCGGGCGCGATAGGCGATCCAGCTTGCGAGACTTTCAAGCCCGCTTCGAAAAGGTCATGATCGATGCGGCCTGTCTGGACGCGCCGTCCATGTTGTCCTTGCAGGCCCTGGCCATCTATATCGTGAGATTACCCTTCCCCGTCATTGGGCAAGTGAACTGACCTTGCTTGTGAGACATGCCTCCGCGCACACCGTACAAGTCGATCTGGATGGATCATCAATGGAGTCCTCATCCGTGCTGCCCTGTCGATCGGCCTCCATCGCGACGGAACCCATTTCAATCTCCCCCCATTCGACGCTGAGGTTCGCCGGCGCCTCTGGTGGCAGATCCTAGTTCTAGACTATCGGGCTGCCGAGGACCACGGTCTCGCAGTACATGGCTTTGGCAGCCGATCGGATACTCGTCTCCCCCTGCACGTCAATGATAGTGATCTGTCACCCGATCTACGAATCCTCCCCGGACCACGCGCGAAATGGACTGAGATGAGCCTCTTTCTCCTCACATCGGAGATTGCCATCGCCTTTCAGAAGGTATACCAGAGCACCTTGGGCCAGAGAGACCTCTCCCAGCGTCTCCAAACTGTGCATGAGCTTACAACCTACCTGGAGAGTACGTACCTGTGCAACTGCGATACGAACATTCCCATCCAGAAGGTCGCGTGGTTGTCCACGCGCTCTCTTCTCTCCAAGTTTGAATTTTCCGTCTATCAAGTGGGCCTCAGCAATGATCAATCACAGGAGGCTGTTTCTTCGACTGCGGAACAGACGCTGATATCGGCATGTGCCTGCTTGGAGCAAAGCATGGAGCTGCAGACAGACGACCTGCTCCGTGGGTTCCGCTGGTTATTCGCCAGCTACAATCAGTTCCACTGCCTGATGTATCTTCTGTGGCATCTGTGCGCTCAGCCCGCCGGGCCTCACGTGGTGCGCGTGTGGAATATTGTCGACGCTGTCTTCAACATAACCGAGAATGACCCAACCCGGCCGGATCCAGGGCCGACGTGGAAGGTGCTGCGGCACTTACGGGAAAAGGCGATACAACGGAGAGCGAATGTCGCAATGTCCTCGCCGACACAGCCTCGTGGAGCGTCTGAGGAACGTGTACTCGAGTCACGCACGGCTGAAGAGCATTCGGGGCAGGATGCGGGAGGCGCAGCGGACGGGTTTGGGGATCTCTTGGCTCCTCTAGATCCAAGTTCCTTGACTGACTGGATCAACCTCTCAGAGAATTTGGGGATGTATCGATTTGAACCTTAGTGCAAATAGGTGACGACAGTAGCCATCTTACAGAGTCCACAATCCGATCTCTCTTGTGACGAAATAGCAAGTTTCTCCATCAACTCACTTCCCGGCTCGCTAGACATAAATATATTCTACAAAGTACGGCTAGTAAATCTGGTAGCATGGTGTCCAGAATAACCATTTGTAGTGTTCTTGACAAACAAACTACGCAGAGGATTTACTCCTGCATAGCTTCTATCCCAGTAACCTGATACGTGACTTCCAATAGCACTGTTGCAACCTGTGCTGTAGTTACACACATATGATGACTCGTCTGTGACGCAGGCAGTAGGCCCCATTGCCCCTTATGCACTGTGGGCCAGCCGGAGACAATTTCTATTGATAATCATCACCTCTACTCTTGAATCGTCGGCCCCATGGCCCTCTAGCGCCGAGCCGAGCTGAACGCCAAGGAGTCCGAAGCCGAGATGATTTCATTTACCATGACGACGATAAGCAATGCAGCAAGAAACGGGCATCCCTATATATTTGCGGGTATGACCAGAGGACCTTGAACGAGCGTATTATCCATTTGTCTGGTGAGCACAGGCCGTTGAACCAACATGCATCCAAGCCGTACCAGCTCGCACGAACGTGATAACGTTTCACTACGGAGTGATGAAGGGGGCGTATCAACATCAATGGATAGGGAGAAATCTCTGTCTCCGGTAGACCAGTCCGATACGCCTCCTGATGGGGGATTGACCGCGTGGTTGGTCGTGGTAGGCGCGTGGTGCACGTCTTTCTGTAGTTTTGGATGGGTCAACAGTGAGTGTGTATCCATAATCGTGAGAATCTTGGAAGACAACCAGACTCACCGTATGAAATACCAGGTGTCGGAATATTTCAGAGCTATTATGAATCTCACCTCCTGAAGCAGTTCTCTTCCAGCACTATCTCCTGGATCCCATCGTTGCAAATCTTCTTTATGTTTGCTATGGTATGTTGGCACGTTGTGGACACCGGTAGTTTATTTGGATTTGATATTTACAAGCCACAAAGGGCCCCATTGTTGGGAAGCTGTACGACACATTTGGTGCTCGATACCTGATTATCGGAGGGACGTTTTTTCATGTCTTCGGGCTGATGATGGCGTCAATCTCAAAAGAATACTACCAAATCTTGCTCTCCCAAGGCATCTGCAGCGCCATCGGGGCAGCCGCTATATTTCAACCTGGTAATATGTTTTTCCTTCACCCGGATCGCTGTCGAAGCTAACCAACGTAGCCCTCAGCGCCGTCAGCGCCTGGTTTAATCGCAAACGCGGCATCGCTTTTGCTACTCTATCGACGGGCTCCAGCGTCGGCGGGGTGATCTTCCCTATCATGGTCGACCGCCTCATAGCGAAAGTTGGATTTGGCTGGAGCATGCGAATTTCCGCGTTCATGATCCTATTCCTACTTGGCATCGCCATTGTCACTGTGAAGGCACGGAGTACACCACAGCAAGGCCCAAAGCCCTCCGGTGTGCAGTTGGTTCAACCATTCAAAGAGCCGGTGTTCATCATTACCCTCCTCGGATACATGCTTCTTACCTACGGCGTCTTTATCCCGATCAACTATGTGATCGTCCAGGCAGTCGCAAGCGGTATGAGCGCAGATCTAGCGTCATACTTAGTTCCAATGTTGAACGCGGCCAGCCTCTTTGGTCGTCTCGGAGCGGGATTTATGTCCGATCGGTACGGTAGATACAATATCTTCATCATCATGTGTATCGTTGCTGGCGTGCTCGTACTCGCTCTTTGGATTCCGGCGACCTCTAGTGCACCTATCATCGTGTTTGCGATTCTCTTTGGCTTTGCGTCTGGAGCATATGTCAGTCTTTCGCCCGCACTGATCGCTCAGATCTCACCGTTGAAAGAGGTTGGCTATCGCACTGGTCTGCTCTTCCTCTTTGCGTCTGTGGGTGGGTTGACGACCAGTCCGATTGCAGGAGCAATTCTGCAAAATGCCGGCGGGGACTATACTCATATGAAGATCTTCTCGGGTGTGATGCTCTTAGCAGGAACAGTATTCATCGTTAGCGCGCGGTTGGTTGGGACAGGTCTGAAATTGATGGTGAAATATTAGATCGGCGCCAACTGCGAGGCGGTTATAATTTCCACGAACCCTCTAGCTTAAACTGTATCCTGGCGTGAATTTCCCGGTCCAAAAGCTTCGCACAAGAGCTCCAGAGCTGTTTTACGTACCCAAGAATTGCCCCTGTTCGGTCTTTGCTATTGTTGGCGTTAGCGTTGATAGACAAATTAATGGCCCAAACGCCATGCCAGAATTCCATGTTCGCCTGAAATACGATCACTACATCGAGATATGCATGGACACATAGTTCTTTCTTGGCTTTTCCGATGGCATACGAGGACAGGGATGGATGAATTCAACGTATCATATCGGCGGCGTGGGGTTATTGGGTCTCTTGAATATTGAAGCCACTGAATGTATCACACTACTATTCAATAATCATCATCCACAAACATCTTGCCGCGATATGGGAAGAGCATAGTGCAACGCGTGCAGAGCCTTTGCGATCAGAACCCCATGCTGCAGCCTACACGCATGGCGTACCTCGCGAAAAGAGTCCATATACGAAGTAAAATTGCCGGTCCAACCGGCACTAACTTTGGAGATATCACAAACATTCATTGACTGATAGAAAAGGGGTGGAATGCACAGTTCGTCAGGCACAACCTGCCAAACGGATAGTTTCAAGCCCTTGCTGATCAGCTTGAAGCTTGCGGGAATTACGGAGTAACGCGGTCCAAGCAATGACTGTGAATCGCGACCATGAAACCTATACGGAATAGATCTAACCCTAGCTTCAGAAGCCAAATCTCATCATGAGTGCCGTCCGGTAAATTGTGTTCGTCATGGGGGGCCCCTTGCTCGCGTGGCGTAGGGGTCAAACGTTTCCACAAAACTGACTTCCTGGAACGAAGAATCTCTGCATTTGAACAAACATGTGCCAACGGGTAAGCTACTTGGGTCCCATACTTTGGCAAAAGACTGGACTAATAATCCTGGTACTGATTTGTAAGATTAAGAAATTAAGGACAGTTGGAACGCTAGTTGGAACTTGGAACACGTCAGGCAAGGGTTCTCTTCCTGGCGCTTACCGAGATAGGCGAACGCCTCTGATGCGTCAGGCTGCACAAGAAGAAATAGTCACAAATCGACACCGTCCAGCAACATTTACTCCCGATGGATGCTTCCATATTCTCTTCCATTGGTATTCTGTGCATGGATCCTACGTCCTTGCGTGCAGACAGTAAAATAGAAATTGGTGGTGAAGAAGAGGATATTCATGACAATCATTCCTTCAAGATGACGAAACGAGCTCCGGAGCCAATAGTATTCCATAGCACTTCCTGGACAGAGCCGACGAGGCAACCAAAAGTACGAGGGGAGGCCCACCGCGTGTTGTGAAGTATCAGAAGATATTCTGGGCATGTAACCTTTCTAATGCACTTCATCTGCAACTAGGGCTTAGGTCTGACAGCTGACCCCCGAGTCTGCGCTTCCGATTGGGTTGGGGCGCCGGACTGGTACGGCCCGACGTTAAAATGGACTCCACCACAAGCCAACACGACGCTCATTGAAGACTCAATCCACTCTCTTTCGCTCTTCCCCCTGGTGAATGGGCGATCCGTGCGTGGATCTAGAGTCGACGGGTCATACGAGTGGAGGAATGCCTTCCGCATATCTTCCTTCTCCCGGAAATACACCTAATGGCTTCCGTAGTCTGTACGTAATTATCATGGCGACGGTGGCACTGGGCACTGCCGAATCAATGCTGTTGATACCCCTCCAAACGTCAGGGCCGTCAATTGCACCAATTGGACTAGGGTGTATATGGCATTTCTGTCGACCGGTGGAAGTGGCTCAGGGGTTATTTCGGCCAGAGGAAACACTAGTGAACCTTACCCCGGAGGATCACAGGAAGCCAGTGATCTTCACTGCCGATCCCGTGGCTTGAGAGAGCAGAAACACAGCACAATCTTCTCTACATAACATTCCTCTGACCTACCGAGAAATCTATTTTGATGGCCCGAGTCCCGAGCGATTGGTTTCTTCTGGATGGCGTGTCTCGATCTTCGTGACCATCAAGCATGGCTTCCACCTACCCGGACGGCATTTTCGATAGTTTAGGCAAATTCTACGTCTCGGTGGCCATCGTGTGGACGGTCGCACTGCTTGTCGGCTCTGTCTTCCTGGTCATCAATCGCCATGAGCAATGCATTCGCATTCGGAACCTGCCTCTCGCCCTGAGCGCCGTGTTATGTCTTCATATCTACTGGATTCTCTGCATGCTGGCATACACGATGGCCGGTGCATACCCCTGCGGGGTAGAGTACTGGATCATGAGCATCTACCTGCCGCTGGGAATCGCTCTTTTCCAAGCGAATAGCATGCAGCTCCTGAGCGTCTCCGGCATTCAGGAGAAGATGCTCCATACCGCACACCAACCGCAGAAGTCTAGTCGTGGTCCTGGCTCGAAATGCCCTAGCCAATACTGGCGCCAATGGAAAGAAATGAACTTGGTTCACCGAACGGAAGTGGCCATTGCCGTGGGAATGGCGGTACAAGTGAGTCAACCTGGCGCGTTCGTTTCCGTCCAGACTTATTTAACCATCTCGAATTCAGCTGTGTCTCTCACTCTCTGTCTACCTTGCCTCTCGAAAGTTCCATGGCTTCGGCAGTTTCTCCGAACGTGGCAGTCTCGCAGAGTGTCGGCGAGGTCCTGAATGGCAAGATTCACTGTCTGATGATACCACGGTCGGCTTCTTCTGACTAGTATCTAGGATTCCTTCGATTCTGTGGCAATTGTTTTGGTCGTGGATATTTGCGCCCTGCATTCTCTGGAAGATTCGCAAGATCCGTGACATACATCACTGGAGGCTTCAAATCACTCTCTGCGTGATCGCCGCGTGAGTGTCTAACCACCGTGATGTCCTTCTCAATTCTTCCTGCTGACCTCGCCGCAGGTTACCGGGTTCACCTTTGTGGTTCATAGCACTCAATTCAACCTCCGAGCCCTGGACTACCATCAATAGGCACTGGGTACCAGCTCTCTGGTAAAGAAATCCCATTATCCGAGACACTCAGTACAGATTAATAACAGGCGCAGGTTTACTCCGGGTATTGTCGCAATGGAAGGCGTGACAGTCTTTTTCCCATTTTATGAACTTGTCGTCTCTAGAAAGCAGCGAGATCGCATCCTAGGCGCAATCGAGGCCTGGAACGAGAAGAAGGTTAACGACAGCGAATCTGATTCGGGCACATCGCGTTCGCAGGCTGGGTCCAGTCGCATGAATGAGCTCTACTCTATCAAGGCATTGGAGAAGTGTCTAGCAGATGACTCCCACGCGCTGCTCCATTTCGCCGCAGCCAAGGAGTTCAGCGGCGAGAACATCATCTTCTTGAATTACGTGCGCGACTGGAAGGCCAGCTGGGCCAGAATCAATGCGTCAAATCCCGAATACGATTGGACCCGAGATCCTCAATATCACCGGCTTCACTTCTTCAAGATTGCGGTCGAGATCTATAGCGCCTGCGTCAATCTGAAAACGGCGGAATTCCCGATCAACGTTGAATCGCGCATCTACTCAGATCTGACGGCAATGTTTGGCGACGCAGTGCAATGTTCCGGTCGGCGTGTGTCAAGGGGCACCGCAACACACATGGAAGAAGACACCCGTGCTCTATGTCTGGACGAGAACCCCTACGTGAGCCAAAGCATCATGCACATCAAGTCCCGTGTCCCCGACTCGGTCGCTGTCCCTGTGAACTTCGGGATCTCTTCCTTTGACGAAGCCCAGAAGTCCATCCTCACTCTGGTGTTTACTAATACCTGGCCCAAATTTATTGATTCTTCGAGCGACGACTTGTCCATCAAGCTTTGAGTAAAGATACGGGAGGTCCGACAATGGTTCTGGTTTGGGGGCTTATGTTAATTTACAATTAGGTACAAATGAAGTCTTATTGGAACAGTGGAAGTAGATACAAAGTAGGGATTACATGGGTTTACCCTCCCGCGGCCAGCTTGACATTCACGAGTCAAAGATGGGCCCAAAGGCGGGCACCCCACTGGCCTCGAGTTCGAAAACGACCTTCTTTGTGAGCACCGGGTTGCTAATGACGCAGACAGCCTCCGCATCGAATTCCCGGACGAGTTCTCGCGCCATTGGGACCATGTCCAGTCGCCCGCTGCTATTCGTGTCGATGATCAGTGGGTTCGGGTCCAGCTGGCGCACGAGGTTGAGGACGTCTTTGCCATATGTCCGGCTCGGGTTTCGTGTCTGCCAGAGGACTCGCAGCGGCGGGCGATCCTTCTCACTCAGCCAGGAGAGACATGGCCCTATGCCGGACCCTGTGGTGACAATGACGACCCTACGGAAAACCCGCATCACATGGATAAAGCCATACATCAGTGTGCCACGTTTCCATAGGTAGGTTGGTTGCTGATCAATGCATCGAGTGGTCCAGTCACCTGCCTTCGAGACGATGCATGAAAAGCTTTTGCCATCGGGATCAGGGAAGGTTGCAAAGCTATGCCACGTCCGCAATGGATGCTTGGAGAGCGCGATGACTTTCCCAAATGCCGTGGATGTATGATCCAGGTGGAGTCGGGCCGCATGGGGTGAAAGATATTCGGGCCAGACTTTCACTCGACGCAGCAACAGCCAGGGGTGGACAATTGTGGCGACGATAACGAGAACAATCCAGAACGCAGGGAGCTTGATCAGGTATCGTCCCAGGCTCACGTTTTCTGCGTGACGCGCCTGGTCGGAGAAGACCACCAGAAGAGTCAGGAACAGTGCGACCGCCAGCCATGCACCGAATCGATGCGTCAGCTCGAAATAGTCATGCATTTTCGTCCGGAAGGTGGGATGCGCAACGACGATGATCGCCACCAGATCCGCGAGCAACACATAAGCGAGCACCACCACCGGCAGAGAAACAGTCCCCGACCCTGGAAACATCCAATATTCTCGCGAGATCAAAGCCACGAGGCCTACATACCACAAGAACGATGCCACGCCGCATCCATTGTGTACACCGCCGTAATGGTACGCTTTCGCGGCCATCTTGCGCAGCATGAGAGGGGTCGACTGTGGGATGCGGCATATGCTCACGAAGATGACATTGACCACCATGGGGTGTCGCGCCAAACCGCATATAAGTAAATTCACGGCGGCTGCGTTGACGAATGCGAGCAGCTTCTCTCGGCTTTGTACCATCACAATCACGAATGCGACCGCATTGCCGCAGTAGATGAGTGTAAACAAACGGCGGTAGATGGTGAGAAGCAGATACCGTAGTGAAGCAAAGCACTTCCGGGGAGGCTGCTGGGCCTCCAGGTCCACATTGGCAGAATACCGTTTCCAATCGCCGGTGGTGTCATGACTGAGATATGTATCGACCGACGTCGCAACACTCGGCTTACTGGAATGCGTGGGCGCCATTGCGTTCCAGGATGAGGCAGCCTATGTGTGGTGTTGCAATTGAGGGCCACGGGCAGGTGAAAACCCAGATATATACAAAATAGGACACATATGTACACAGAGAAATCCCACGGGCAAAAAGAGAAAAAGTAAAAAAAGCAAACATGAGAATGATAACAGCTTAAATAAGATCAGTGCTACCAACCAACGGAGTCTTACGGGCGAGGACCAGCATGGTTGTCAGCAAAACTACCCCTCACTCTCTGATACTCGTAAGATGCCGTTAGCAGGTTAACGGTTGTGGGTCACTGAACTAGCAATTGTACTAGCTGCGCAGATGGCAGGTGCCAGTCGCATGGCTGAGGTCGAAGAGCGAGCCATTAAGTGGACTGGCAGGGGCAACTATAGGGAAACAAAGAGGCCACGCAGGCAGTCGAACCGGGGGCTCGCCATTGAATCTGACCTGGACGAATGGCATGGGAGGACGACTCATGCGTATGCAATGCAACCAGCTAGCCATGGACTAGGACCCGTCTGTCCCCAGTACCGCTCTGGCCGTTGGGGTTCCGGTGCAGCTTAATTAAATTTGCAGCTCAACGCAAATTGCGTTTCCCATCTCCACTATCAAGGTTGGACCACCATACCCTCTGTCCGGGGAGGAAGAAAGAGGAGATTCCTTCTTACCGCCGGATTCACGATGATCACCGTGCACCCGGGGGGTTCTACCTGTCTGAACTCTCCATCGACCACCAGCAGCGTCGAAGCGTGGGGATCGACATGCTACTAGTCCATTCGCTGATAAGGCATCGGCTTGGCATCTAGAAGGCTTTGCTAGGGTTCGACCCGTGCCAATAAGAACGGTTGGGCCCCTCACTAACCAATTGTATTAATTTCGTTCGTTTGCTGGCTTCACATCCATGAACCTCTAGTTGGGACTCGGACCGCTGAAGTCAATTGCTGGTGTTGACTTAGCGCACGTCTATAAAAATATATTTCAGGGGCGGTGTGTGTTGATTTGGCCCCTTCTCGAACCAATACCCGGGGCAGACGTCAAGCACGCTGTCAGCTGAATAATGAGGCTGTGTGTATAAATTTAAGCATTACAGGCCACCGAGTCATGACTGGTGAGCCACATGGATTCTGCCTCTCATTAACCCCCGGAAGTCTGGCGTTGACAGGCACGAGCTGACGGACGAGGCAGCCGAGGCAACGGGCTGAGGCAAAAGTTTATTCCGACACCAAATTTGACACTATTCAAGGATGCGCAACACATCGCTTCGTAGCCCGGCACCATCGAAATGGCATGATCGGGTGGTCTAGGATTCCACTCCCATGGAAATACTGAATGAATTACTCTCCTTGTCCGCCAGCATTTCGATAACGTAAGCTCAGCCTAGCGGCCAGCCCCGTCCAACGCTCTCCAACGCTCTCCAACGCTCTTTATGCCTTCGGGGCTGACGGACCCCTGCCTGGCTCACCCAGGAAGAGCCAGTCAGCATCTAAAAATAAAAACAATAATCCCACGTAGCCGAGCCCAGGTTCATCTCGCACGTCCGGAATTAGGATGCTTGCAGCACACAGTAAGAACAAACGGGGATATGGTCTTAGCGGCTTTGTCAGTGGCATCATCATGACAAGAATGTACGTGATGTGCAACATTGCCTTCTGCATCTTCAGTACTACTGAATCCCTCCAGATTATCCTTTCAGGGTTCGGCAGTCAACGACGCCTCTCGCGCCAAGAGGGCCTGACTGGTCAAGACGACGCATGCTGCACAGGGTGGGTGGCTGCTCTTTGCCCCGAAGAGGCAGTCACTTTAACCGGGGTCAGATCCCGCATTCCTAAATAAGCGAGCCAGAACCAGTTCAGATTTTCGATGACATAATTCCAGTGTGGATTGTGTGTGTTTTTTGTGTTTTTGTGTGTGTGGGTCGATCATCTGAAATGCGATTTTAGGGTCTGTGGATCGGTCCAGCTTTGTCCGGCTCATGCCTGAGGCACCAACAGCTGCGGGTGTGCCTTTCCGTTCGACATCAACACCGAGTCCATCCCGGAGTCCGGATAACACCCTCGCTGCCTACGCGAACGGCCCCGCCCTGGAACACCCTGAATCAAGTTTTCTCGATAACATTGGCATATCACTTGCAGGAATCCGAACCTCTGGCCCCTTTGGGAAACGAAACGCCATTAGGCGTGTCCATCTCCCCGGTCCGCATGCAGCCCGATATCCTGACGCTGCGTACCCATTTGTCATGAACTACAATCAAATTACAATATGCATGATGTCACTGTCTGCCCTACTATCCCAATGTGGTGCCATCCGTTGACGTACGTATAGACTTGGATAACCCTATACTAACAATGCAAACCTCGAGCTGGGTAGAGCTAAGTTAATACTCAAACAATGGGAAGCAATGAAGGTGTTCGAGCTACTGGCACTCTATTCGGATAATTGCCAACTAGACCAGCTCATCGAGCGCGGCCTTGAGATGTGTGGCGGATGCCACGCTGATATGCATGTCAAAGCGGAGCTCAGCAAGGATTGACGTGCTGGGAGGATCGAACAGCGCATTCAAACAAGACAGACGTACAGATTAAGGTTAACGCATGTTAAGAGTCTCTTACATTGTCAAGACCGAGTAAACCCGGCATGTATCTCGTCATGGGGCATACTTCCATTATCTTTTATGCATGAAGTGGTATTAATGTACTGCGTCAATTTCTCTCTGCCTCCTATGATCATTGGCATTACAGCTGCTCATGGTACGATCGTCTCCGTCTTGTGATCAACGAGCGGATTTGCCGACGAAAACCTTCATTGTATGAATAAGTGAAAGCATTGGCAAGGCCGATGAATTGCGTAGATGCCTGCAGGATCTGCAGCCACCTCACCTTATGACCAAGGGACTCGAGCAACCGATTGAGCAACCCGGGGATCCACAGCAGTACATAAAAGGCCGGGTAGCCATTCAGCAACATAACACGGCGAACTTCGGCATATCGGATTTTCTTATCTCGCTGTTCCGTAGAATCCCCTCCCCTTCCTGGGGTGTCAGCATACCTCAGGCGGCGCTCATTGGCAGTCGTGTCGTATTTACTCGGGTGACCTTTCACGAGAGCTCCACGTTAGCATTACAATATGAAAGAGATTCCGTCGGCTTACCTGCGGAGAAAGGGGCCTGCGAGGAGAGCTGATCCTGTGACGGAGACTCGCTTACCCCACCGGTGCTGGCTGGATTATTGAACACGTCGATACTCTGGACAGTGATTGTCGTATCCAACCTTATGGACGACAGATCGACGGGATCCCCTTCTGTGGACCTGGATTTATCGCGGCCAGATGTTGTATCACCGTTCGGGAATAGGCTCAGATGCTCGTAGCGGCGCTTCACCACAACGAAGACCACAATATACGTTATGGCTGTAATGAAAACAATCGCGATTCGCCAGGCATGACCAAGGGCGTACCGTAAGCCCAGATATTGTGACTCGATCCAACACCAGTTGCCGCTCACGGGTCCAACAATCCCCAGGCCCACTGCCGTAGTACCTGCCATGAGTGAGTAATGTGGGCCGAAACCAGCGAACCGGAAGGAGTACGGATGCAGAACTGGGGCAAGGACTGAGCACTCACTGGTTATTAGGGGGGTAATCCAGATTGAGATGCACAATATCACCTTGGCCCTCCAGCTTAAAGTTGATACTATGGTTGGCCGTTGCACAATCCACAATGCGACCATGGCTATGGCCAGAATCGAAAAATCAATCGCCTGCGCAATACATGATGAGAAGGGAGGCCTATTATCGAGGACGCTGGTGAAACGAACTTGGACGGAGAATTGGCCAATCCAACCATTCAACTGGCAGCCAGGGCCAGGGCTGAGGTCATGGTGCCCACTGAGGACTAAGAATCCTGAAACGGTATTATTTGTGGCATTAATGAAATCTGTTTGGTAGGACATGCTCATGTTAGCCCACTCATGAGTCGGACCATCGTGAGATGTGGTATACTGTACCTGCGATTGTCAGATTTAGAATTAGCCAATGGCGGAAATGGTTTTTTGGTGAGATGGCGAAGATGACGAGAACAAAAGCCGACGCAAGAGCAGATAGTAGACTCCCAACCACCGTCGGGACGGACACAGCGAGGTCAACAGCCATGAGATACTGAGGCACCGTCACAGGGCCTCATTGCGTGTCATCCGTGAGGCATGCATAGACCTGAACGGGAATCGCATCGCCTGGGAGGTGTGAACTATTTGCTTAAATCAAACAAAATGGAAATAAGCTTGCTTACTTGTTATCACTGTTCGCTTCTATTACATAACGTGTCCCACTGACCCAAACATTGGATTCCCAGAGGCCGCTAGCCCCGTAGCCAATACTCTAAGTATCAGACTACTGTTACAGGGCCGGTGGGTGTGTTCGTATATCTTTTCCTCCTAGAAATGCCGCAGGTCGAAGAAGGCCTTCGATGGCCTATCGGAGCGGACATGACCGACGATCTCTTGCCTAAATAAAGCTGCTGGCCCCACTAACGGTTCGAATCTTGAGATGATATGAGCTCAAGTTGTGCGTGGAAGGATCTCGCCACAAACTTTAATTTCTCGTTGCCATTCCTTCCACTTCCCCTTCCCGGTCCCCTATTTTCAGCCGGTTGTCGTATTTCGGCTAGGGAAAAGTAAATCTGGAACGGTAAAGCAGCTTCGATATACTAGCATGTATTGGGCTATAGCACAAAATCGATTAACATCCGGTGAAGCACTTTCCTACAGATGAAACCGGCAAGTGCTCCTTTCGGCCAGCGAACTGCCATAAAAAGGCTACATTCGCAAAGGATTTAAAGTACATCGCTGGATATAAGCCGCGGGCTATATACTTATCGAGCCCTCCATGCATTGTGGAGAATAGGGGGAATGGAGTTACCGGAATGCGATTTCTTGGCCAGTGCAACGAGGACTGACGCGTGGAGCCGAGGAAAATGTGAACGGGTCTCAGGGGCTCCAGGGTTTCTTAGTGGCCGTCTCAGAACACATTGAGAATAAGCTTCAGTCAGAGCCTGTTGATGACCTTAAGTCTGGCAATTGAAACTCGTCCGGGGCTTCCTTGAATGCCGTTGTGCATGCAATCGTTTCAACACTGCTGCGGTGCACAATTTTCAGGAACAAGACATCCGATTGAATCTTCAAGGCTCTATACAGGCAAGTTCTGTGCTTCAGTACCTTGCATTCGATGACAGCAGTCCAAAATCATAGACGTCAACTAGGCACATTTTGAACCATGGCGCAGGTTAGGGTTAGAATACCCAAAGCCAAAAGCATACTCCGGAGTAGCTTGACAACCGAGAGAAACGACCCACAACTAAGTATATTCAGCCACCATCACTTTTCTCTAGAACGCATGATCTGAAATGGTCTGATTGTTCCTTGACTTGCCACCGACTAATTATTTTCCCTGTTACCAGCCAAACAAGAGCTTCCAACTTCCAAACCGAGTGCTTTCTCATTGAAAGATCTTCAGTCCGATGGGCAACACTTGCGCCCAGGCTGAAACCTGACTGAGACAAAAAGGGTCTCAGTGTGGGCACAGTGGAATCCTGCCAATCGACTAACTTCAAGATTCACTAGCGATAGACAATCCATGGGCACCAAGGGGTCAAAGGAAGTGTGGAGGAGACGGCAAACGCTGGGACTCAACGTGGGCTACCAAGCCATATGGCCTAAAATAGCCCCAGCCACACTCTATTCTTCCCTCGACAAACACTCAATAGTCTTTCCATTGGCGTCGAAGGCATGTTCCAGAAATTTAGAATCCATAGAACAGGGTGGGTATTGCGATATTAAATACTTGGACTCGTATCAATTTCGCTGTTGGCCCCAGGCCCACATGGACGCCTGGATGCGACCGTCTGTTCCGTGTGGCCTTAGGGCTTATCTTAAGTACTTGTGGTTAACAACGGACCCACTGAGGATGATGTCTCGACCAGCCCAGCAATGTCAACGACGAGAGTTCATTCTTTCCTGAAAAGTTAAAAGCCATTCAGGAAGATGCTGTACCATGGTTGGTATACAGCCTCTCTTGGTAAGGATAATGCCTGTTCTGGAAGCCTTACCCAGATCCCAATGAAGCTCCGACTACGGCCCGGCATCACGGTGAGCCATCGATGCAGCCAAAGCTACAGAAGAGATAATCTAGAATATTCTGAATCTCCAGCGTATGTCTAGAATGTCGGAGACTACAGCACGTTTTCGAAGTAAGTATCCATATATATATCCTGTCGGAAAACTCGAGAAGATGCTTAAACGTTTTCGCTCTTCCAAAGGATCAGGGTAGATTGACACCATGTCATGCATGATCTCGGGAAATATATATTGTGTGCCGGCCGGCGTCTCACCGAGAATATATTCCGATTTCAGTGATCTTTACAAATTCCCGGTGGACGCGGTTCATGCTTCGCCATCAAGAGTGCGAAAGCCCCAAGAATCCTGCAGGCTTGGAGCGAGGATCGTCAAAGGCTGTTCAAGATGGCGGCTGTTCATTTGCGCATGAAGTCTTTCCGCCCCCAAGGGGGTGGATCTGATCGTCTTGTTTGGATGTGATCGACGCACCAATAAATACGACAGATATACGCGTGATTTTCAACGGGAAAAGCACTTGGACTGCCGATCCTGAGGCTGGGTCGATAAATCTTTGACCAGGCCGGTGCATTCCCAACCGTCCAAAGAGGTACAAAACCTCGACAGCTCACAACCGTGCGCCTCGTTGACACTCGACCGACGCTTCTGATGTAGATTGATACGTGGGAAATGCTCGGATCATACCCTTGTTATGGCCCAGAACCTCAATGTCACTCCGGACGTACAGATTGAGCCTCTGTTCCTGCAGCTTTTTAATTATGCCGACAAAACCAACATCCTGAAGCTGGAAGACTGGCTCTCGATCCTGACGCTCTGTTTGTCCCCACTGATTGCCCATATTCTTTCAGGCGTCCCGACCGTCGTCCGGCGATGCCCCAGTCCCCCGACATGGCTCGACACGCTTTGCCTATACAATCCCACTACCATCCTATGGCGATACCTCGCCATCGTGGAACGCCGCGTGAGGTATCGCCATCGTTGGGATGCAGCGGACATGGCCGCCACGAATGCACTGTTTTGGACGTCACACGGCTTCGACGGCTCCGAAGACATGATGAGGCAGAGCCGAAGCTTCTGTACGCGAATCCCACATCATCACCACTCAGAAATCTGGTCAATCGATTCGATTAAGACTGTCATCGTCACCCTGCAAGGTATCCAAGCCCTCGTCGTTCTAGTTCGCGGCATCTTGGCGTTAGCCAGCATTGGTAATCAACCGTACAACGCAACCATCTCCATGAGCACTATTTTCTACCCTCTTGCGGTCATCGGTCTCCTTCGCCTGTTCGCTGCCCCCTGGCTGACCGAGAATTACACCTACCATGAGCATGAAACCTACGGGAGTAGCAGGATTTTGGCACAGCATATCATCCACACCCCGTCTTCGGATGGCCCTTCCTATACAGCCGTGCGCAGCAGCCATGACGCTAAAATTGTGACACCGTCCAATGCGTCACTCTTACCCACAAGCCCGATGGCCATCCGTGACCCGTCGCTCGATGTTTGTCTGCCTCCCAGTAGACCTTGCCTTCCCACCCAGGCCGCCGTTGTGATCGTCCGTTGCTGCTATCTCGGCCTGTTATGTGCTATTTTGGCCATCTGTGTGTGCTATATGATCCCTCACCAGGGGGTCACTGAGCTGCTGACGCAGCCACCATCTGCGTCAGTCCTTTGGCTACTTCCCATTATGTATATTGTGTTCATTGTCGTATCGATCATCCTCTTCATCATTTACCTCATCCGGTGCGGCCGGGAGACAACCACCGTCATCCCGTGTCTTCGCACATGGTGGTATCGCGCGTACACCCTTCTCTTCATTGCAACAGCAATTGCGTTGATTGTCCTCTCCGGTGTCTACACAAGGCGGACATCATGTGGCCAGCTGACAGTTTTCCCAGCCGAACTTGACCAGGAGGTGTGCAATGGGACACCCATGCAGGTGGACAAGGCTGTCGGACCGTTTGGAATAGTTACTCAAGCGCCAGGACTCACACCAGAAACCTGGGTCTTACCATTGAAGGGCTGGTGCTCTGGAACCTTGACAGGGGAGATCCTCCCAGTCGAATCTGTGTCATGATGGGTTCAGAAATATCCCAAGGAATACTGGCTGGACAGGGCTCTAGTATATACGAACATTAGTAATGCTATGATAAAAAAAAAAAGGCTAAGTATAGAATATTGGCTCCTACATGGAGCCTTGCGAGGTATTTGCTGATCTTCTATGAGTTTCGATATGTAGTCTTCTAATTGTAGTTACAGAAGGAATATCGCCTAGTAGGTATGCCCCTGTCCACGTTCATGGCCTTCCATGAATATTTGCAGCTCATAGACGGCTCCGAGGACGACGTACAGTGTGTTGCCAACAACAGTAATCACAGTTGGGTCGGTTTCATGCCAGTACTGTTAGCCCTAAACCCAGGATATACTGGATATGCTGGAAATGCCCAGGGCACACTCCTCCTCAGTAACTGGTAGTCCAACCCCTTATCACCCGCATTCATATACATAAACTTGGTATAGGGCACCGTGGCATAGTATGAAAATGACACACCGGCGGGGACAAACGCGACATCACCATGCAGTAAAAGTACCCGCTCGTAACCCTGTACCTGCAAAGCAAGCTGTCCCTCCTCCATTTGGAGCGCAAAATGGTGCGGTAATGTCGCCGTCGAGACCGACTCATTCGCCAACTTACTTGACATGATAATAGTTCCCATGGTAAAGTTCCCGTCTGTTTGCGCGGGGGCCGCAAGTGGCTGGATGACCTTGTATCCAATGTCGGTGTTGAGATATTTTGGGCCGTAATCCTTGGCCACAAAGTATGGAGTTGTTGGGTCGTTGGGTGGGGTGTTGGGCCCATCATGCCAGGGCTGCTTGGCGTCACCAGCGGTGCCATTCACAAAGTCGCGCCGTGGGATATACTCCTCCTCTGGTGCTGCATACAGGTCCAAGGAGACGAGGCGGTTGTATTCTTGGGGTGTCATTGGTCCGAACGGCGAGGGGTCATCTGGAATGGGAACGTAGGGTGAGCTGATCCCGTCGGTATCGTGGTCCCCTTGACTGAAGACATTGAAGAGTTTTTCGAAACCGCCAGGATGGAAGACATGCGTCAGTTGTGAGTCGGGATCCACCAGCTGGAAGGTGTGGATGGACCCTGGAGGGATATTGCCGTAATCCCCTGGTGTCGCGACGCGGGCCTCGTGGCTGGAAATAGTGACATTCTTCTGTCCCCAGAGCTGACAACGCCCACGCGTGCAGTAGAGATGCTCATGCGTCAAGCCATGAGTGTGCGGCCGGGCTGACAACCAGCCTGAAGCTTTGCCGTTATGTTGCAACAAGGAAAAGGCACCGTCAGACGAGTTGGCAGTGATGGAGAAGCGGATTGTTTGGGAGGAGGTGAGTTTGATCGCGTCACCCTTGTATTTAGGAAGAACATATGGACGCACAAAATTGGGTGCCGTATCAACGATGATGCTTTTATTTGACGGAACGCCGTCTGTGGCAGCAAAGGGGGTGAGTAAGAGAATGGATAGCATCCATGGTATGAACGGGCTCCTCATCTTGGGCAGTCTTATAGGAGGCGTAGCATATATGGAGAGAACAAGTCTATAGTCTATAGTAAATAGTGAGACAGAACACCAACAGTTGCTCGGCCAGGAAGAGTATTATATAGAAGAGGGCATGGAATATGTGAGCGACATCAGGACCAACACATTGATAAGTGGAGTCTGTTATTTCAGGACACAGAGGCCCGCTCGATGTACCTGAAAAGATACCATGTAATTTCATGTTGCCAGACATTGCCAGACAAACGATGATGCTGTATATTCGCTGCCAAGTCCATGCCGCCATGGGTTTATCGTACGCCTGCGCCATGCTACCACCATGGCCGGGACTCCTTGGCGCAGCCTGAAACTACCATCATCTGATGGAGGCATCTGGAGGAATCTTCACGACGGCCAAGCCTATGCACCTTGCCATGCGTCCTTTCTCTATGCTTCGGATTTGGTGTGCAGGGTCCTACTCCTGTGAATAGGTTAGCCCTGGCTCTGACGCAGCTACGGCCCCTTACGCTATTCCTCGCTATACAAATAGCACGTAGATGACAATGCGCTACAGTGGATGCCCTGAAAGGCGGTGCCGTGGGGAAGGGAGATGAAATGATCAGCTCACCATTTGAGCCATCCAGATTGCTTAGCAAATATTTACCATCAGCGGGAATTAATTCCGCTGAAGGCCTCTAAAGTAGGTACCCACATACCGCGATTATGTGCCCTCAACCCCCGGCACATGTCAGGATATGTGGGCCATCTTTACGCAGATTATCAATCGCCAGATACTTTTTCTGGAAGCTTAAGCGACCCAGAACGCCAGAACGCGGGTTGGAGGAGCGTAGAGGGACAGCCAAGAAATCATCTCCGAATCTAGAACATTCGCCATGATCCTACGACAGCCTTTGATGATACTAGCCTAAAGCCTCCCGTCTGTAGAGCCGCGACCAACTTGGCGGCTGTTCCTGGAGAGAGTCATGAAGGTCCCCAGCAGGATACTAACCTAACCATCAGGCCTGCGAAATGATCATAGTTAGGTGACCTTGGGCTTTTCATCAATGAAACCACACTCTGGGCTCTTTTTCTACATATATTTTGCGCTTATATCGTATGTCCCGTACCAGGCAGCTATTACAATCCCTTCAAAGCTGGTACGAGCTATGTGGGATGTCAATTCCGATGGTTGCATCGCCACTTCTAGACCGCGAATCCAGTGGCAGGTTGTCTAGGTGTACATTGCTTTTCTCTACATCCTGTTGGTTTTGAGATGCCCACAAATGAATCATGAATTGGACGCTAGCAAACTGTAGTTTGAAGCATATTCGCATCGCGTTTTGAACAGGCTCATGAATTATGCGCATTTTGATCAAGCACGAAAGTGCTCAACGCTTCCAGCAAGGCTTTCTGGATCATATGTGTTAGTATATGAGTTGCCGTCGATCCTTACTCCTTCGTATGCTCTAAATTCGAAAACAAGCTGGGTACATATACGTACAAACGAAGGAAATTCATAAGATGGCTTGGATAATTGTGACCTGTACTGCCCAATAATCTATCTATTAATTCTAACACACACAATAATACATGAAGGCGCAAAACGACATGAATCAAACACTAGGAGAATGGCCTTTGATGCATAGTTCAATTCGAAAGGTCACGTCTGGAGCAATGAGACCGGGTGCTGATTACTTTAGTAGTTCCAGCACCTGGTTCGTGATATCAACCAAGGGAAACTGTGTTCTGTTCCCTGCCAGAGTCCCCGGAACTTTCTCGTCAAGGAAGAATTCAGTGACCGAGTACAAGCTGCCTCCAATCTCCACGTTGTCCACCGAAAATCCATTTCGAGAGGCATACACGTTGGGAACTGTTCCTACCATCTCGGCACTAGTCCACAGTCCATCAGCTGAACGGAGAACAGCCGTTCCATCCGTGGTGTCAGAGACCAGCAATACTGTGCCGTTGAATTGCTTTGGTAGAAGGATCCCATCCAGACTATTGCCGATTCTGGTCGCATTGCTGCCCTTCAGAGGTACGTGAACCTTGTGTCCCATTTCCTCTGTCATGTTAAACCGGTACAGCTGTCCATCCGAGCCATCCGTACCAAGCAGGATGTCGCCCCGGGCAGCAAGTCCCGACAGGCCAGGAACAGTTTGGTTGGGCTGAGGCTGCAAGTACCAAGGAATGGCAGTTGAGCCATTGGGACCAACCTTGATGATGCTCGCTGGGAAAGTGCCCACTACAAAGGTGTTGCCGTGGGCATCATGGGCAGCGTCTTGGTAGCCGCCATAAACACCATTCGTTACTTCGGTGAGGTTCTTTCTCCAGAGGACCTGACCATGACGGGGATCAACTTTCACCAGGAAATTATCGCCTGAGATATCTTGGCCTTGAGTGTCAAAGGCAGCCCCAGCATCGACGATGACTGAGAGTTGGCCTTGCGGGTCCACCACAACACCACTCATGTGAAGCACCGGGTCTCCAGAGAGCCCTGGAAGATGGATATTATCCACTACTTCCCTCTTGTAAGGATCATAAACTGCGACCGTGCTATTGTAGAGGGCACTACAAGCGTAACAACACATCATCAGTCCATGCCCAGCACTGAACAACGGCTCTTCCAGTAGCACGTACCTTAAGTAGACCAGACAGTCATTCTCATTGAAGTCAGCATGCTCCGGATACAATTGGTAGGCATTGACAGTTATGTTCCCCGTGAGAGGAGGGCATCCAGCCTCCGCAGCACCTGTGATAGGGTTAGCTACATGGTAAGGGGAAGCTATTAAGCTTTCTGTAAAAGGATTTACAGGAGGCACATCATAACAATGCTCTAGAGATTACATCCATTGCGCTTAGACTTACCGGGAGATAGAGTAGATGCGTTGGGCGTGTCAGTACCACTTGGGCTATGATTCCCGAGGTTGCCCAACACATCCGCGCCTTGGCTGTGATGAATACCTGGATTGTATATAGGCGTATTATTGTAGGAACGCAACCGTCCACTTCTGAAAGCAGATGCTGGGATCCTAGCGTGTGTGGGGGCAATATTGCACCCAAGTAGGAGCATCGAAAAGATGAATGATTGAAGTGACTCTCTCATGGTGGACATTGATTTGGGCAAATGGGTGAGGTATTGTCTTGAAAGCTGAGGATTTGTATAGAAAATTGGCCCAACCACACGATACCAGGTCCAACTTTATATGTGTGCCTGGCCACAGGCCAAATACAATGAATTTATGGACTCAGTGTCGCAATTCCAATTCCAGACCATCCTCAAGGTTGAGCATGCAACACGCCAAGCAAGGAACCTAACCCATATTTGCTGCTGGGCACTAGCTACACTGCAAGACCGTGGATCTAGAAGCTTGGAAACCACTAGTTAATGTTTAGTTATCCTGGTTTTCAATATGTGACTAAGCAATTTACATTCTCATGGCAAGGCTTGGGCGGCAATGGCTGAAAAACACGGGAAGCCGAAGATTATGATACTACCATGTTTAGCTCCACTGTCCTGAACCTTTAGTGGTGGTGGATATGTGTCTTACATCGTCTTTCATGTTAGAGGGGGTTAGTCTCATTGAAGTGATCAAAGCTAGTGGAAGAATACAGCCACCCTCAGTTGGGTCCATTGCTTTCTGGGTAAAGTAGATTCCTGACGTAGGCTGCCCTATTTGGCGGCTTGAGGCCAGGCTTTTCCAGACTCGGTATTCTTAACGTTGACAACAAAGTTAGATCTCAAGTGGATCTCATCAACTCAAAATGTTCATGAAACAGAGTGTGGCTGAGGTTGCATGAGGGACCCACCGAATGCGCGAATCCTTATACTCTTCCATAAACGCAGCACTTTCGCTTACAGAGCACCCGCGGAATGAACCCGCACTGAGTCCCGCTCACGCCATCTGAGAAGCACGGTTACAAACACGCCTCAGTCGAACTTCTCAAGTTTATTTCTTCACTTGGTGATCTCGATACGCTAAGAAGATACTGATGTCGCGTTTAAAACGCCTATCCTCTAACAATGCCACGTTGAAAGTAATAGGACGGCCCAAAACTCTGAGGTAGTGATCGACATGAGGGATACACAGTAGCAATTTAGGGCTCCTCTGTTCTTTCCCTTTACTAGCCTTTAGCCCAGGACGATTGTCTCGTCCAGTATAGCTTGATTAAAGCCCCTGTCTGTAGATCCTGTCGCAAAATAGACCACTTATTGTGTGCCAAGATCATCGCTATGATAATTTTGGGCTTACTAGTGGAAGGTCGATACAACTTGGTAAGCGAAGGATTTCTCAAATTGGGATATTCCTTGTTCTTCTGCTGTCTTCGCTTCGTAAGTTATACGGAGTGGATTCTTTCATGAAGGCTTGTCCATAGGGCCATCTACTAGTCGGTAAGATCAATGATCCTGTGCTTCTAATACCCATAACACCCATAACTAGCTGAACTCACTCCTGGACAATCCGTTTTAGCTCACCCAGGGTGGCCCAAGCAATGGCAAATGCCAGTGCCTCCGTGCTGGAAATCTGAAGCTATGTTCGTGAGCTTTAGCAATCGAGAGTCACCTTTGCTGTCTTATAACTCGGGTATAGGGTCTTTTCTGCAGCTCTGTGTGGGGGCGTCATGTCCCAGAAGTCCTTCACCTCAACCTGCGCAACGTTTGCCAGCCATATCTGGATAGTGTGGTCCTTTCCATGCTTTGCAGTCTTATCCAGCGCGGTCGTAGCTTGACCATCATCATTAGTCATGCTTAGGTGCTGAACATATGGGAATAAGATGTTTAATCTCCATGGCTTTGCCGGACTCCATAGACCGACTGCAGATTATCCTAAAGTAGCGTTTAGGGCAGAGGTCGTAAAGCAGGGATATTGATCTTAACCATAGGGTGATACATGGGCCATCGCCCGACCAGTTCGGCTACAAAAAGCCACAAAGCATCAATGTACCGGGCGTCAAACTTTGGTTTCCTTATTCAACCGGCACATATGCTGGTATTTGCTGATCAGAGTACACCAAATCAACCGTGTAGTACAATTACATAAAGCTCTATCTACATGATGGTTTTCATAGGGAACCTACAAACTTTCGAGTGCCCCGTTCAAACGCTGTATCCCCTAAATCGGTATACACACGGACAATACTGGTATTCCCAACCTGCTATTTAGTGCTGTTCATTTTCCTACTACAACAGTAGGTCTGTCATTTATTTCTCTGTCTATCCCATCCTCTCATCTTGTGCTCGACGAGCTCTACTTTGCCCAGCTTTGATTATTGCAACATGAAGACCAGTGTTATTTCTCTAATAGCTCTCGCTGCAGTTGCCACTGCTGCTGCTGTCCAACCAGGGGCTCACTCTAATACAAACGCCGTTCCCAACATTGTGGTCTCGCCCCCAGGGGACGGCAACGGAGCGATTGACAACACCGTCAGGCCGAATGATAACAACCGGCTGGGACAGTATTGGATGCAATACGGTGTAAGTCAAGCTCTCTTGGCGAACATACATCCCACAGCTAATAAGTGAAAGATTTGCGATACCAGGACACGCAAGACTACTTGCAAAATCCAGTCGATCCCGTCTGGGAAGCGTTGGGTTGGCTACAAGTGTCGTAATAAGGTGAGAGTGCTTCCCAAGAAATTTGCTCCTCAATATATGTATTAATCCTGGAAGTGCACGGAGGGATCCTGTCGGATTGATTCGACGCAGCCTGGGGAGCCCGCGGATTGCAGCGTTCCCAAGCAACAATACACCTCCTCCTGGTAGTGTCAACCTATGAATCCCCGGCTGGGGACATTGACTATCGGAAACTGTGTCTTGGGATATTGCATTTTCGCGAATCTTACTTGTTGGGATAGTTATCACCTTGAATATCGTGCAATACCGTACCACTCGCAGCTTGGATGATTTGAAGTACTCGTAATATCGTTGGAGGGCATTCTTAAATCTGTAAGCAAGAGCTGTTGATCAAGAATCTGAAGTAGGCCTCACGGAAAAGGGGGTTCGATGATTGAGACCCTGGCATTGTCATGTTTCAGGCCGTTTCAGGCTACAATGATCTGACCTAGAGGTGTTTCATCATCGTGAACGCTCGCCGTAGTATACACCACTGATAATTTCCAGGGTGACTCTTCGAGCCGTTTGCGTGCCAATGGCATGAGTACGAACGCTGAATATCTCCAAATGGACGAGTCGGACTTGATACTGTAAGGTCGACCGCTACTATATCCGCTACTGTAGCCAGGGCTATACGAGAGGTAGTCTTAATGTTGGTAGTTTAGTGAAATTGCCTTACATATTTTACTGGCTTTCGCAAACCCAAATCTGGGGAGGATTGGATCCATGAATCTGGACATTGTTCCTCCTGTTGATGGCTCAATTATCTCTAAGAGGTGATTGCCACCTTCATTATACTAGTTCCCACGGTAGCCTCCAAGGCCTTGTACCTATATTCCTGTCAAATTATACTTGTCCTATAGGCGCCATCCCCACGACCGCATCGAAGTAACATCAATGTCAAGCAATCGACAGGCCATGGATATTACCATGTCATGACCTACAAGTCAACCACCCATGCCAGACATCTTCCGGTATCGCTTTGCAGTCGCGGATCGAAAGCGCTTTCCGTATATGGCCATGCCCAATAATGTCACGGTAACTCCCAGGCTGATAAAGCCACAGGTGACGAACATCTTGGTCAAGCCGCTATGTTCCATCCAAGGACTGATGGCAAAGGGTATGCCAATGCTAAAAGCATTTCGAAGGAAAGCCACGCCCGTAAACGCATCACCTGTGATCTGTTCACGGGTTAGTGTGAATAGGCAGTGAGGGACAGTTCAAGATACGGCGAACCTCCATGTAACTATCGATGACGAGAGTTAGACATGCATCGCTGATACTGCCGAGCCCGAAGCCAAAGAGCGCACCACCGATACTGGGTAGAATCCAGTGCATGCCCTAAGTTCAATGCTAAGTATTAGAACTATGTGTCATGGTAGAAGCGGGATAGTCGTGCAAAGTCAACAGCGATCACCCGCCAGGAACTAGAGACGGGGGGCTCGTCTCTGCGAGACATACTTTGTCAATGGTTACTCCAAACATGACGAGACCACCACAGAGGGCAACTGCCGGGAGGTGTAGAATGTACAGACGCATCTCTGGCTCGTAGTATCCGGAATTCTGCCGAGAGAAATATTTGATTGACCAGTCTCCAAGGAAGCCGCCGTAAAACGAGCCGATCAAATTACCGACAAACGGACCAACACTCATGTAACCGATTTGCTCCGGGGTGAACTCATATGGCGGAAGGGGAAATACGAGAGCGATCACGCTTGAAAGGATTGTAAGCCATATCACTCCGCATGCATACTGCAGACCACAACAGAGGACTGCAGGGAATGTGAAAAGGATCTCGATGGGGCGATAGAAATATGGCCAGATCGGCTCCGGTGTGTAAGTTACCAAGGACAGTCTCTCTCCCCATGTCTTCATAGGAATGTTGTGATCTAATGGAGGGCTGCTCGCCCTACGCTGCTGAACTCTGGTGGCGTGTTTGAGAGGTGCCTTGTTGCCCGTCTCATCGGGTGGAATCTGCTGCGCAGGCCTAGCGGCAGGCGTGACTCCTTCAATGGTAGGGGTATACTTTGACTCTTCGTAGAAGACGATAAAAAGTACAAAGAGAACCGCATTGAAGATGCCCATAGTACGGTAGGACCATCGCCAACCCTGTCTTGTCGCTTGAGCCCCAGCAGCCATGGGGGTGAGAAAGCTCTAACACTATTTTAGTGCGGTGGATACAGGAGGTGATGAAGGGAGTCTCACCCCAATCATCATCATGGTCATGTATAACGCATTCATGCCACCACGGTGATGCACAAAGAAGAGATCTGCGATCTGATAGGAAGCGCTGTAAGCCCATGACGCTTGGGGAGTGATGGCAGGATAGCTCACGGTAATCTGGACTATAGCCTCATTCGTTGCCCCAGCGAGGCCCTGTAGGAGGTTGGTAACATATAGCTCTGCGAGGGTTTTGATTTCTGCTGCCCAAAAGGAGGTGACGAGCATCAACGCGGTCGACACTAGGTACACAGGTCTTCGGCCAAACTTCTTCGCGAACGGAATGAAAAACACGCATCCGACCGCGAGTCCGACGAAGTTGACTGACATAGCATTGTTTAGCTGTGGGTAAGTAACGTGTAAATCGACCACCATCAACTGCCAGAATATCTGTTGGATAGAGAGCCTACTCAGTGAAACCAGGTTAGGAGTTCATTCATGCTAAATATTATGTGGTGGGACCACAGACGCTGTAAAAACGAGACAGGTTACTGCTAGTACGAGCGTAAAATTGCATGCCTTGCGTGCAGTGCTCCAATTCTGTATCCTCTATCAGTGGACAACGTTCCTTTCCCGGAGGCTAGACTTACCAATGGCTCGTTAGGGTCACTGGACGGCAATGGACTGAGGACGATCTCTCGCCGTCCCTCAGCCTCGTCTCTGATCTCATCTATATGCAGGTCAGAAAGACTTTGGTGAGGGAAAAAAGGAATTCTTACCTCTGATAAGAAGAACAGTTCCTGGGGGGGTATCATGATCGGTTAGAGAGATGTCGGACGCGTCGCCTCCTGCCATCAATATCTGCTGCGGAATAGACGTGGTATCTACTGAAAGCCGAAGGGGTGTGCTGTTCGATCCCAGATTATCTCGAGGACAACCGCTTATGATAAACGATCTGGCCCATGGCTTTGCCGGTGGTTCTATCTTCCCCCCTTACCACCAGGACATGGCTGATAAGAGCTCGATATCACAAACGCGCGCATTGGAATGCGGGGAAGCCAATAGAGATCTGGGTCCGATAGCGCCCCCCAGCTTATGCATGTCTAGGCAGAGGTTAACAGAACTTACTTTGTGCAGGAACAGACCTCGGACAGCTGGCACTGGGTCGACCTGCCTAAAGGGGAATCGGCTCAGCGATTTGTCTCAAATAAATCATCCTGAGGTATTCTTCCATTTGTTGTTTACGCCGAGTTCGCAAGGTTTGAGATAAACCGCAGTATCATGCGCCTTGATACAGGTCGGCGCGCTACTTCGGCATCTACGGTATACACGAAAGCCGTACTCGACTGATAAAGGCTTCTGCGTACAAGAAGATCGGTTCCAGGGAACGGTAATCTCGTGCACCAGTTAACAATTTCAGTCTTGAACCTCGGATCCGATGGCCAGCAAAGCCTCCTTGATCCTATACGAAACACAAGATGGTAGCTCATTTCCTTTCCATGGTATCCGAGACCATACTGGCGAACATAGTATACTTACTACTCTCCCATCTAGATCCGCCGTCCGTATCGGCGGTCGCTCAGACGATAACTCTTTCGTTCGTTGGAGATCCTCTCATCCGATGGTTGCGTCCTAGTGCAGCCCCCTGGTCGACGCAAGAGCATGAGACGAACAAATGGCAATATCGTCGTGTACAACAAGCAATATTAGAAGGCATCGTGCTCCGATCTACATCAGCGCCACAGCTGGCACAGGAATTTCCGGCATGTAGCCAGCAAAAGGGTCTCCCAGCCTCTCTCGGCGAAATCAATTCTGGGCATGACGGGCCCGACGCGGGAACAGTGGCTTTATTATTTCCCCCAAAAAACCAACAAACCTGGAAATGGAACAAGATAGCCCTCGCCGTGAAACTGTGGTTTCTGAGCTGGTTAGATCCAGTCTCAGACAACGGAGCAGACGAAAAGGTATGTGACTATCGTTCCACCCCTTTCAAGAGATCGAATTCGTTCTTCTAAGCCTTTGCAGCGCGTCGACATCTTGCTCGATGCACATGACACGGCGCTGAAGCGGATCACAACCCGATACAATATTCCAGACCCTTGGTATTTAGAAGTCGTAGCAGTCCATCCCACCCTCCAGGGGCGAGGTTTGGGCAAGATTATGATGGAGCGCGTCTTGGACTATGTGGGCCATACGCCCATTGTTCTGGAATGTACAGCTGAGCAGAATTTGGGATTTTACACCACACTTGGGTTTGAAGTCGTCGAGAAGGTCGAGTTGGCCGACAATGGCGGAGCCGTCAGTTGCTGGTTTATGCTACGGCGAGCAAATGCCATTTCACAGTAAGTACCAACGGCAGACACGCTCAGCTAGAGAAGTCCAATCTCCATTCCACGAGCCAAAGCGAGTTCGTGGGCATTTGCCATGTCATGATGGTGTACCCACCACTCCTCAAGAACCTCTAATAATAGCTCGAAATCTCTCTCGAATCCATGTGGATGGCCATACGTGGATAGACAACATCGAAGTACATCTTTTAATTCAGGTTGCGCATTGATGATGTCCGTCTGTAGCCCTGCGATAAAGGCGGGATATTTGATCGCGTTGAAAATCAACGACCCGGCGCCCTCTGTTTCCGTAAACGCTCTACGAATGGCGTCCAGGTGGCTCACAATTCGGGAGACAAGAACAGTAGTGGACGGTAAGGTCAGGCTGCTGGCACCGTTCGGTTGCACGGTCGATCCGGTTAACGCTCCATTGGGTTGTGGAACTAGAAGTAGGTGGTTATATCTGATAGCCAACAACCCGGCTAGTCGATATGCCTCCCACAGCTGGTGCTGCGATAGACTACCCGGGCTACCGGGCCAGTTCCAAAAGTCCTCCTCAGTAGCCCCGTGGCCGATACACGAGATAATATCTAACAACGACCTGGGCAGGCCACTGACCACCTCAACCTCGTCACCGAGGGGGTGCTGCAAGGAAGTTCGGTCGCGACAATGTTGTCGCCAGAAGCCAAGAGAGGTGCTGCGGCCAACAGTAAACGTTGGTAGATCCATGACTCCCATCACTTCCAATAAATGTCTCCGGAATTCTGTTCGCTCGCCAGGACCATATAATCCATGTGCCTGAAGAAGTCCGTACATTCCATGCAAGTGCATCGTCCATGGCATGGCATGCATAAGCTATAATATAACCTGCTGTTAGCGCGGCATAAAATATTGGTAGATACAACAACGTACCCCAATGCTGCAGAGCAGCAAGCCGGCCGTAAAGGTCCCATCCTCCAGGTATGTCGCATTGCTTGACAGTTCTGTGCGGAACAAATTCAAAGCTACATCGAAATGCTCATAAAAGCGAGGCTGCACATTTGGTGTGAGAGAAGCCTGGAGTGCTACACATATTGCGTATAAGGAGCTTGACTGTTGAGACAAGATCGGCAGCCTGGATTGGAGGAGATTCCGCGCATCGTTGACCGAGGTCGAATGGAGGACATTGATTCCGGACGAACGAAACTCTTGAAACAATCGATCTTGTTCGTTCAATCGTACGTCGGCAGTCTGTTCGGCTCCTGTTTCTACCTTAGTCTGGAGCTATCAAGAAGAAAAACGCGACCGGTGCATGTCCAACGGCCTGCCCTACCTGGCTTGAGATGAGAAGAATCCGCCTCGGCCTTACCATTGGCGACTTTGGCAGGTTTTCGGCGCCTTTCTCGACTCAGATCGCGCCGTCTGCCCTTGACTCGAGGAGGAATAGAAGCCTCCACTGGCTCTTCGGCGCCCGTGAATCGGCCACGCGACGCAATGCCCGATCCCCACCGCAGCCTTATCTCGTATCCCTCACAGGGCACTCCACGGCTACTGCACGCTTTGCAGGCTGGTCGGGCTCGGTCGCATTTCCTCCTGACCCGTTTGCAGGTCCAACATCCGTTGTAAGACCGATGGCGCGGGGTCGACATGCCGAACAAGGAACTTGTAATGATCAGGATCAGTTGCGATCAAGAGATTCTGGCTTAAAACCGCGCAGGAAGCGAGGCAACACAAGGATTGTGGGGCCGGCGATTATCGTCAAGTGTGGAGTCTCTTTTTATCAAGCCGCGTGGAGTCCATTTGGACTTTGGCGTCCACCTTCCTGATCGGGTTTAGAACCTGAGGCCTCCACTTTTCGTCGTCTATCACGTTCAAGTCGAGAACGTCTGCATTTGGGGCTGCTGTATGAATGACTTGAAGAGATCGTCGGGGTTACTGTGGCTGTTATTATTAGTATCAAATAAATAGTGTGTAGTAGCGATTAGTATCAGCATGATGCTTACTAGCCAGATACATATATCTCTCTAACCCTAAGTAACAACAAGCACCCAGCAACAGTATGTCATTCAGATCACCCGTCTCGAAATGCTCCATCATCCTCCCATCCCTCGGAAGACTGAAAGGCTTCGAATATGCCAATGGCGTGCAACAGTATTGTGGTATACCTTATGCTTCGCTTGAGAAACGGTGGACTCGATCGCAGTTGATGACGCAGTGGCCCAACAACTACCACGATGGAACAAAACTCGGGTATGACCACAGCTGAAGCTCTGGCGGAACTCAATGGCTGATTGCACACGCGTTGTAGAAGCGACTGTCCCCGACCGAAGATTGAAGGAGATGACTCGGACGATCTCGTACCGGTGCCTCCAACGGCGCATTTAGGAGAACCTCGAACGGACGAGTTGTCGGGGCTCGTCATGAACATCGTCTTGCCGTGTGCCCCCGGATCGCAAAGGTTTCCGGTCATGGTGTATGTCCATGGGGGTTCATTACTGTATGGAGGTGCGAACCTGCCGATCTTTGATGGCGTCAATCTCGTTTCCCTCAGTATGGAAATCGGTATGCCCATTGTCTACGTCAACTTCAACTATCGGGTCGGATTAGGTGGCTTTCTTGCCAGTGCAGCAATCCAGCAAGAGCTCCAGCAGGATGGCCATCAAGGCTGTGGGAACTTCGGATTCACTGACCAGCAAGTGGCCTTCGAATGGGTTCAACGTTACATTGGCAGTCTCGGGGGCAATTCTGATCGGGTGACTGCGGTCGGAGAGTCTGCGGGCGGCATATCCATCAGCAATCAGATGTTAGCTGCTCGTCCTCCAGTATTTCACCGTGCGGTCTGCATGTCCGGGCTCTCTGTCTCGATTCCAGCCTGGTCAATGGAGCAACACGAGGAGCTGTTCCGGGCTGTCTGCCGTCATTTCGATATAGATCCATCACGATCAGACGTGCTGGACTGTCTGCGGCACATACCTCAGCAGGAACTAGCCAATGCAACGCCCATAATACAAGGTGTTTTGTCAGGTACCGGGAATCCATGCCTCGATGGTTGGTTTCATGAGCGGGATCCGCTTGAGATACACGAGCCACCGCAGTGGGTAGAAGCGTTGATGATAGGAGACACCTACCACGAAGGGATTATCTTCCACTTAAATCTACTGAACGACAATTTTGCAGGTATTCGAGAGATACTAAATCAACACATGCCCCTGGAGGAAACGGATAAAGTCTTAGCTGAGTATGAGATACAACCGGACCTACCTCAGGATGTCCTCCTCAGCCGGGTTGAACACATGTGCGGTGATGCAATTTTCAAGATTCCCAACTATGCTACAGTGGTTGCCAGTGTCCCTTCTGCGCAGGAAAAAGCGGTATTTGCATATCACTTTGACCAGCGTTCACGACTGAGAAACGCACTTGAGGGGACCGCGTATCACGCCCATGAACTTCTTTATCTGTTTGGCAACTTGGACAATGAGCTCTCTCGCGAAGAGCGGGAGATGGCGAGGAATTTTGCTGAAGCTTGGATCAGATTCACGTACAGCTATTCACCCTGGGAAGGCTCGGAACGACACTGGAAAGTATGGGGTCCCGAGTCAATCCAAGCTGTAAAAAGTGAAGAGGATGACGAGGAAGCTCGGTCATACTCGCGTATGAAAAGGCTTCTGGCGATGGATAATGGAGATACTTGGAGACGATGGCTCAACGGAGTAGACGCCTTGGTCAACAAGCGTATGAATTTGGGGAAGAACTATAGTTCATAGTGTTTGAATCGAGGTGCCCAACCGAGACAGTATTCATCATAGCACACATGCAGTCATTTTCTATCCTGTCTGAAGTCAGACTGCGATTTGCAGTATGTACAAATGTATGCTGCTATACATTGTCTCCTCGATATAGGAAAAGATAATCAAATAATATTCATTTTAGACCGTGTCTGGGTACAGCGGTTAATGGGTAACTTAGAGACGCAATCTGTATCCAGAGTTACAAATTTGAGGCCCGGTCATCGACGGCTCGTGTCAGCCCTGCTTTCTTCAGTCTCCCTTCAGTTAGCAGCATCTGCTCTGGGAACCAAGACAGAGAATCAGATCTCACATGGTCCGTTCGGTCGCTGGCCAACAACATCTGTGCCACTGCTGTTCCACTTAGCCAGGCTTGCACCATACCTTCTCCACTAAATCCGCAGCAGGCCCACTGAGCACCACGCTCCTTTGTTGCTTCTGCACTATAACCCACAGATGAAGGTAGCTGTCCAACCCAGGGAAGGCCATCACTACTAAATCCCATGTTTCCCGTCCACATCTGCTCCACGCAAGGACCGTCAACCTGACCCCAATTTTCATGGCCGAACACCGCACTCAACGCACCGGACAGGTGAATATCACAAGGCAGGCTCAGCTCTGAGTCAGTTGCGATACCCAGATCGCCAAGCCCACCGTTGCGACCTTGAGCAAAGCCACCACCCAGCATCATCTTTTTACCTGAGTCTCCTCCAGGGGGTAATTGTGTCAGGTAGTCGAAACCACGGTCGTAGTTAAAGAGCCACGAATGTTCTGTAGCTTGACAGATAAAAGTGGAGCCCGGGTTTTGGGCAGACATTTGCCCTCGAACTGGGTAAACGTGGCCCCTTAGCTCGGGGACAAGATGTCCAACATGAGCATTCGTACAGTGGATAACATGCCGAGCATGCAGGGTTCCTCTCGGTGTCTCTACGGCATACCGCAAAGGTGAGGTGCCATCGGTCGAGACTTTGGTCGCTGGTGTGTTGGTTTCGAGTAGGAAGTTTGCTGGATGCTTTTGTCGCAACCTTGCTAACAAACCGGTGACCAGTTTATAAGGCCATAGGGCTCCGGCTGGTCCTGCAACAACCCCAATGGCATGAGGGAGGCACCATTCCTGAGATCTATTGTCAACCTCCAAGCAGTATTGTAGCAGTATATGGAAGTAACAAACCTTGGGGACCTCGCTCTTGTCAAGAAGTTTCCACTCGGCTGCTTCTGCAGGCATACATGTTTTGAACCGTGTGATACATTGCACTGCTTGACGCCATCTTTCCTCGTCGAAGTGCACACTAAGAAACTCGACCTTTCGAGCCTGGGTTTCTTTTGTCAATCCATACTTGTCCGCTACCTCCAATATCGACTTCAGATGGGCCAGCCGGAACCGTGTCAATGCCTTTGCCGCTTCCAGCCCATAGAGGGCTTCCCAGTCAGTAAACTCTTCAGCTGTCTCCAGAATATGACCTCCATTGCGACCCGTCGCGCCAGTGCAAGTGTCTCGGGCCTCCAGCATGACAACTGCGGGTCTCGTATTGATCACTGCAAGCTGATCATTTTCCTCCAACAGGGTGCGTGCAATTGAAGCACCTGTAATGCCGGAACCAATAATTACAACATCAGCCTCTTGAGGCAATTCCCGTGATTGCATACTGGCCAGCTCCGGGTGTGGATCTTTCAGCCAAAACGATGAAGTGCTCTCGCCGAGTGGCCCTGGTATTCCTGGATCGGCGAGAACACGGTGAAGGGCATCCTGCCTGTCCTTGAGGGGAATGCCGGGGTCGGTGAGGAGGGCCTGTACGAATGCCATAATAAAAAGTCCTGAAAATAGGGACCACAGAAAATGATGCAGACTCAGTAGAAGCCGCGGAGAAGAGGCAAGGCGTTAGTGAATATAACGCTATGTAGGGAAGCCCCAGTATATCATATGGAGAACGATGTTGTATATTTCATCTCTCGTACTCAAATCCCACATCTACTCTCGGACCATTCACGGCGGCTCGCGAATACCGCGGCAGTGTAACGGCATCTCATTTTGGAGTAATACTATCGGTCGAGATACTTCACCGTCCGCTATCTAGCGTCAACCTGCCTGTCTGGACATGTTGGTACTCCCAGTGGGGTGAAGAGCCCAGCTGCCGCCCATCGCTGCCGGGGCATATTATAGGCGTCGACCTTCCGCTTATAGCTAGTGAAGATCTCGTATGGATTGATCTCGGCATTATGCAATGTGCCAAACATCCGCGTCACTGCAGGCGCCCTCGACAAGTGTATAAAATCGGAGATTAAGAGAAAGGGTTATGAATTCAATATCACCATTTTTGACTTCGATTCAAAGGATCTGTCAAGAGCAGCTACAATGACTTTATCAAAGCCCGCGGACTCCCCTGGCAATTCCTTCTACCCCAATAGCCCACCCATGCGGCGTCCAGGGCTGTCATTTGTTTATCGTCTAGAATGCAACATTGATCCTGAGGAAATCAACGTCGGGGCGCCTCATGGGGCTGGAGTGACGCGAAGTATTGCGAATATTGTCGGCGGCAGCTTTAGAGGACCATCGATATCAGGGATAGTCCTTCCGGGCGGAGCAGACTGGGCAACGGTCATTGAAGGGACCCACGTAAGTAAGCTTATCATACTCCAGGATCCACCCAGTGAAGCTCATACGATCTTTCAGTCCATGACTCTTGATGCACATTACACGATAAAAACCGACGATGGCTGTTATCTTTACGTCCGAGCACATGGTCTCTACCGTCCTGGCCCGGGCACAGAGTATGCGAAACAGGTCGCGAAGGACCCAGCCCTACGACCCCCTCCCACTGTGACCCAAGACGATGTAGAGTTCTTCTCACACCTGCGAATCGAAACCGGACCAGGAAAGTACAATTGGTTGAACGGCTTAGTGTGTGTTGGAGTTATGAGCTGTGAGAATGATCGCATCCTGATCGATGCCTATCACTTGACCAATTTCGAGGGTTCTGAGCCAGAGGACGTGATGGCACGTAGGAACGCCTGTTAAGCAATAGACCACTATCAGGAACCAACTTCCAACGCGTTATCAAGAATTGCCTTCGCATCTCCTCAGATAAGCTAGTAATCGATAAACCGAGGTATAACCATCCTAATGTGGAAGGTAGACGCGCCTCAGCCGGCAGAGCATTGTAAACGTCTCCTCACGCGGAGCAACTTGGCACTAGGGCCATTCGGATATATAGATTGGCTTGGCCCGGCGCATGTACCCTCACCTCCCTCACATTGACTAACAGAGATGACTGGAATGACGGCAACAGAGAACAACTGGGAGGCCAAGGTGGCGGAGAAGCGCAAACAATTGGAACTACAGATTCCCCAAGATTGGCGTTTGAATGCCACATTTTTGTCCAAGCTCCCATCAAATGGCCACCTCCTAGAAGTGGACATCCCACGCCACAGTGGACTCCTCACAGAGGAGGAGCTGGATATCACAGAAGAGTACACTGCGACACAGCTGCTGCAAAGGCTTGCCTGGGGCGAGGTAACCTCGCTGGCAGTCACTACGGCTTTTTGCAAACGCGCAGCCATAGCCCAGCAACTAGTAAGTACAATTGGCCCGGTTACTGTCGTGTAGGTGACACATAATAATACTAGCGTCTTAAAGACCTCATGCTTGACAGAATACTTTTTCGACAGAGCGCTTGAGCGTGCTCAATACCTGGATGATTATCTGAAGCGAGAAAAACGGGTCATGGGCCCGTTACACGGCTTACCGATCAGTCTCAAAGATAGCTTCTGCGTCAAGGGCGTTCTGAGTACGGTGGGATATGTCTCATTCTTAGATAACTCGCCAGCAGAAACCAACTCTGCTCTGGTCGATCTGCTGCTTGACTTAGGTGCGGTTCTTTATGTCAAGACCAATATTCCGCAGACAATGATGGTCAGTGTATCTCCAGAGTCCTCAATTGGCTTATCTAACGTTCTATGCTTAGACGGGTGATTCAGACAATAATATTTACGGTCGTACATTAAACCCGCACAATATAAGCCTGACCGCCGGAGGCTCCTCCGGTGGTGAAGGAGCTCTCGTTGCCTTCCGGGGCTCGATCCTCGGCATCGGAACTGATATCGCAGGCTCAATCAGAATTCCGTCGCTGTGTTGCGGTGTTTATGGATTCAAGCCCACCGCAGATCGCATTCCGTTCGGTGGACAGGTGTCCGGGGCAATTGAGGGAGTCCCCGGCATAAAGCCAGCGGCCGGACCACTGGCTCAGTCGTTAGATGACATTGAGATGTTCATGTCAACTGTGCTCAAAGCTGAGCCCTGGCGATATGACGTGACTGCAATTGGGTCACCCTGGGTGACGACACTCAACTTGCCCTCATTATTAACGATCGGAGTCCTCGGTGAAGATCCTCAATTCCCAATTCATCCTCCTGTCCGCCGCGCAATGGAGTCAGCAATCGCGGCACTAGGCAAGAAAGGACACAGAATAGTGCGCCTGGAACATGACCCTGCACGGGGCGTGGCATATGCGAGTCGTCTAGCCTTTCAGTATTTCACGTATGGGCCACATATCGATCACGTCGAAGCCAGTGGGGAGCCGTTGGTGGCATCAGTGGCAAAGTTAGCTAATCCAATGTTCACTGGGCCATTTCCTGTGGACCAGGAAGGAGCCTTTGAGAAAATTGAGGGACTCTATAACGCACGAAAGGATTACGCTGAAGCATGGCGCAGGACATGGGTCCAATACGGCATAGATGTTCTTCTAACACCTGGAGCCCAGAATACGGCCACGCCGCATGACACATATGGATGGCCACCGTACACGGTCATCTGGAACCTTCTGGATGTGAGTTCATAACTATGTACGCTGAACACCTCCCTCTAACTCTTTCCAGTATCCTGCATGCATTGTGCCGTACAGCAAAGCTTCGAAGGTGCTTGATCCAGATCCTATGCCAGTACATGATGGAGTTCAGCCGAGCTGTAGGTTTCCACCACACAGGCCAGCAGACAATTATTATCCTAACCTATTCTAGATGAACCTGACTCCGTTGATGGAGCCCCATGTGCTCTTCAAATCGTAACGCCCCGGCACCAAGATGAGAAATGCCTTCTCTTTTCCAGGCTGATCGACAGAGACATCCGTTAACTCGCTAGCCTTTTAACGGATATCATGAGTGATCAGAGGTTGCAACAGGAGCCAGGAATACAATAGTGTCTAGACACAGTCTCTCTGTCAGATAATGTACATACATTAAAAATGCACCGTGTTGTCATTGTGTGGGCATGCTAGTAAATGCATGCCACAGTCCATCATCACAGGGCTCATTTATCTCGGTGGGCTATCCCCGTTTGATCTTTGTCGGAAAGACGGAGGACGAACCTTGAGTGTAATCTGCGCCGCATTGGGTGGTCCTATGCATAGTTTTGCTAAGCCCAAACCCGGAAAAGAGACTCTGTGGGTGATTTGAAAGCTGTCGGCCGACTCTTCGTGCCCCGATGTTGCCGCAAATACCAATCCCTAACGGTCTCATTGTGCCATTCAGAGCTGCCTTATGCCAACGTGACAGCACTCCCCATATCACGGAGCTTGCCATCTCGGTCACAACTAGTGCAAGCTGACTATGTTGCGGGAAACAAGTGATGCATGAAAGTTGCAGCTCAGCATAGGCCTGTTCTATCTCGATATGTGCCTCATGGACGAGAAGCCTTGATAGAGGTTACGCCCTTTGGGTCGCGTTTTTCTTCTTCGGGCGGGTAGTGTTCCCGTCCGAAGTTGGGGCGAGTCGGGCGCCTTCATCCGATGATCTCGATCGTGTCGTCGCTGTGGTCTTTGTCGGGATTGCTTTGAGCATTGAAGAGCTCTATATTGGGTGGCTGCTCCGGGAGCTGCGTCTTCCGTGTGGTCTTGGAGGTCCTCTGGGATTGGTTCGAGGATGGCGTGAGCATTCTAGGTGACTTTGAGATGACGCGCGCAGACTTCTTAGCAGGCGATGCTGCTCTTTTGGCTTCCTTTGACAAGGTCCGATCGACAGAATTCATGCTACCCATGGGTAGGAGAAACAGCCGGTAAGCTGCAGCGCATGCCAAGTAAAATTCAGGTAATCTAGAAATATCGAATGTACGCTCCCGTAACGAGCATGCCGTGAGATAGAGGCCCTTTCCAAGCAACATAGCCAAAATTACTTGAATGCTCGACACAGAATCCCACATCCGACACACTCGTTCTATGCAGTCAATAATGCAGGCAAGCTTGGTTTCATAGTAGGGAAAGCGGCTATAACAGGCCTGTAACAGCAAGCGACCCCAGGCAAAGGGAACTCTTGTTTGACAATCATACTCGAATATATCTTGTGCGGTAGGGTTGGTGAACTTCTGCCATCCTTTGCGAAGGCACGCCTGGCAAGCATTGCTATCAAGATGGTGTCTGGTATCTTCAATGGCCGTACAGTGAAAAAAGCCCGAACACTCGTCAACAAATACATTCAGCCGGTTAACCCAGAATGGGCCAAGGTTCCCATCGTCGTTATACGGATCCTTTTTAAGCCACCGCGACCAAGAATCCAGGATATCCTGTCCATGCGCCGCCGTGCCCAAAAAGTACTCCCTGTGTTCCACTCTGCAGAAACAGTTGGGTTTGCACCGCAAATTTCGGAGTTCGGCGTGTGCTAGTTTCTCGAGGAGTCTGTAGTCTCGCAATGCAGGACTTTGTTTGGCGCTCCACTTCCGTAGCTGACATTGTTTCTGATGTTGTTGGGTGCGCACTTTCACATTTCCAGAGTGTCCAATTTTATAGTAAGGGCTCTGGGCGGATGGATCATGGAAAATGTATGCATATCCTTTCTTGGATTCTCTCTCTTGGGCCCCGCTCCACCCGCAGATTACATCGCGGATAGCGAGTATAATATCCTCAGTGCTATACGAATCTGAGATACGTTCCGGCCCAATTTGCCGGTGCTCCAATCCATGATCGGAAACGTCCGTCCTTGGCGTCTCTTGCTGACTTACCAAAGAGAATGGGGACGCTGATCCATGCATTTCAAGGTCTGATGAATCAGCTGAGTCAGTTTGCGCAATATTTGCAGACGTCAAATCGGGGACTAGCCCATTGGTTTGGGCTTGACCGGTCGTCGTTGGAACATCCACATGTGTCGCCACTAAAGATACCCCATCATCCGGCTCGTCATCCAAGATTTCTATATAGGGTGCGTTTGACGGAATCCATGCCGGTCGTTCCGGGGAGGTCTGACTAGAACCTGACATGGAGTTTGAACCATTGAGTGCCTTCGTTCCTCGGGAGCAATGCTCCAAGAGCGATCGCTGTGGGTTTCGGTTCAAATTCTCTTTAGTCCCTTCACGAAGGTAGGCTTGTACTGTCTGGTTTCTGGGTGGGATAGACGCGGGTGGTGATTGGCTCTGTCGCGGCCGCTCTCTCGCTTGCCGTCGAGCCACTACAGCTCGCGTGGGACTCTCGTCCACAGGATGAGCAACGGAGTCGCTTTCATCGTCCGAGGACTTTCCGATCAGATCTGGGGAAAGGTCAGGGAACCGTCCAACCATATTGGAGTGCGGATCGGAGCGCAACGGAGTGGAGAAGGCCATTTGTCGATTAAGCAGTATCGCGCGAGGCGTAAATTAGTAACTTACTAGTAGTATCACCGCGACAACGGCATATCGGTGCTTATTATATCCACGAAGCGACCAGCCGCACGTAATTCCCAGAAGACCCTATATTGTAGCCTAGGCAGGGCCCTGCTCTGCTAGCAGGCTGTGCCGTTCACGGACCTTGCGTGATAGCAAGGGTCCTGGCATGTTTACTGGCAGGATATGGCTTGGAGCATGGTTGTCGAGATCACGGGGCAGTAGTTCAGACACTGGTCGCATATTGTTGCATGCGCACTTTGCCTGTTCGGAGCCCCGGCGCATATACTGCATTGACTCGCTGTGGCTGAGCTTTGGTATGTCACAACCCGAAGAACAAAAAGCAGTGCAATTGGAGAGATCAACAAGTCCTTGATGCTAGACCCGAATAGGCACGTTTGCGAGTCATGCTCTGTTTGCAACATTTGTCTTTCATGGGAGCCTGAGGCAATAGGAAGTTTTCGTCTCACACCCTTTTAGTTGTTCTGTCCGCCTTTTGGTTGATTATCCTATTTTTAGTTCTTCTCCTCTTCTGTTTTTTTTTTTTTTTTTTTTTTTTTTTTTTTTTTTTTTTTTTTTTTTTTTTTTTTTTTTTTTTTTTTTTTTTTTTTTTTTTTTCTTTTTTTCATTTTCTTGTTGCTCAACTCCTGTCAGTCTCGATACGAAAGGTAGTAAATATAGCACACCTCCGACTGGACAAGAGACAATATGGTTAAAGTATGTAAGGTTACCCTATACCTGACTAGTTCTCTATTTTTTTTCCCCCGTTTTCCATACTTTGTCGTTCCTTTTCTTTTTATTCCTTTTTTTTTCCCTTTCCCCAGTTTCAGGGTCAACTTCCAGCCACCGGGAACGAGGTAGGGCTCAGCCACTGTGACTGGACCCTTGGGTCGAATCTCGGTTCTCGATCCGCTAAGCGCTTTAATCGGATCCACAAGCAGAAATCTCCTTAGTAGTACCGACGGTCACTATGGAGTACTTCAACTAAAGTATTAGGAATTACTAGCAGCAGAAAGAAAGATCGGGATCACCCGGTCCCATCCGAATAGATGTACACAGAAAGCTTCTGATACGCCGTCAGGGCAAGTGGATCTCTTCAGGGTCGTCTCCATTGCCAAATATGTATTTCTAATGCAGTTCTATTTACATCGCTCATGGTTTCGTCGTGGAACCATATCTCGTAAGGGAAAAGGCTGGTGTCACCGGACAACCACGCCGCGGGATGTAACATAACCACGGAAGGTCTCCGATATCAGTGCGACCAGTTGGAACCTATCACAATTGCCACGCCGCTGCGAGGGGTAGAGGGGCCCACGGCAACAAGGGAAGCTCCCCGCGAGAATTTAGTTAACCCAGGAGTAACTAAGCACGGGAACCTCAAAGGGCTCGGCAGTGCAAGTCGCATTGAAGAACTCATCATGCACGCAGTTCAAGGTGAAATCGGTGCTGCCGGAGTAGGTAATCTTGCTACCATTGGCACACTCCAGCGCATGGCCACCGCCCAACACGTAGTCCATATGACCAGTCGATGTCGCCTCGTTAGAGCTGCCGTAGAACGAGACGATCCGGCCCAGGCTGCGGTCTGCATATCCGCAGTTGGACTCACCATGTGCAATGTCGTGAATCCGGTAGCCGATGTAGGTATCACCGCAGTGCAGGCCATCCTCAAAATCGATCGCCAGTGTCTGGGGAGGGCCGTAGCCCCAGGGCTGGTAGTTGGGCATGCCTGTATAGCACACGTTGACCATGGTGCCATTGCACGTGTCCGGGTTGGGCTCGCACCAGTCCCGGCCACAGAGACAGCCCTTCGCATTCTTGTCGACCTCGCTGTGGATGCAATCCAAGCTATGGGAGCCATTGAACCAGTGGAAGTTGTCGACCGTCCATGTCGGAATGGGACATCCTTCGGGAGGGGTAATAGAGCGAGGAGTGAGGGATCGCGTCTCGACAGACCGAGCGGTCGCCGAGGCGGAGAATGCCAACAGGCTGGTTAGGATGGTCGAGAACATGGTTCAGCGAGGGTGGTGACTTGAGAGGAGTGAGAGGCGGCGCAGGATGAGAGTCTGTGGTGAGCGATCAGGGCACCTTTTATAGACATCCATGGTAGCATTGAATCTTCCGCGACGAAAATCTAGACGTCGAGAGCGAGTGGCTCGAGCGAGTGGGCTGAATTTTGCGGGATGCAAGTCAGCCCGCTGGACCCTCTCCCGCTGAGACCGAACGAATAAAGGAAAAGGGGCGCGAGACAGTTGTCTTTGGGTCGCCCAAACCATTGGCGCGACCGCGGCGAATGCCGGGTCTTGGCAGTGGGATCACATCTGGTCCATCAGCACCAAGCTTGGTCACAATTATCTCAGCATCGCCAACACCTTCACGTCCTGCACCGAGACTCCAAACTGAACTCCAATACGAGGTCCATGCCGTGACATCCGTCTAGCTGCAGTAGCGGTGGGATTGTCGTTCGATGCAACGACCATATTCCCGAAGAGACTGAGTGTTACAGGTTCATTCTAAATTTAGCGCCAGGTCTCTGAGCTGCAGCATGCGGCCTGTTAACCCTGTGGTGCAAACCTCCGTCTGGCACAAACTACTCGTAACATCGTGTGGCTACAGTTGGGGCATTGGGTCTGCCACATTCCGCCATGAGATGAGAAGAGCCCTCTGAAGTCGTTCGTACCGGTCTGCGATTGGTTTCTCTCCTGAAGTAGATCTGAATGGGGATCCTCCAGTGACGTTCCGCGGTGGGAGTATCAGACAGGGAAACTTCTCGCAGTGGCCAGGCAATTGTCCGCGCGGGGCTCGCAACCTGTTATCCTTGGCTGCCCTGCGTACGGACGATAGCCAAGGATCCAGACTGACTAATCAGTCCTGGTTCGAAGTGCTTCTGAAGCAAAGCAACGATTTCTTTCAAACGACGGGCTTGCGCTGCCAGGGCCAGTGACGTCATGATTCATCATGTCAGGCAACCCTAAGAAGAGGAAGCGACTCTTCTCTTCTACTTCCCATTTTCCTTCTCTTCTGTCGCCTTCCCCCTTTTGGCTTTGCTTTTCTGATGTGCGACCGGGGTAGATTAGTACAGTCTCACGCTCGCCATTCACTCGCGGGCAATCCTGCCCTAGGGACATTTCTGGTACGTCCGAACCTTTCACCAGGCGAACTGTCCCACCGATCGCTCATTGTACGAGAAGTGTGGACACAGCTAGACCAGATACTATGCAGGCATCCGAGTGTCAAGTTTTAGAGAAGGGGCGCAATACTGACACGGAGATCCAACGAAGTAGTGGTCGACCAAAGCATCTATCTAGTCACGCTCTCTTGACGGGGAACGACACGCCAGATGGAGGAACATAATTTCCATCGTGATCTGCTCCATGATCTACTGAAAGTGATGCGATCGCTGGACGAGTCGCATGCCAAAGGCCTATTTGATTTGCTGCGAGCGGATTCGTCCGTAGAGCAACTTCGGTCTTACATTGACAGGACGTTTGATGAACTCCAGGGCTTCGATCACAATGACGAAACCATCAGTAGTCTTGAACGTCTCCGGGAGAGGCTGGATGTGCCTAGTGGAGCGCCACCGTCTCGGCCCACGGTTATGGATCTTAATTATCTGTGTGATATAACACCCTTCCGCGTCCCCGCCAAACCCTGGACGACGGTGACGAACGACGACAATCTAGTGTCCCATCTAGTATCCTTGTATTTCACGTGGGATTATCCCTTCTATGCTTTCGTTGATCAAAAAGCGTTCATTCGCCATATGACCCTCGGAAACGTCGACTCCGACCTTTGTAGCCCGTTCCTCGTCAACGCTCTTCTCGCAAACGCATGCGTAGGGACTCTTTTGCTCCTCTCCCTGGCATGTGACGGATGATACTAACGTCACAGCATGGAACAGTATTATTCGCAGTACTCTGAAGCGTACGTGGTGCCGGGGGACGTTGCCAGCAAAGGACGCAATTTCCTGGCCGAGGCGGAACGATATCTCCCAAGCCATCAACTAGAAAAGGGTGGCGGGATCCGGCTGGCGTCATTGCAAGGGGCATTGCTCCTATATGAGAGGTAGGTGGCCATTCCCCCTTGCGAGAAGGATGCGGAGGGTAAACGTGACCGTCCATTGTATGGGCACCAGATACGCCATGTCGGGAGAGGACGATCTCGGCTATACGATGCTCAATCTTGCGATCGAGATGGCGGAGGCACTGGGCATAATCAACCGGGAGCCGCTCAATCTCAGCAAATTGCAGCTGTCCGACGAAATGATCACATCGGTGCAGCGAACGGCGTGGGGGGTGTTCCAGGTCGACACGTAGGTACCTCCCACCTCATGGTTGTCGGTGTTTCCCAGCCCTTTTGAACCCGCGACACTAATGTCGCCGTGACCACAGGGTAGTTCATACCAACTTTTTGAAGCCGAGCCGGGTCTCCAGCGTCAGTCTCGACCGTATTGACCCGAACGAGACCGGTGCCGGGGAGCTCTGGGTTCCGTATCCGACCGACAAAAGGCCCCGACAGTCATGGCTCGGCCAATATTTCGATGAAGCCTGCAAGCTCTCGTATCTTGCCCGTGATATCTCGCGCCACCTCTACCATGAGACCACCACCGGGACGGATCAATTTCGACAGAAACAAGTGTTCTTCAATAAGCTCCGCCAGTGGGAGCGTGCCCTCCCCGATAACTTCCAGGTGTTTAAGAGTCCCCCGCCGCATGTGCTCCTGCTAAGGTTCGTCGCTCGTCTGTCACCCCTGCCCCCACCGTTTACTGAACCGGTGAACTGCTGGCTTTAGGATGCGGTATCATGTACTCATTATTGGCCTGGCGCGGGATGGCTTCGGCGTCCAGTCATTCTTCCTGGGGTCCCAGGAGCAACAACGCACAATGGATGAATCCGCCAACGCAATCAGTCTGGCATCCGCACGGGAGATTTCGGCTCTGGCACGGATTCATCGGGAGGAATATGGTATGGAGCGCGCCCATCAGTTCGCTACCTATGCGATGATGCTTGCGCTCTTCACCATGCTCGACGACCCTTCCTTTGACGTCCTCAGCCACGACTTCCTATCGCTCACGAGTGCATTCTCCATCACAGCCAGTCGGTCCCAAGTGGGCCGTTATCTGTTCCACATCTTCCGCCAGTCTGTTCGATCCCGAAACCAAGAGGAGCGGGTCCTGCAGTCGGACGCAGTCTCAGATGAGGTGAAGGAGCTCTTTGGACGTCACTCTTGGTCCCAGTTACCGGATCGATGGGGCGACTATGCCGACGGACTCGAACGGTATCGGGGAAGCTTCTCGAGCGGGTCATGGAACTACACGGCCTCCGGGGTCCGTGACATGCTGGAAAAGTACGAACGGCTGAGTCTGGGGAACCGCGACAGTTCCCGCCCGCGTCGGCCGTCCTCGCTCAACGCCGGCTGGGAGCCTTGATCGATTCTTTTGATGCCTCTGTAGTCATCCCCTTTCTCCCTTGTCCATGGTTCATCTGTAGTCACATTGATCAGTCCTCCATGGTGTGCCATCCCTGAGCAACCTAGGCTTTGCCTGTACAGACATGTATCTCCGCACGCATCGTTTAGCCAGCGATTGTGCTACTCCTTGTTTGTTGACTGCCGTTGTATATTAGCCCCTCGCATTGTAGGAATCTCAAATGATACGACGTGATGACACGGTCATGGTTTTGATTTGACTATGTCTGGATGTTTCGTAGTGGTCCAGCTCACTGTAGGTACACTTGCCATCATGGCGTATCTGTAGAAATTGATCAGGTGCACTCCATGTGATCTCCCGAGGGATACAGCACGTGACTGCCAGAATAGGAAAGAGCAATAGATATCCATCCTGCAGTACTCTAGACCACGAACAGCATGATCATACCCATTAATCAAGCATACTGCGTGACGACTACATTGAGTTCCTGTTGGTTTCATCCATGATGTTCCATCTAGTGACTTACTGAGGGCTACGTTTTGATGATTGATCTATTTACACATGCGATACTGGTATGCTACAGACAGAGATATATATATCTATGGAAAGTGGATTAGTACCCATTGATATAGGTCTCCGGATACTATGTACATAAATATCCGAGAGTGATACTCTGCCACGGCACTTCAAACGATGATTAATGGTGTCTGATTGCTCAGTCCATCTGTTGAGATGCTCCGCTAAGCAATGATATTCCCGTGGTTGTGCACGAGTTGATTATCATTATCTCGGAGATCCCGTCGGGAAGATCATCAGCCACGGGGCGGAAAATCTTCCGAATGCCGAAGAAAAACAGAAAACTAGAATGAATGACGTCAAGGACATCAAGCTTCGCCCCGCAAACAGTCAAAGATTGAAAACGTGCCAAACAACCGTTGAACATGTCGGAGATGGAATTCTTCCACCACAGACGGAATGTTCACGCACGAGCTTTCCTGGAGATCTGTGAAAAACCATTCCCCCTGAGAAACAAAAAAGTCAGAAAAAAAAAAAGGGACGGTAGTTGGGAGGCGAAAAAGAGAGACCATCCCGACTCCCAGTGGGTCTGGAACGGATAAGTCGGCAGGAACAACAGAAAAATAGGTAACAGAATAATTGAAGCTTCGTGAGGGTTCCTCATTTCGAATCATTTCTAAGCCACAGGCAGGAACTTTCGTCATACTCTCCAGGAGGAAAAATTTTTTTTAGTTCGTTCTGGTTTATTTATCTTCTGGCCGTCGGGCGGATTTGGTGCATGTCAAGCGTGACAACCGAACTCCCTCGCTCTCTTACCAGCGGTCAGGATGGTCTATGATCGGAATGGGGACACGGCCATGGGCCAGAGCAAAGAACGACTGGAGTCGTCCGAATACGCCGAGAGACCCCCAACTTCCGATACAACCGATTCGACCTCCACCACCAGCTCGGTGGATTATGACCCTCAGTTGCATACTCTGCGTTCGCGCGCCACCGAGGTTGATCTCGAACGCCATACGACCAGGGCCTCGGATGCCCTGAGCCGTATTCACACCCAGCGACTCCAACATGCCCTCACCGTCGGCGAAAGCGTGAAGTCACATCCCTCCAGGGCCCCATTGCCCCCATTTGGCGCCGGAAAGCCCTATCCGCCCCTCTTACCGGCGCGAGAGGACTACGTGGTGGAGTTCGACGGGAAAGATGATCCCCTATACCCCCAGAACTGGCCCTTGAAGAGAAAGTAGGTGATGGATCCTCCCCTGGTTTATCCGCGGTTCATGTGCTCAACGGTCCATGTGCTTTTCTAGGGTCTATATCAGTGCCATCCTCGCCTTCACCAGTATTTGTTCGACCTTCGATTCCGCCGTCTTCAGCGCCTCCACCAAAAATGTCGCACAAGCGTTCGGGGTCGGTCTCGAAGTCTCCACCCTGTCGAGCTCCTTGTACATCATCGGCTATGCGTCCGGACCCTTGATCTGGGCTCCCATGTCGGAACTGCAAGGCCGTCGTTTACCCATCGTCATTGCCATGTTCGGATTCGGCATCTTTAATATCGCCGTCGCCGTCGCCAAGGACCTGCAAACCCTGATGATCTGCCGTTTCTTCTGTGGCATTTTCGGCAGTTGTCCACTGGCCGTCGTCGCCGCCGTGTTCTCCGATATTTACGACAATCGCACCCGTGGTGTCGCCATCGCCATTTTCTCGAGCACGGTGTTCTTAGGCCCACTCCTCGCACCGTTCATTGGTGGTTTCATCAATATGTCCTATCTGGGCTGGCGGTACACCGCGTATATTCCGGCCTTCATGGGGTTCTTTGCCTTCGTCCTGAACGTGTTCTTCCTGAAGGAATCATACCCCCCGGTCATTCTGATCAGCAAGGCCTCGGAACTGCGCCGTCGCACCAAGAACTGGGGCATCCATGCCAAGCAGGAGGAGATTGAGGTCGACTTGAAAGACCTCCTCATCAACAATTTCTCCCGTCCGTTGCGGTTGCTCATCAACGAGCCTTTGATCCTTGCCGTGACGGTCTACCTGAGCTTTATCTATGGCTTACTCTACTGTTTCCTTACGGCGTACACGCTGGTGTTCCAAGGGGTCCACGGTATGAACGCGGGCGTGGGTGGACTGCCTCTGTTTGGCATGGTCGTGGGTTTGTTTATCGCCGCGGGATACATCATTCTGTCCAGCGGAGCGTACAACAAAAAGCTCGAAGCGAACGGGGGCATCCCCGTTCCCGAATGGCGTCTCCCACCGGTGATCATCGCGGGGGCGCTCTTTGCGGCGGGGTTGTTCTGGTTTGGCTGGACGGGCTTTACCGATAGCATCCACTGGATTGTCCCGACTCTGAGCGGTCTCTTCACCGGCTTTGGACTCTTGATCATCTTCATCCAGCTGTTCAACTACCTCATTGATACGTATCTGATGTTCGCCGCTTCCGCCATCGCCGCCAATACCTTCGTGCGTTCCTTGGTCGCGTCCAGCTTCCCACTCTTCTCCCGGCAAATGTTTAACAACATGGGGATTCAGTGGGCGTCCACGCTCCTGGGCTGTCTGGCAGCGATCCTGGTGCCCATCCCCGTCGTCTTCTTCTTCTACGGCAAGCGACTGCGCATGAAGAGCAAGTTCGCGCCCATCTACGAGAAGGCCGAGGAGCCGATGAGTGACGAGAATGAAATTGCCGCCGAGACCAATGGGCCCATGCGGTGATAGTATGAGCAAACCCATCAATAACTTCACGCCTCTCGTCCCCCGTTCCAATCCATGGGGTATAGAGGGCGTCTTAATCTCTTCCCTTTGAAAAAAAAGCACTATACCCCGAATTTGTCTCAATAAATCTTAGTTTAGCATCTAATGTAATCATGGCATTTTTTTTTCGTACTAGTTGAGACTCCGACTCTTCATGTACTTTCAGATAGTATCCAATCCAAGTAGACATCGACATTATGCAGACCTCTATAGACATGATGCTGACATTTGAGCCGCAAGTCACCCACCCTAGGGCCATCCAAGTACGGTTTTTCTCTGCTGAATATCTTTCGATAACGTAGCCCTGGACGGCAAATCGCCCATATTCCCGTAGCCCCTACTGTTTATATCACAACTCCTGCTTTGCTGGACAGCTCTTTTGAAACAACATGAGACGAGGTGGTCACACCGGAGCGTACAAGAATAATATTGCATTGCCGTTACCAGCAGGTAAAACCGCAAGGAGAACAAAGAGAGAATCATGTATTAGATCATAGTATAGTCTCATCGAGGGTGGATCCATGGATATCATACGAGCACGTAGAGTTGGGAGTAATCCTTCTGATACAGTCTAACCGCCAACCCTAAGGACCGATACAAGGAAGTGACACGTTCGCTAAACAGGATCTCATTACACGGCAATGGCTAGAATGTGCTACTCCATGGCCGTGTCATACAGTTGATGTGATACTTCAATTATAGTGAAAATCAATCATAATCAACCCATGATTCAATACTTACAGATGACACAGAACAAAATAACATAAAGACTAAGCAAATTCACCTTGTTCGTAAGGCCCACTCTGACTTGACCAGTTGACTAGACACATCCCAACTCCATCGGTGGCCCTTGAGGTCAACGGAACTCCAGGGCTCTGATCTTTTGCTCAGCAGCTATTGGAACACTGACAGGCATTGGGCGTACAGCGCCAGCATCGGAAGCCAAGTCGGCCACAGATATTCCTGCATTGAGCCGGAGTCAGGCCACCACACGCTTGCGTTGCAGAAGATACAGCGGCTATCATAGTTTATTAGTGCAAAATCAGTACAATAGTTATGACGTGTGAGAACCTACAAGAATTGATGGAGACATCCTCGGGGAATGAGACATCCTGGGGGAAGGACATATTTTCTGTGGCCTGAAAAGGCTCCGTCGCAGCTGCAGCTGCGAGAGTGGCACACGCGGCAAGGAGAAGTGCAACCTTCATTGTAAGGAGTCGGTGATAAAAAGCAATTTTTGTGATGCCCGTCGCCAGAGGAGTAACTCAGTTGAGAAGGACTGGCAGGAAGTGTTGTTTGACGGGGAAAGTAATCCGTATTTATATCTCGAGGATACTGTCTTCCGGGTGCATGTGCCAGACATGGCTATCTAAACCATGCCGATATCAAGTGACAGATCCTCGAGAGCCCACACTCGACAACATTCTTGTGATACATAAAAGAGTTCTAAACGCGTTAACTGCGGGGTTGGAGGTCTCTAATCCAGCCCATATGCTCGGACTTCTAACCAGCCCGGCCATGTGTGAACGAATTCAAGACAAGTCCGATCATGACTGTCCCGCTCTGAACTAATCAAGGCCGCATTCATATCCAAGTGATAGTCGCATTATTTCCCCCATCTGACCTATAGGCAATTCCAGGCCCACTGCATGCGCCAAAGTGGTCGGAGAAAGATTGTCTGACCGTGCTTTCGAATCTTCTCTACACATTCTTCCCGCACTTTATATCTCTGTTGGAATACACCTCTCGCACCAGTGGCGCAGTTCAGTCCCTGAGTACAGACAAAGCGAGGGGTCCATGTTGTGTAAAAATGATCACTGAAACCCTGAGACGGTCTCATGATATACCTCGTGGTTCGGACATGCAACACAGCATGAGATTACCACCAAAGTGGTGTCGGGTGTAGATATTGATACATTTACTCTAGGGTTTCTCCGCTCTCAAAACATTCAAGCTGGGTATATTGTTTGCATTGATATCTGTAATCAGATATCCACATGATGGCTTTGCTTATGTGAATTGAAATGCTCCGTCATGGTTTGGGGAATGAGTCGTAGCAGTGCCGTTATACTATTAAGACGTACTATCACCCTATATGCCATTGCTTTATACGTACTCTTGTGTCTCCTTAAAGTATCACAGTTACTCACTCGTTGGACCGTCACATCTGACATTCCACCCATAAGATCAATCTCTTGTTGTTACAGCCGGTGCGATGTGTTTGACCATGAAACCCTAGCTCAGTTCTACTAGCTGGTTGACCATCAAGCCTTTATTTCTCATGATAATGAGGCTGCTGCCTTGTATCAGTTGAAACGCTTTTGCCTTCATACAGCTGAACATCCAGCCGAGGTCAGCCCCACAGGTGATAATTTTGTGTTTCTTTTGGAGTCTCCTAAAAGAACTCTTGTGGGGGAGGGGGGGGGGGGGAACCTCCGAAAGAGGACCCACTAGTATGAGTCTTGAATTTGAGAGATGCGTAAGTACGGCACGGTGAATTATCTGTCACAATCATATGCATATCATGAGCTTTGGTGTCATCGATAGTGGGTCATGGGCCACCGGATGATTTGAAAGCCCTCTCTGGTGGATTGTCACTCATCGAGTCCACATATGGCAAGAATTACCTGTCATGGCGGCACAACGTCGAACGGCATACGGAGAGGATATGAGGGCAGGCAATGAGGTATGCACTACAACGGTGACACCAATTGTCCTCGTCCTAGATGTCCAGGGACCTCTTGGCTGTAGCATATAAGGGATACTGTGACGTCGGACAATATTCCAAAGTAAGGGGAATGGTGTATGCAAAGAATCAACCCGTTGATATAATTAGGGCCATGGGTTGCACAACGTCAACAGCCATGGGGCTAGTCAAACCCTCCTTTAGACCTACGCTGGTGGTCAGAGCTGATGGTGGCACGAATACGGCACGGCACACGGTAATGTCTCAAAGAAATCAACGGCACTTGGACTCCAGGGTTACATGCATATCCCCTGGCTGACTAGGACGCTGTCCACTTGGTAGCATAAGAGACAAGCAGCAGCCACAGATCCGTGCGTACATTTGGCCGAGTACTGATTCTTCCTGCCCACTCCTCTGGCTTCTCCCTTCATTGGGCGACAGAAATAATATGCTACGGTTAAACCTGGCTAGTGTAGCTGAGAAGACGAGCCTTGGGGTTCAACGCCGTAACCAACGCATATTCACATCATGACTGGGTGAAGTGACACATAAAGCCATGGTGTTGAGATTGCAGAAAAGTTCCAACACGTTCACGATGGGGATAAATATCTCCTTCTCGTCGTTGACCGTCCTCTTACTCAATCTTATGCCAAACCCATCTCTGAAGGTTGGCCAGCGGTAATCCATATACACGTACATATTCACCATTTCGGTCAAAATGGTCATCATTGAGACTCGCGTGACCCTATTTGCCATACTCGGCGTATGTACCCAGGTCGCTCTAATTGCCTCCATGCCGACTCCTGTTTCCCCTGCAACGGCTTCGAGTACTACTAGTCCTGTCGACGAGATAAGCTCTCTCACGGCGGCGGAGGCAAGTTTTCATCCCCACCACCGCTGTCCTGGCAATGTGCAATCCATTTGCTGACTGGACCTGCTTTAGGGAACTTGTGTAGGACGTTGCTACGACAGACACTGCATTTGTGTTCCTTTCCACGTGTGCAATTGTCGAGTAAATGGGGGACACTGCGTCTGTCGATTGTAGGTATGGGAGGAATAATTTGAACGGGGTGGAATGGAGTATATCGTTGTTTTCCCATGACGGGCTGGCGGGAAGTTATCAAACTAGTAGGAATGGATCCTTCTTGTTCTACTTCTATATTTTCGAGTTCGTCTTCTTCTTCCTCTTCTTCTCCTTTTTTTATTTTGCGTGTGTGTGTGTTTCTGCAAGTACCCTCTCCCATGAATTATTTAGGCTAGAATTTTGATATGGAACAAGTAACTGCGAGAGTACCGCGGCTACTATCATTCGCCCTCTTCGGCGCTTGCCAGATCGACCGGTGTGGCGACCTAAGCGCAGGACGCAGCAAATGCTGATCCTTGTTTCTCTTATGCATCGACCCGGAGCGGGGCAAGACGAGGCGCCGATTGCGTGATTCGACCCCCGTTTTCTGATTCTTGTTGAAGCTCTTCATCTTCCTCCCTCAACGCAACATACTATCATCAACCATGGTCACCAATGTTGAGCCTCAAGAAGATGCTGAAAGGCCGTTGCTCGCCGATTCTCCAGAACCAAGCTATGAAGCCGTAGCAGCGCCCACGAGCGCGTCGGTTGTAGCCCCTCGCGCCACGTTCAGGCGGAATCTGGGGGCCATGGAAGCATTTTGCATCGTCATTAGTATTGTCATCGGAAGTGGAGTCTTCACATCTCCTGGCGCTATTGATACGAACGTTCCATCACCCGGCGCTGCTCTCATTGTGTGGCTTGTGGGAGGGCTGCTGGCTTGGACGGGGGCGACAACGATGGCCGAACTCGGCACAGCAATTTCCGGTGAAGGTCTGCATTTCCGACCCCAAGATTGATATTTAGGTACTAGGGCCATGGGAGACTAACTTGACCTACAGGGGGCGTCCAGCCGTATCTGCAGTATGCCTTTGGCGACATCCTTGGCTTCCTCGCTGCATGGACTTGGATCATCGCCGTGATGCCGGCGACGCTCGCCATCCTCAGCATTGTTTTTATTGAAAGCATCTACTCTGCCGCGGGGATAACTAACCAGGCCGCTTCGATCCAACACAAGCTTCTCTCCATTCTGGTGTTGATCGCGATTGGTGTAGCCAACTCGATTAGCACAAAAGTTAGCACACGGTTGAGCAGTTTCTTTGTGACGACGAAATTTGCTACAATTACTGGCATCGTGCTTGCAGGCCTTCTGGTAGTGCTTGTCCATTTGTCAAGCACGCACTGGGACGGGCCAGCAACGGATTGGTATACCAAGTCGTGGTTTGGCTACCGGGACTCCTTGACTCCGGACGGAAAAGAGATTCATTGGAGCGACCTGGCTGGGTGGGAAATGCTCGGTCACTATTCAGCTGCCCTTTATGGTGCCTTGTGGGCTTACTCGGGCTGGGACAAAGCAGGTATCCCCGATCTACTCAGAGAATGGAACCGTTGAACTGACATCTCGACTGGAAGGCTATCTACATTACTGCAGAGTTGTCTGCGCCAGCTTCTCAGCTTCCCCTCGCCATTAATATGGCGGTTCCCATCGTCATTCTTTGCTTCATCGCGGCTAATACCGCGTACTACATTCTTCTTCCATGGAGCGTGGTTTCAACAACGGATAGCGTTGCCGTGGTATGTCTCCATACTACCTTCCGCATGCTCATGTCTAACGATAGATGAGACTGCTATTACCCATCTCTTAGGTCCGGTAGCGGGCGTTATCGCAGCAGCCTTGATCTGCCTTGTCGTAACCGGGTCCTTGCTGGGGAATTCGTTTGTCGCTGGTCGCATGATCGTTGCAGCGTCGAATTCCAACTGGCTGCCGAGATTTCTAGGAATTCTCGGACGATTGGGCGCTACATCTACTCAGAATAGTGCCTTTGCACTTCCATCCGATTTAAGTGCTCCGAGCGGTAAATCGGATGCACCGATCAATGCGATTGTCTTGTCTACCGCGCTTCCTATCTTCTACATTCTCTTTGGGGATTTTCGCGCCCTCCTGACCTTTAATGGATTGGGGGAGTACACGTTCTTCCTATTGACGGTCCTCGGAGCGATCATCTTGCGATTTCGCGAACCAGATTTGCACCGTCCGTACAAGCCCTCTATTATCATTCCCATTACCTTTGCCATAGTTAGTGGGTTTGTGGTGATCCGAGGGGCCATTTTCGCCCCTGTACAAGCTTTAGTTCTGCTCTCACTGTGGATTATCGGAGTGGGATATTATGAGGTCCGGAAAAGATGGGCAGTGAGCCAAAATGCATGAATCGCGACAGTTAGAGAGGTATATTGAGCTGGATTGTCATCCAGGACATGTATACAGCACGACCCAACACAGCTATGCATTTCCTATTCAGGCCTGCAGGATTCTAAAGTTGAAGGTTTTGAGTGATCCGTCATCTTCGAGAGTTCAATCGCTTAGTAGTACAGAAGCAACACTATCGGCTGTAGGGTTTCTAGCTATGTTGAAAGAAAGAAATCCTCTCAGGCACAAACAGGACTGGAATTTGGAGGAGATACCGAGTTTGTAGGGTTCGTCTGTGAGCAGCCTGCGACAAGCCCTCCCGCGAAATCGTCAACGGCCGCATTGTAGGCGTCGCCGCAGTTTGGGTCACTGTCGGTGTTGCATGGTTAGCATCCGGACCAAACCTAGCTAGCATGTTAATATATGGGTTAAACGTGCCTTGCACCTCCGCTAGCATCATTGAAATATGAGCAGATATCGTGAGAGAAGCAGTCTTGTGTGTACACATTTCCTAGCGCGGTACCAGAGCAACCTGCACCACAGCGGCCGTTGCAAGAATAGCTATGCGATAGGCACGCTTGTTAGATAGTTGACTTTAGGTTTAACGGCGCAGCATATACGTACTCCCCATGGCCTGCGCTGTTGGCACCATAATTGCTCCCAACCACACCAACGAAAGAACAAGTTTGGCCGGCGCTATTGGTCCAGGTCGCCGTTGCTGATTGCCCGACTGTGAGGCAGGTAATGGACCGCTTATTGAGGTTACTTGAAGGGGAAGAAGGCACAGCCATGCTGGCCAACGGGAATAAGAAGAGGATTTTATAGAGCAGAGACATCTTCAGGATTGGGGCACGTCTTGGTGCTGGAGCTGAATATCTGTGCAAGGTACCGCAGCGCGGTGTCAAACGCGTATTTGAATCTATTCAAGCAGTCACGTTGCTGGCCTCGGTCTCTATCGACGTCTATTTCTTCATTTTAAGCTACTCTAGTTCCTGGCATTGATCGGCATCGCACTCTAGCTGTATAATATCTCAGGATCAGCTCATAGGGCCCGGAGATATTCTCGGAGCCCTTATTCTTCAGGCTTTACCGTTCTCAGGCTCTTGGCCGGTCGATATGCGGGGTCCGCATGATTAGGGCATGGCATCATCTTTAGCAGAATGGCGACCCCCCGAGCCCTAGCTCGGCTTGCTTTATGGCTGTTCCGATATCTTTAGCGCATTGTCCGCCCACTAGTAAGATGTAGCTGTCGCTCCACCGGAGCATTTGCCATTCCAGGCACGGCAGTTATCTGACATACTTTCCATTTCTCTCTCCGTGTATGAATGTGTCGTGAGAGTGTCGTTATGCTCTATTGCAATGACTTCGATCAAGTCATAACATTGGCTCACTTCTATAACAAGCAGGCCGGGCTGATCCAAGCAGCTGATGAAATCCAAGTTTTGAACATCAAACATTCTGCTATAGAGATCATTATCAAGATGACTCACCCTCATTGTATCACTCGAGCCAACGATGTGCTGGGCTAATTGATATGCCATCCTTTTTGCGAGGATAATGGATTCGCTGATAATATACTATTGTACAAAACACAAGACCTTTGCAAACGCAGTGTGGGATTAATATACAGGGGCATAAAAGTACAGCACTTCGCTTCCTTCCACTATTCTGAGTCGTCTGATTGAAGAGTCCGTCCATTGATAGCCAGAAGCTCGACATTACTATGATTATCATCAGTGCTTGCTCAGATCCGGGCTCAAGTAAGACAGCGACTTACAAGACCAGAGTTGAATTACCAGGGATAAATGGAGGCGCGCCCCTTCATTCTTTGTGAGCATGAGGCAGATGAGCAATCCAAGCAAGGAGGACTTACCTTGCACCATATCCGTAGTGACTGCGCGCGCGCCAAGTAAAATCAGTTAGTACAAGCTCCAGAGGGTATTCACGCATAAGAGATGCTTACGGCCCAAAGGTAAGAAGAGCCTTTTCACCAAGGCTCATACCAAGAATTCCAACCTCCCATCCTGGTTTTTAGTTAGTGGAACTGTCACGAAGCTGCTAGAGATGACTATGGACATACCTTTGATGACCGTGCCCATGCCAATCTGGAACGTGAAGGGGATTCCGCGCTTGATACTACTATCGAAGCTGAGCGAAGACACACTATTAGAAACCTGTACAATGATCTCCCGTGGGTTGTATGTGTAATATATCTGGCGACCTACCGACGCCCGCGATTCCATGATCGGGTCGGATCATAAAGATAGCCGTGGTAGTGGACCGTGACCATATCGCCGGCTTTAGGGTAATCCACCCCATTACCGGGGCGAATAATATCTTTAATGAAGTCGATCAGACCCATTTCTGCATACAAGTTGAAGAACGAGGTGGACGACAGGAATCAATCCCATGAATTAATTGTTCCAGCAAGCATTGCCGGAAGATCGGGGAAACATCCCGACGGTCACGTGGCGGTCGCCTCCCTTGACGCGTCTTCCTCTTTGAACCATGACTATGCGATCGGAGCCTGATTTTTAATCTCCTTGACCGTTTGAATGTTGTTTTTATAAATTTCAGGCATTCATCTGTCAATGATCCGTGTATCGTGCGGTGAAAGTTTCTTGGATGCTTGCCGCGACCGTGAATGCCCTCATAGGGAGACACGAGGTTGTTCTTCATTAAGTTTTCTCGAGGAGCCGTACCAAGACGACAAGACTATCACTACTTAACCAGGCGGTTGCTGTGTTACCTGGTGTCCAGTTTTCTTATGTCGAAGGGCCAATCACTGAATTTCCCCCGTTGATGAGGGAGGATGATCGTGGACGCTACTGTTTCGAAGCATTGTGAAGCTCGTAGATAGCAAAGCAGGTGATGGTGCTTCGGGTGCCGATCTTCAGCTTGGAGCTAGAATCGTGGGACCCTAAGTTTGTGTCTATTGAGGGACATTCCCTCTGCGATGAACCCAAGAACCTGCTAAGTTCTCCAAGTGGGCCTGGAAGCAGCAGATCGTTGCCCTCTTGGAAACCTTGTGAGCTGCAAGTGGGTGGGTCTTGAGGCGCGGGCTGAACCCAGCTGAAGAATGAGCATTTTCTGTGTCCACTGACAGAAGGCAAACCAAGGAGTCAGAGTTCGCATCGATTCTCTCAAGCATGCGGATATCAATGCGATACGTCCAAGTTAGGGTTGACCAGCCAACGCCCTGTATGACTCGAGCCTGTTCACCGCCCACCGCATGCGTTCGTCGAGTATATAACTCCATCTGATGTCATGACGAACCCCTTGCAACTCCCTGGATGCCTAAATATCATCTCATATCTCTCCAGTCCAGTCAATCTTTCTGGTGCATTGAGCATCACTTGACTTGTCTTAACGTCGATCCGGTGCAGTTGAAATCATGAAGTCGTATATACACTACGCCGTGCTCCTCCTTGCAGCTCCCTTGGTGACCGCGAAGAAGACCAACCTGCAATGGGCGATATGTGATTCAGACCCTCAAACGGTTCTTCGAAAGCTGGGACTGGGAACACCCGACCCTTACAAGGAGAATCCGATCACCTACTATGACACAAACCCCCCGGTCTACATCTCCGATGGCCTCATGTTCCGCACCAAGACCTCGAAAGGCGAAAACATCTCCACGGTGAAAGTACGATTCCAGCAGGAAACCTCCGATGTCCCTGACTGCGCTGAGTGTGTTTGGGATCGCTACGGCGAAAATCCCACGTATACCTGCGAGAAGCGATGTCCCTTGCAAGAACCTAGCATCTGGTGCGACCAACAAATCGAGCTCGCGGAGCATTACGAAAATGTCAACTGGGAGGGGCTTACGAATTATGGCCCGTATCAGAATGCCAAGTGGAAGATACGGATCGAAGGTTATAAAGCCAAGTTCGATGACGTCGCTGCCGGCTCGCTACACCTAATGGAAATCGAGGCCAAAGTGCCAAAGCAGGAGGTAGATAAGGCTTATGAGGTAGTGACGCAACACTTAGAAAGCCGTGGGATTGTATTGTGTGACCCGCAAGAAGGGAAAACTGCCAGGCTTTTTCGCGCTCTGGGTTATATTGAGGATAGGAAAGATGATCTTTAGAGAACGGTCGTTGGTTTCGTACTTTGTCTCTGCCTTGGAGGTTCTCTAGGATGGTGTATTGGTGGTATAGGGGAGACTATAACACCAGAATCCTCATGTATGATCAAGTCATATGAAAATTGCAATTGCCTGTCCCGATTTATCCCACTCGTCGGCGTTACTGGGTTCGCTTCGAGTGACTGCTTAACGAAACACCTATAGCCGCCGTAATTCTACATCACCTCCTAGTAGGGTTCACTACCAAGCTTTATTGCTCTCTGAACATGGATTGACTAATATCCCTATCCCAGGGGTTTCGCCAGTAAGGTTCACCCTCGCGGAAATCGGGCCCACCTGGGATGTCGTTGTTGAATGACTCGGACTCTTGACGGGTACAGCCGAGAGGGACTCGGCCCGTATATAGACTCAGCCGTCTTCCGGATGTCTCTCCAGCATTTTCTTCTACACGTCCATTCCTATACCCGTGGTATCGTCGGAACTATAATGTTCTTGAGGCCAACAATGGGACCAACACCAGTGGTGTTGCCACGGCGTTATCTCGGTGGGTGCTTTCTTCTCAGTCTCGGCTGGTTTCCGCCTATTGTTAAACCCTGTACATACCTTGAGCCCTGCGTGTCTCATCGTAATATGTGCTGGTGGGACCCTGTACGTATTAGCAATAATGACACAATGTACAGTGTTAACGCTCAAGGGTAAGGAGGAAAGTGGTATGACCGTGGCTTCATACAGGATGCGCAAGCTTATCTCAACTGTAGCAAAGTTTGCTTCATGGTATTCCGTCCTTCCATGCCATCTAATTCGTAATTAGATAGGGTGCTCCTTCACTCTCATGAGGTTCTGAGTGGCTTCGGGTTTTCTTTCGCCATCGAGCAATCTTGAGGGGTAGTGCTTCCATTGCTGCATATGAATTCGAGACAACATAGGGTTGCGCTACAGTGGCTCTGTCGGGTTGGACTACAATGCTCAGTGACTAGATGCAGAAGTATGCCTCAGTATTCAGACAGATAGAAATGCGAAACTTGCTCTTCAGACCGTTAATGCGACGTGAGGGTGGATTCCTCACGGAATATCGACTATGGACGTTCCCACTCCACTAAAAAGCCAACATGGGGCGACCTCTTTAGCCTTGCAGTAAATGGCATGTTTAATTTATAGGCGGATTACGGCCCACTTCAACAAAATATAGGTGCATATTCTGTTCCTTTTTGTTCTGGTCCAAATATCCAGAAGAAGATGGGAGACAAGCGTGCTGCGACGCATGCTTTTCAGCTGGAAGCACGCAGATGGAAAATAGGATAAAATTGAAATGGCATGAATATATAAAGGTGCCAGGACAGAGTACAGGAGAAGGATTGCATTGATACTAGCCTTCTTCGCTAACCATATCTTGCCCTGTCATATTGACCCGAGTCAGTGATAAGGTATTGTTTTAGTCCAAATCTATCGGACTTTTCATACGTCTATCTCGCAATCAGCATTGAGCACCAAAGCCCACCGGAGAACACATTTTGCCCTCGGCTCGGAGGAGATCAGGCGATCTGTTCTTCGAAGGATGTTTCTTGGCAATATATTTGCCTGCTATATAACTCACTGAACTATAGCCAAGACAGAGCTCGACGCTTGGCAATAGGAAGAATACAATATCTCGGGACCTTGGCCGGGCGATTAGCAGGGGAAGATGCCACGGAACTGCAAGAGTGTGGAGTCTAATGAGTCTAGTTGCAGCTGTCATGGGGGTAAATTTGATTATTAGCTAGGGCTTCTCTTGTTGATACGAGTAGAACCTCGGAAATGCAAGCGCTAGCCAAGCCTCTGATTCAGGCAAGTCCACATTGTGAGCCCTCAAGACATGATGCTATCCAATTCACTCTGCCTATATCTAGTAACGACTAGGTAGGGTCAGCCATTATAAATATGGACGGCTTGCTCCTATTCCAGCTCTCTCCAGAAGAACAAACTCGCGTGCACCACAACTCCACGATCCAACACGATTGAGCTTAACAATGCACCATCTCTTGTTCAGTCTCCTCGGCCTGGTGGCCGGCACCGCTTATGCGGCTCCAGTTCCAGAGGTCTCCAGCGTGAACACTGTCCGCAACGGCCCTCCACCGGGCTGTCTCACTGTTGGTGCCGCTGGGCAGCATCATACCGTGGGAGCTGCGCTGAGCGCCCTCGGATCTTCATCCTCACCTGCCTGTATTTACATCGCTCAGGGAACGTACAAAGAGCAAGTTGTCATTGACTACAAGGGCGCCTTAACTCTGTATGGTGAGACTTCAGACACCTCAACATACAAGGGAAATCGTGTCACAATTACCCATACTATTTCATCCGACGATGCTGGTACCCTGGATGATAGCGCTACACTGCGAGTGAGATCTAATGACTTCAAAATGTACAATATCAACGTGGTGAACGGCTATGGACCAGGCAAACAGGCGCTTGCGTAAGTGCATCCTTACTATGCTGATTCAAAAATGCCCAAAGGCCCCTGACGAGACCAACGCGTGGTAGACTATCTGCAGATGCAAACCACCTGGGCTTTTATGGCTGTCAATTCCGTGGTTACCAAGATACCGTCTTCACTAAGACGGGAACTCAATTTTTCTCCAAGTGCTTGATCCAGGGTAAGTTGTATACCCTTTCGGTGTGAGGCCTTTTTAACAACAAACCCAGGGTCGGTTGATTACATCTTCGGAGGTGGATCGGCTTGGTTCAACCAATGTGATATCCGCTCCACTGCCCCTGGTTATATCACTGCCAGCGGACGTGAGAAGGCCGACGATTCTTGGCTCGCCTTTGATCACTGTACCGTTGCCGGAGCTGGCGGCGTGGACCTGAGGGAGAAGGTTTTCCTGGGAAGGCCGTGGCGGCCTCTGGCACGGGTTATCTATCAAAATTCGGATATGAGTGACGTTGTTGCGCCAAAGGGATGGAGTCCCATGGCCAAGGGCGCGACTCCACTGTTTTACGAATTCAAAAACACCGGAGCGGGTTCGAACACATCGAAGCGAGAGTTCTTGTCGCCCATCGCTGCGGCCGTCACGCGAGAGAGTGTTTTGGGTAATGACGCTGTTAATTGGGTTGATGCGCGATTCTAGAAGGCCGCAGGGTCAGAAACACGGCTCACAGAAAAGCCAAGGGAGGTTTACATTAGTAGCTTACTTCTGAGGATCCACAGCTCTTGGGCGATTTTCGGACTTCCAAGCCGTGTCTTGTGTAGCTATGAAATGGAATGACGAGGCGAGGAAACAAAACATTCTGTTGATCGACCACGGAGAATCACTTGTTCCGGGTCCGCCGGCTTATTCTTAGATCGAAATTCACGAAATCCACTTCTCACCTTCTAGTCTTGCTTCCACACGACTCCGTGCATCATGGAGCTCTATGGCTGTGTGAGTGCTGTATATGCACTCTTCTTAATACTTCAAAATGTGGTGAAAGCCCTGAAAGTCTATGTAACCCCCAAAACCAACAATGGGTACTTGAAATCTCTTGTATCTATTATATGAAATGACAAGCCTTGGCGAGCAACTTGAGCATCTCAGGAAACTTCCGCAAGCACCAGAAGGAACAAAGCTTGCATGTGGGCCGTCCGTATTTCACGACACTCTGGAAATTTCTGCAGCCATGGAGAACGTGTTGGGGAAGATCGACGCCAGAAGCACCAATCCCTATTGAGTCGATGGGGACTTCACTTACACAGTACAGTACACGGCCCTTGCGATCTACGGAGTACACAGTACTGCGTATCAAGACCGAGGAGGCCATTAGTAATGTTGAGAGACGACTACCTGGACTTCTTTTGCCTCCAGGTTCACCAAGTGTAGGTACAGAGTACCGATGTGGATATTCCTATGGATTCCTCCTCGACACATTTGTACATCACATATCGTGGAAACCCAGGGAAAAAAAAAAAAAAAAAAAAAAACGAATAAAAAAATGACAAAGAAAATAAAAAAGTAACATTAAATTATATTTACGAGAAAAAAACAAAAAAAGAAAATTTTTCTTTAAAAAAAAAAAAAAAAAAAAAAAAAAAAAAAAAGAAACAAAAAAACCCCTAACCTCTGAACAGAATACGCCCGAATCCTGACTTAGAGAATCGGTAACCACGAGCCTCATAAGGGCCAGAAGTGGCGAACCGACAGTACGGAGTAGACGCGAAAATGGTAGCTAAACCGCGGCAGATGGGGGAACTGCAAGAAACTTCAAGTGGGGATATGAAGCCTTTCGATCCAATAACCCCCTCCAAATTCCTCTGAAGGGACACTAACCGAGGAAAGGCTCGTGCGGTCGAGATCCACTTGACTGCCCACGATTCAGCTCGGCATTTGCGAAACGAACGCAGAGGATTGGGGTGCCTGAGCTCAACCCCTTTTGTGCTCTGGTTTATGGATTTCCGGGCTGGTTTGAGATGGAAAGGCTTTCAATATTCTTGCTCAACAAGAACTCATGCGTCCCAGATACTTCATACTTTCTACGGAGTACATATGACTTGATAGCGTTGGCTTCTGATGATGTTAGGATGATATGTGCGGCTCTATCACTATTAAGATTGCACGAAGAAGAGCCCCAGAGTTATTCAGTAGATAATGTTCAATCTGCTGTTCTTCCTGGGAAGTCATTCTTGGAAATAGCCCAACAAGGTAAAACGGCAGGCCCCGGCTTCACCCTGCTGCAGGTAAGCGAAATGAACCATGGCCTGTGTGCCCGATATAGTTAGGAGGTATGGCTGGAGGCCCTAATGACTCGCGTAGGCCGAGGGAACCGCGGATCAAGGCCTCGTGGTGAATCTCCACTTGGGTCCGATAAGCGAGATCCAGTTCCTGAACCTGTCGGCAAATACTAGAAGATCGCCCTCCGGTATTTTAACAAGATGTCTAAATTCTTATCTTTTGATTTGTTCGCTTCCTTCTTACTAACTTCATTCTTTCTGTTCCACGCTCGTTGTCTTTCCTTTTGTCCTTCCGCTATGGTTTATATCTAGAAAACATGGTATGCCGCGTCAAGTCATGAGGGAGCCCCCAGCGTTGTCGTGCCAATTTTGTCATAGGTATTTCATCATCCCCAATCGAAAGAGACGAATATAATCTCCAGGAGAGGCAACTGGTCATTGGAAATTGAGTCCCTAACAGACGCAGGTGAAGCGCCCACTCTCGTTGAACGTCGAACCAAGCCCTTGATAGGGTGGCATGCCCTCATCGAAATGGATACCTCAATGCCCCTAGTAGGGCGAAGTCGCGCGATCTTCACTGTCTGTGTAGTCATGATGTGCCTCTCGATCGTGGCTGTCCTACTGCGCGTCTTTGTTCGATCTTATATTGTGCGAGCCTTCGGATGGGATGATACATTGATGGTAGCAGCGGTGGTCGGTCTACCATAAACCGCGTACGAGAACCACGGATTATGCTGACGGAGAGCAGGCACTGTTTACATTCTTGGATATCTGTTGTATTATTGGAACCCACAATGGTGTTGGCCATCGGATCAAGGACTTTACAAGCCTGGATATGCTGCAAACTGCCATGCTGGTATGATAGATGCAAACCCATGCGCCCTGCAAGAAGCCGGATTGAGAACAATGCTAAGAGTGCCGCGCCTGCATCAGTGGTGGTGGTTAGGTCAAATGCTCTACATCTGGTCATCGGCAGTTGCCAAGGTTTCAATCGCCTTGGCCCTTATTCGTTTGACAGTACGCAAGGTACACTTGATTATCCTTTGGATAGTGATTGCAGTCGTTATTGCGATCGGTCTGATGTTCTGGCTTGTCCTGCTCTTTGACTGCAACCCAGTCTCTTACTTCTGGGAACGGACTAATCCACTCAATTCTGGGACGTGCTTATCAACCGATATCCTCCTCGCCATCGCATACCTTTATAGCGCCATTACCATATTCTGCGACTTTACCTTGGGAATATTCCCCGTCTTTTTGATCTGGAACCTGCAGATGAACGGGAGGACAAAGGCCGCTTTGGGTGGGATTCTAAGCATGGGCGCCATGTTCGTCTCTACTTTCGCACCTACACTGCTCCCGTGTGATACGTCTGTGCTAATATTATTTTTTTTAGTGCCAGCGTCGCTGTTGTGATTCGACTCCCCTTCTTACAAAACTATAAAGACACTGACTTTCTTTGTAAGTTGCAACGAACCCCCAGAGCACGTATGCTACAGTTCCGATATGGGATGCCCTCTTTCGTGCGTTTTTTATCTTGGGATAAAAGCTTATAGCTTTTGTTAGATTCAACCTACCAAATTGCGATTTGGTCGGTGATGGAGACCGGCCTCGCTATCATCGCCGGCAGTCTCATTACACTGCGCCCTCTATTCCGTTGGTTCCTGGATGGAAGCGCTTCTTACAAAACGAACGAACGTAGGGGGAAGTATCCCCTATCAAGCCTCACCGGGAATACCTCCAAGACTGCCGCCTCTCGCGACCCCAGATATTGGCGTCCAGATATACCCTCGGACGATACCTCTACCTTCGTTGTGACTGCAGTATCATCGCCGGACCGTCTTCACGCTGATGATAATAGCAGTCAAGAGGTTCTGTACCCTGTGCCGGACCCTTGGCTGCCCCCAAACAGTGTCAATGTGCACAAAACCTTCCGGGTTAGAGAAGAGGAGGCCTGAATATCATCCGACCCTTCTGTGCATTGAGTGTATGGTCAATTAGAGCCTAAGGTAGATCAGAGCGCGAACTAGCATTCTACGCCTGGAGGATATACTTATATCTAATAAAATAATACATAGAAATAAAAACATTCCTTTACTCCAAGTAGCCTACCCTGTCATGTCTCAGCCCGCTGATCCCAGTAGCGATCCTGATGTGTGTCTACCTCCAAGCCTGATGGGATTCTCTATCTTCCAATGCGGAGTCCATCGGTACATCAAGAGACAGAGGACTTCTAAGATCGAGGATGACAATGATACATATCGCATGTACACATTTTCCGTTGTAAGATAGGCTTTCGTCCCAACATCGAGTACGCAGCAATACGACGAACTCTGTATCCAACTGTCTGTTATATACAGCGTGATTACGGATTATCGGCCCTCAAATCCATCGGAAACCGTCAAGGATTCAGGCTCTGGTTCGAGGTGCCACCGACTAGCCTGCCCAGCATTGCCAAGCCCACTTGAATCCTGATAAATCTTGCCAACCTTTCCTATGAGCCCTTTTAATAGCACCTCGCATTCCAAATTGTGTTGTCGTTGGAGTGATTGATATATTTGCGAATCTTGCAAGGATTCTCGTTTTCTCGGCACTGCAGGAATCAGTAAGCCAACAACCAGGCTATGATAGCACGTCTCTTACCGGCCACGCAGGGTCACATCCCCATCGAAGATCGATTTTACTTTGCTTAGAGTTGACCTGACTGGCCGGTGGGCTTCTATCCCGAGCAACGCAGATCCCGTGTGTCGAGGTTTTATGATCCGTCACCAAGCATTCCTGTATGCAGTCAGTCATGCGGCTTCTATTTAGCACGAGCATCGGTTGACGAACACCGTCATAAGCTTCAACTTCTTGTTTTACTGCATCGGCGAGTGGTGGTAAGGAAGGCTTAGCGCCACCTCCGGCTGGGGGTGGTCCGGCATGACTGACAGAGAGGATAGTAAAGATCAAGAGAGTGAAAGTCGTTATCTTCATGTTGAGATGAGTTGCCAGCGAGCCAGCTTGTCGACAGTGTCCTGATTGAGAGCCTTATAAATGTTAATATTTCAAAGGTGAGAATCGTGTCTCATTTCCCAGTCTTGATACTTTGTTTGACTGTGCCCGCCAGCACAGACTTTGAACTCTCCCTCTTCCCCCTTTGTTTTGTGGTTCGCGAATTGGTCGAGGTACTGTAGGACTATGATGTTCTCTTCCTGTTGAACTATGAGCGATTTCTGGGTTAGATGCTGACGGCCCGTTCTGCAGCTTCGGGCGTTGGGCTCTTGAGTCCGCTTCCCAGGGCAAAGATCAATCCAGACCTCCACGGGCTGCATAAAGTTTGAATAAGGTTGCTGGGAAAACTTGAAGCCGAACGCCCATGAAGCCATAGCGCAACTGGAGTGGATTAAGGCCCACCATCAAATGCGCGCCGGTGCAATGTTCATAGAGTCAGAGCTGTGGAACGGGACCGCGACACGGCACGTATGCCGGCCATGAATCGTGAAACTGTCCTTCCGTCGTGCGGTAATTCGTTTAGAGACACATAACGACTCATCCATTAATGCTTTCTAATATTATAGTATGGACGCTCACTGTGGAACACTACGTTCTGCCTACCCAAGTATACGGTCAATGTTGAAACAGATGAAGCCTTGTCTAAATTTCTATTTAATCATATTATGACATAGTCTCGTTGGAGTATCTGATTGCTGCTATTGAGCATTGAATCTCGAGCCGCATCAGGCTATAGGCTCAATGATTCGGTCAACTGGATGTCTAGCACACTCTTTCCAACATAGAGAGCGTAGGGCCCTGCCTGTAGCCCCCAATTCTGCTTCTCCGTATCCCAGGTGCTGAGGTCGCGACGAGTAAGGTTGAATGTCACCTGCACCTGTGCTCCAGGCTCAATGAGCTTCTTCTCGAATCCTCGCAGGACCTTGGCTGGGCCACCCGGGATGCCAACATAGAGCTGGGCTACTTCTGCCGCCGCCACAGACCCGGTATTCGATACAGTGCAAGTTACAGTAGCGATGATATCCCACAGGGAAGCAAGACCGCCCTCTGCCACAGCAGTACCTGGAGCTAGGTAGCTAGTGCTCACGTCTGACGATGTGGAAACCTTCAGGTCAGAGTAGGAGAAAGTGGAGTAAGTCAATCCATATCCGAACTCGTACCGAGGGGTGATATTGGCAGCTGCGAATGCCTTGTAGTCAATGTAGACACCCTCGGTGAAGTTATCCTGGGGGTAGTAAATATCGTCGGTACCGGATTGAATGGTCGGGCTGAGGAGACTGCCGTAGTCGGACTCTTGCTTGGCCACAGTGTAAGGCAGACGGCCAGATGGGGATTGTTTGCCGTACATGACCTCCACGAGGGCTCTGCCGCTATCCTGTCCGGGAAGATGAGCGTAGATGACGGCCGTGATGTTGTCATTGTCAATCCAGCGGTCAACAAGACGAACACCAGCATTATGGATGACGACCATGGTGTTGCTACATTGTGCAGCAACGTTCTGTACCAACTTGTCAGAGTAGGGATCCGCCAAATACGGTCGATCCCATCCCTCTGAGGACTGCTCGTTGATAAACACCACACAGGCGTCACTGGCCGGGTTCACCAGGGGGTTCTGAGATGCAAAGTCCCAGGCGAGGAAGGTATCATCGTCATATGCTTGGCGCTGGAACGCATTAAAGGGTGCGTCAATATAAGATGCGGTGCTGGCACCCGAGCCACCGCCAGTAATCGTCGTACCGTTGAGCGCAACACCGGGGCCATAGGCCCTGGGGTCTGTACTCGAGAGAAAGATATACTTAAGCATCATTGGGTCCACGGCTGAGCCATTAGGATATGTTAGGGTATTATCATAGCCCATAGACCACATGTTCCAATCAAGATCATCCATTGTGTTATGAGCAGGAGCGACGGCGTCATATCCAAAGAGTGAGAGGAACTGAGGTTTCTTAAGAGGGAGGGCATTGTTTGTATTCTTGACCAAGACGTGTCCTTCTACTGCGCCTTGGAAGATAGTGGACTTAGACTTTGGATCGCGGGCGTCGGTAAGATTGTGGGGAGCGAGAAGGCTGTATGGTAGGCCATGACCGGGGTTGGCAATCTCCGCATATTTATACCAAGTAGCGACAATGCGGGTGGCCATATCGTCAAGACGTGTGGAAGACAGAGACTCGTTTTTGACAGCCAGGGCAAGGGTGCCATTCTCCCAGTACGAAGATGTAGGCATTACCATATCTAACCCGGCCTCTGCACTGGCAATCCCAGTATGCTGAGCACCCCAATCGGTGACGACAAATCCTTGGAAGCCCAGTTCGCCTTTGAGCAGGCCATTCATAGTCTTGCTATTCTGGCAACCGTAGCTATTGTTGATCCGATTGTAACTGCACATGACAGAACCGGCGCCGGCCTTGACTGCATCCTGGAAGGGCCACAGATAGAGCTCATGCATGGTTTTATCGTCTATGTTGGTGGAGAGTGATTGGTTTCGACTGTTCTTCAGCATTGATGGCGTCGAGCGATGCGCTTCCTGTTCATTTCCAATGAGATGCTTCACGCAGGAAATCACAGATTCTTGCATACCGCGAACGGTATCGCCAGTCAAGGCCCCGGACAGATAGGGATCATTGCTAAAGCCTTCCCAGTTGCGACCGCCTCGCGCTATGCGGCCTATAGGTCCAGCGACTGGACCAAGTGCAACGTTGACTCCCTTTCGCTTGAACTCGGCGCCCATATATTGGGCGCGGCTGTAGGTAAGGTCGCGGTTCCATGAGGCTCCCACATGAACTCCTGATGCGTAAGAGTTGACCATATCTGTACCTCTCACACCATTTCCGGCATCCTGGAGGCAGATCCCAGGGAACCCCAATCGCGGGACGCCTCCACTAGTCCCAGAGCAACCGTTAGTTGTAGAGGAATAGCCGTATGTGATGTTATTCTTCTCCTTGTTAGACATCTGTGCGACGAGTGACCGGGCTTTGGTGAAGGCCTCTTCCCAATCCCCCAAACCCTGGATCTCAGCTATGAGTATGGTATTAGTTATCTAAGCGGCGTCTCCGGCTGGGGCTTGAACAATGGCTGCTTACGGGTTGGATAGACGGGCTCTGAATGCCCATACGCCCAGTAGCGCTCCAGCTCGGCCACATCGGACGCACGATTCTGCACAGCAGCGGCTGCTGCTGGCTGCAGCGCAACAATTGTAGAAAGGGCCACTGACAGCTTCATCTTCGAGACGCCCACGCAGGGAAGCCGACAAAGAAGAGAAGAAGGAACTAGGAAATCAGGTGCGTGCTACTTTCTCAGATTCAAGGAGTGCAATATTGCGTGCCACTCATGCTTTTATAGTCCTCCAAGACACACGCACGCAGGCCAGACCCATGATCCCATCATGCCAGACCTCGGAACTCCCCCAGACTCGGTCTCAATCACCTATTCCCCGCGATGTCGGCTTCGTATCTGTCATGGTCGGCCGGCCTTCAGCATGGATTCTTCTAGGGTACTAAACCAACCAACCAACCAATCCCTAGCGCCAGTTGAAGAATTTCTCGCATAATATGTGGAGTAGCGGAAATTGCTTCGGGTTCGGTTTCCTTCAAGGCTGCGGGGACCCCACATTCCTCTCCCCACATTGTCGTTTAAACGGCCTCAGAACCACGCTTCGGCTGAACCCCGGTAAAAGAAACGACAGGCTGGACAGTGGTTTGTATGACTACAACCTTTCTAACTGGCTATATCTAGTGTAATTGGCCCACAGCCTGATTTGGACTTGACCCTATCTGGTAGCCAAGACTGCTCCCACGGTTTCGGAAACAGTCCGGGGATGAAGCCATGACCCATGGAATAGAGAATGGTCTGGGGAACCATGATAAACTGAAGAGATCGGCGCAAGGATTCCGTGTCCGTCAGTCCGGCAGTAGACTTCGGCATCGCAGCATACGATGTGGTAAGCTGGCCGACATTTCACTGTTCGACATTTATCTGAACCAGTTACAATGTTGAGGAAGTGGAGCCTAGATAAGATCTACACGGGTTCTAATTTGTTGTTCAAGTATAGCTCATCCTTCGACTGGCTTTTGACCCTCGACGTGGTTATTTAGACGAGGTACCAAATCCCACTTGGCAGCGTATTGCTAGGAGCTAGTCCACCGTTGACACCATCAAGTACTACATGAAGTCTTGGCTCGGGCCAGACTCGGCGCTTGAATTGCTGCATTTCTGTCAACCCATACCCAGATCCAGAGGCGGGAGTAGGGATACCCAAGCTGCTGACCTTTCTGTGGTTCTGACTTTCAACCTTCCTATGTTACTTGCGTTTCCCCGTTTTTGTGCTACCAGCCGTCCGCTCATGGGGTTGTTTTCTCTAGATATGCTCCTTATACTCCGTATCTCGGAGAGACATACGGTATCCCCATCGGAGGTTGTGACTGCGGGTCGGCGATGGAATCGGGTTTCGGCTCCTAGATGGCCCTGGCCTTTCGTTAAAATGTCCCTGTAGATCCTCCTCCTGTCTTTAACCTTACGTCATGTTTATTCTTCTCCTCGAGTGTTACGTTATTATGTTACAACGGCCTCTATCAGCAAGGATCCGGGCATGCTTGTACTTTCAATCTCTAAATCCTCCAGTATTCTTGTTCTGTCACGAGGCTCTGATTGATTCAATACCCTAGGATCTTTGTTCGCCTTGTTGTATCTACTATACTTCTTCCTTCTTTTTTTCCGGTGTCCATATAGAAATCATTGGTACTGTAGGCGTTGTGTATGATTGTACTAAGCAATTCTTTTCAGCTAGGTGGTCAGAAGCAAATGAAGTACATTCAGTAGGAGATGTTGAATTCTCCTGTTACTGAGCTACCTAGGCACTGTACCAAATACATTCAAAGCCTACCCAACCCTACAGAATACCACTCCCTGGGCCATCCCGGTCCTTAGATGGCAGTGACATCAACCCAGAAGCGAGTGTCGTCCGACTCATATTTCTTGTCGCTTTCAATTTGTGATTTGATCCATTGAACGGCATCGCGGTACCCTATCGTTATTTAGCATCGATTAATACATTGCAACGAAAGGCGCAGCATGAGAATACGCACGCTTGATGTCGTCTGTGTTAGGGTTCTGGACACCAGATTCCCCATTGCGATGGCCAGCGAACCAGACATCAAAACCGAACTTTGCCTCTCCATCGTGGCGGGCCTGGATATCCTTACCCAGATCGCTGCTGTAGGGGTATCAGTATTTAATAATTAAGCAAGTAAGCCATGCTGACGTACTTTAGAATTGCGCCGTTGCTGACATCACCAACACTCTGCCCCAGAAACTCGGATGCTGAGTGGCGGAGCATGTACCAATTCTGCTTGAAGATTCCAAAGTTCGTGGCATCTCCAGACTTGCCGTCACCTATATACGCATGATCGCGTTAGCCGATTCCATCATGTCTGCTATCATGGAACAACTCATACCATATGGATAGTCGGTGCCCATATTCTTCGTCTCAAGCATGGCAATTGCCAGGTCCATGGTACTGCCCCCGGCACCGGTGACCTGTTGCTTGCGAGATCCGAGGCCAGCGACCTGCTCAGAGCCTCGCTTGTCATCACGCGCAGCCACACTGGCGCCCTGAGGCAAGGCCGACGAGAGACCAGTTTGAAGAAGGGCAAGAGTGACTGCGACGAAAGCTTGGAACTTCATGGTGGCTGATAAAGGAGAATGAGCAAAAGACTGTTGTTGGAGGTTCTTCGATGGAATTGCGAACTGGAAATTGAGAAACATGCCAAAGAAAGCCATCGATTTATACTGAAGATGCGGATAGCTAGTTTCTGTGCTCTATACTCCTGTCAGGGTCTGTCGTTGACCCCGATCAGGCAGTTCCCAACACTTCCGTTCTAAAACTGGAAGAGATCTTCACACTCAGCCAACGGTATGACGCACTTTCATTGCCGAATCCAAGTGCAAGAGCAGAGGTGTCCTTGGCATATACGAGATGCGCCTAGCGTCTCGTTCCGAATTAGCTCTGCGGAGCAACCCCAGACAGCTTCACGCCACGCCTCCAGGGTTCAATCCGGAGCAACAGTCCGTTACCAAATCGTACTAGTCGTCGATCCAAAGTTTATCTCCTCGCTGAACAGAGATACATAGAGGCTCACGGTTCACCTTAGAGGAGTTACATCCACTTCCTATGGCCCAGCTGACGAGGACCGAGGTCCAAGTAATCATAGATTCAGGGTTTGTATTCGTCACCATGACCGATAAGGACTGACGGTCTTCGACTTGATTGAACACGGACATATCTCCATGGCCCTTGTATGTTCCAGTGCTTACCTGACGTCGGCATGTAACCATTCGACCCCCGAGACACGGCATGCGGCAGTTTTTGGTGGATCTCGTCAGCCGTCATGTTCTAGAAGTCGGCAACTCCCGGCTATTTAAAGCAGTACCCCACGTGCCTGGCGTGTAAGTATCAATCTACCACCGCTATTAGTGGAAGTTGACGGGTTCGTACATTCCGGCGCCGTCTCGACATCATGCAATATGCACGCCGTTCTAGGGTTATCTTGATGTCAAGCACCGACAGGGCTTTGTAGGACTGCGCCAGATACCGGCGAGTTTCATTGACACGGGCCGCTATCGACCTCTTGTTTCAGAGACGTCTCGCCTTGTTGAGCAGCCGCTTCTAGCCACGCCGAGCGGGAAGTAGACCCTCTTTGTGAATACGTGCAACCGTAAAAGCCTGTTCTCGGGATGCTACCGAATTGGACACGGTCGCATGAGAAGAAGACAGACAAGTCGACCTGGTCCAGCCCTGTAGTTGGACCAAATCGAATAGTGTCGTCTCAAGCTAGCCTGTTTAACGCCATGTCGGCGTCATCACAAGGCTACGCGGGCTGGCCACAGCAGGGATCTGTATATACTTACGATCGAGATTGAAAAAGAGCAATATCTGCGTCGAGAGTCATTCGTCAATGGGAGCAGCATGTGAAAGACTGGCTGAGATATTGTCAAGGAAATGAACTAGATTCTGAGATTTTCCAAGCGAGTCTAAACCTGGCCTGGTAACTTGTGGAATCATGGCGTGTTGTTATTGCAATCTCTTTGAGTTATTTAGTGAAACAACAGGGTAGGGCACGGCCTCTGTACCTGGAGTACCATCCACCAGCTACGGACTGTTCTTCAAAGATGAAAGCCGGGCTTCAAATTTCTACCGTAGCGAGACACACAAACACAGTACTAATATCAGTGCCATCGCTACATTCATAGAGGCTATACAATAATCGCAAATACTTCCACGCGGAGAGGCAGAAATGTTGGGTCCAGAAACTTGACTTTCACTACAAGATCGTCCGATTCTTTTTGTGGTCCTTTTCTTTTCTTTCTTTCTGTCTTTTTTATTATAGTATTATTGTTCACAGGTCCCTGACAACTCGCTTTCCGTATTGCACTTCGTGGATCCCCCTATTCAAGGATATGCCAACCATAACAAAGAGCTGGGGCATAGGCTTTTTTAGAGAGTCAAACTTTACCGTGCCCCGTTACGCCCGAATGTAATACCCCTGGCGAGACTGATATTCAAGAAATACCATGCATCTGTCATGGCAATTTCATATGAATTTGTCTTTCTAGCCCTGGGGCACACGCATGAAGTTGCTATGAGTGGAGGCATTCCAATGATCGCTTAGGGACGTACGGTCAACAATGGAAAGCTAGTAATCAGATCGAACAGTACCCTGGTCTTGGGAAATTGAAGCGCAGCCTCGGAAATCAAGCGAAACCAATGGAACTCTGGTAATAAAGTGCCAAACTAAAGTAGCGCCCAGCTTTGTTCGGGCGTCAGACTTCAAAGGATCTACCTTCCTAGAAGAGAACCTAGCATCCGCTAGTCGTATACATATTTTGGTCCATACCAAATCAACACGGTTCTAAGCCGTCTCAACCTAATTTGTTGTACACCCAGTGCTTAAGACTACACTTACAAGCGCCCGGCTTTGGTGGTCCACCCTTTTCAGCTATATAATAAACGATATTCACCCAATATAACCCTATTCTCTGGCTGTAGCAGTCTGTTGTTGCAGGTGAGCCTCCGTCATTTAAAACTTTATACCGTTTTGACCAGAATCCTGCGTTCCAACATGAACACCATCATCTTCACTCTTTTCACCGTCGCCCTTGCCTCTGCCATTCCCGCGCCGGGTCAGCTGGGCAATCAGGTCGGCCAGACCGGTCAGACCAGCGCAGGGCAGATGCCTCCGACGCTAGGGGCCCCAGGCGTGAAGAATAGGATGATCGGCGGTGTAAGTTAATTCATCTACCATGTTCTTGCTGGGTGTATTGCTAACCTTACCAAGACATGTGGTAAGAGTCTGGACAATATGTATGAAGAATGCACCGCTCGGGAATTCACAGGCGTGTGGAAAGTTGAATGTAGCACCCCGGTAAGGAGACTCTTGAAGCTATTCGTGCGTTGGGAAGTACACATGTACTAATTTCGTAGTGTACGGAAGGTATCTGCTTCATCGATACGGGAAGAGGTGTGAGCACTAAGCCCAAGGCGCTTTGCCACTATCCTAAGAAGGGAATTTCGTGATTGAAGGGAAAACAATTCGAGACGCGGACAAATGGCTCCTCGGGAGCTTGCTTCAACGGAGTACCAGGACGATATATTGCCATAGGGCTATGTCTCATACATTTCTTCTACCTGCAGGAATGCGCAAGGGAGAGAGTTCAGGTCCAGCGCCAGTCCAGTCTCATTCATACAATAATTCTCAGTCTACCATTTTGAAGGTGACAGTTCTTGAATATGTTCGAATATCAATGATAACTAGATCAGCCTCTTCAGAGGCATGCTCCTGGGACAGTCGGGTGGCCTTATAGAGGCTCTCTGTAAGGTACATCCGGCAGGCAAGCATCTCCTTATTCACAGTCGTAGGATATGTACTTAGAAAGTCACGCTTCAAAGGTGGAGCCTATGATGCCCCCGATCTCCCCGGTAGTAGTGCCTGCTAGAATTCCCGTACCTATTAGTCCCCCATCATTCACATCTCGAAGAAAGATACTTTTGCCTCCTTGTTGCGGGCCAGCACGAATCAGGAGCTGGTCTATGTATCTTTGAGCCTTTTGTTTGTAGTGTGGAAAATGCTGCATGACTCCGCCGGAAACAGCGACAGCCAGTTCTTCTGGGCCATTCTTCCACCTTGTTGTGGACTCCTCAGTCCGTGTGTTGCCATTCGAAGCAGCTAGTGTCAAAAAGTCTCTATGATTGTGAGGCGGTTGCAAGGCGATCTCTCCGGCGCATACAAGAAGACCAACAATAACTGCTGCGACCAGGGAAGCCGCTCTGTCCTGGACGAAGTTTGCAATGACACGAAGATCCCGTGAGGAATCCGCTGTCCAACGCCAGTCACTTATCGAAGGCTGCGGCAGCTCCTGAGACAGCTCCACTGCTAACCCCTCGTCAGACTGGTTGGAAGCCACCTTGAGAGAAAGGAAATCTGTCGAAAGCGAGTGTTCTGTAACCAGTTTCACAGGCAATGCTGAGCGTGGGATGCCTAGCACATTATGAAACCAGTCAAAGGCGATGAGCCGCACTAGCTCACCAATATACCTTCCGCCAATCATCAACTCCAACGGCTGAAATCCCGGCCTTTCGCAATGGTTGTCGAGTTCTATATCCCATTTAGTTCGGAGATCCAGCTCAAAGATTGGTGTTGAGGCACTAGATAGTGTCCACTCCGTCGACACTAGAGCCTCCTGGGCACTTGGATCCTTCTCCCGGATATGCTGGACTTTACGCTCATGTAGGTCGGCTATCTTTAATGGAACAGTAGCATTGGAGCCAGCACCGACAATGAAGCCCATTACTGCGCGCGTATTTGGGAACGAGTGGATTGTATAAGCCAGCGAGCAAAGTGTTGACGAAGTATCATTTGTCATCGCTGCAATCCTTAGCCTTGGAAGGTTGAAAAGCTTTCGTCGTTTAGCAGGCATCCGCTGCTCATCTTCATCTTCACCGGGGGACCAGGTGTGACGCTCGTAGCCATCCAGTAATGCTTGGTGCAAGTTAAGATCAGTCTTCAATGCGAAGCCTTTCCCTGTTGGCATGAGAATGGCCTCATTCAAACATTTTTGTCTAACCTTCCTCGTTAGGTTTTATCTCGCGGCGGATGAGTCAAGTTGGACATCATGATGCCTACCTGATGGGGAAGCAAAAAGAGATACCGGTCGTCAGCTCGCGCGGTACCTCTTCATTTGGATTGTTCAAGCTATCTCTAACAACATCTGCAATACAGTCTCCTATGAAGGTAAACAGTTCTGGGGCACGGTCTCTTCGCAGGTGCTCCTCGATTGGCCAAGCCTTTTCAAGTGTTCGTCGCACGCGCTGTTGATCACCCAACAAATCGATAAAGGCCACCCGGAGATATGAGAGACCCACGTAGACCGCGAGATACCGACCCGTTTCCAGTCCAGTTGGCAGTCGGGTGATGGGAGTGGGGAAGAAATGTTCGGGGGAGGCCGCTAACTTCTTATAGGTTAAGGAAAGGCGGTATGACAATTCATACAGGGTATCTATTCCTATACGAAGCGGCTGCAGAAAGCTCGAGAGATCCGAGAATGGCTTCACCGATGTGTGCGACATGCCGCCTGAAGGTGTAGCGGTAGGGAGTTCGGTTTGCGTCTTCAGCCACAACGAAATGTTGTTGCAGTTCGGCATCCCCGTGACTTGCGGCCAGGTGACTTCGGATGTTACGCTGGCCCGCTGCCCGATGTCACCTTCCATCGGGAACCCTAAATGGTTGTCTGCGGTCCATAGAATTGTCCCTAGCCATCATCGGCTTCTTGTGAGCCCTGTCGAGGCCTTTCGTGTCTTTCAATGTATACAGAATTCGTATGATGGGCGTGATTGAACGGGCAAGCTGAACAGGATCACAGGTCGTTAATATAATTGCCGATTGAGCCGTAAGTGTGACAATTATTCCAACCGTAGAAGTCCGATCAGGGGGAATTATATTTGATACCCTAGTAAAGTCAATCTAGTGCTAGAGAGTTGAAGACAACAAAGCTTTTATACTCTGCGCCAAGCTTTAGCCACTTATCCCCTTGAATATCTTCATCTGATTGGCCTAAGCGCCCGAACTTCTTCCAGTCAGAAGTCTTGCACGTCGATAAGCCTTTACCATTAAATAGTTCTTGTGGTAAGGGACTCAGAATATTCTTGATGTAGCGCTAGGCTAATAATGCTATGGGAGGTGAAATCAAATTATGTTGAACGAGTTCAAGTTCAACTTGTTTGACGAACTCTCTGATCGTCCGTAAATATATATTCCGTATCATAGCGAAGAATTACTGATTCTTCTATGACAGCCCCCCACGTTTGGATGATGGAAAGCTTGCGTATGTGTAGCTTGTGATTTACTAAAGGTGAGAATTGGCATGGTTTTCATTTTCATTATTCTTCTTATTCTCTATCCCCCTTCACTCTTTGTCAGTCGTATGCGTCACCCCAGATATGCCCCAAGCCGGCATAGTAACTGTCAACCGTATGTTTCCGCATATCAAATCTATGTACCAGAGACATTGTAAACATGTCAGCGAAATGCTCAAGATGAATATTTCCGACCACTAATTGATGATGCCTTTATACAAGAAGTTCTAGAAGCGGTAAAGCCAGTGTTATAATACTCTACAAGCGCGACAGCCAAAAGATGATTATGCGGGGTGAGTTTATTAATCTACCACACATACTATATAACATATCGCACGTCACATATTAATATACATTACTAAATTCCCTCATCAATGCAGAACAACGCACTCGTGCCTAGCATGCGATATGTACCTATACTTGGATCACGGATCGGTATGTTCGATGCAGCGAACGGATCTTAGGGAAGGCCAAAACCCGGACGGAAACAAACTTCACGGTGAACATGTAGCCCTTATCTTAAATTAGCGGTTCGCAGTCGCGATCGCGAAGGCAGCCGCCTCAGCCACATTAACGGCGTAGGTCAAGTGGGCAGGCAGGATAATAATGCTGTTATTGCAAATGGTGTCTCCGGCGTGACACACGGTTTTCACGCGGGAAGCGTCAACGTTGGGGAAAGGCTTGCCCTCATCTATCAAATGGTCAGCATGTTACAGACATCACAGATCATACGAGCTTGGATTCAACGTACATGGGTCACCGAAGAGGAGGACGCTGCTGATCTTGCTGGCGATTTCGGCAGGGAGCTGCTCAACGGCGTTGTGAACAACCTGACAGCCCTGGGAGTAACCGCTCATGATGAGCTTGGTGTCGGGACACTTTGTGAGAATCTCGGTGGCGTCGGATGCCCTGTTCGACCAGTGTCAGCTCCGGTTACGATTTTGCATTGAAATGTCGCGAGATGGTTGCGGAACATTGCAGAAGAGACGTACATTGACTTGCTACCGGCGGCGTCACCACCAGCCAGATAACTCTCGACAGATGCGGAATAGCCGTTGACACCCTGGAAGGTCAAGGCGCGCGAACCCACGGCTTCCTCAAACGCCTCATATAGAGGAGGTCCAACAAGGACACCGACCTGCGCTAGATTAAAAACGGAACCACTACGGAGGACAAGTAGACTTACGTTTCCGGGCTCACTGGTTCCGCGGGCGAAGAGGACGGTGTACTCCGTGCAGACCCCAATATATTGATTCTGGGTGGTTTGAGCACCGGTGAGATCGGCGAGCACTTGATCAAAGTCGGTGATCAGACCCGACACCGCGGTGATAGAGCCATTGATGGCAGGCAGATGAGACAGAAGGATGCTGAGGAACTCGTTCAGAGGAGCGTTTCTCTCAACCAGGGCATTACTAGGAAGAGGGCTTGCGAGAACGGTGGCTCCGAGGAGAGAAGCAAAGAGAGTCTTCATAGAAAGATGCATGGTGACTGAGGTGGAAGGGCTCCGTGAAAGCTTTGTTCCGTTGGGTTGAGGCTATCTTGCAAGGACAATCAGAACTGTGAGGGTGTCTGGGTAGCTATTCTGTCCTCGGGGGAAGACGCGCATTTTATACATCTCCCAGCCGTGCCTCTTCGATTTCCCTATACAAGGGACCTGTCTCAAGAATCATCCCAACCGGGATGGTGGGCCCCCGGCGTGGAACCTGAACTCAGGAAAAACCCGATATTCGGGCTGTTCCTTCGTAGAGTCGGCGACAACCACATGCTGTTCTTCAGTCAGTCCCTCGGCCAAGAAAGTGGATTAATCTATCAACGTTGCATCCTTGTTGGTGGACCGCTGGAACAGAGCGAATCATTTCCTGAAGAGACAAGGGTGGTTTGGTTGACTATGTTTTTTAGAACAGCAGAGTTTGACAGCGGTACGGGCTGGGGTTCTTTGTCTGCCTTGCCATGGGCCAATCCCGGGGGGCAGAAAGATAGCCCAGGCGATGACTGTGGCCTCCGACGAGCCTCTGAGAAGGCCTCGTATTCGGACCCCCCGCGGTGTTTGCGTCATGGCAATATAGTTTAGCACGGCGCCCACACAGTCATGCGCGCAGTTGGCGTCCGTTAAGCTTAGATGCTGGCCAACGAGACGCGCTGAGGGTATCCGACAAGAGTGCCGCCTTCCCCCGCATTGTCTCTAGTCAATGCACGACCCCCACCGTGGTGGAGACTGAGGAATCCTGACGATTGGGACTTTTGCTCGAAGGAGTGTGGCCTTAGCGAATGGGCGTACCAGGGTTCCCGCTCCCCCGTGACTATTCCTCTCTTGTTTTAATTCAGTAAATAGTTCGACTCCTGTGGCCCGTCGCGGAGACCCGCGCATGCCGTGACTCTGAACAGGCACCAGCAATCGATGGAGAGGCATCCGATCCCCTCCCACTGTTGATGGATCGTCTACTCTAAGCAAGTGAGAAAAGCTTCGAATCCATCGGGAAATTCTCCGTGTTCGCGGGTGCGGGACACACCGACCAACCCGATCGCTCTTACTCGCATCGGAATGAAAATCCCTCACAACTGGGCGACTCTCGTGGTTAGGAATCCCGGTATCACTACGGACCTGTTCGAGTGAGGGCTACTAGTCGATCGCATTGTGTGGTGGGAAGATATCCCCCTTTCTCGGCTAGGTGCCACCTATCAAACTATCGGTAACAGGCGAACCGCCCTGTCACTTTTGATGCTTAATTCAGCGGAGTGTGCTACGTACACTAAGGGGGGCCTGATCATGAAATACCGAGTACACATGTGCGTGAACCGTTTAGGGTGACATTGGGCGGAAATGTAGCTGAAGAGTGGGTTGATGTTGGTCGTCGGAGCAAAAAATTTTCAGGGTCTCGCATTGTGCCTGGCCTTGGGCCAATTGAAACAGGAAAAGGCGTGACTGGAGCAACAAGAGTTCTTTCTGCTTTGTAATGCCAAGAAACGGTCCCAGAAGCTTGTTGACTAACTGGTACCAGAACATTGGTGACAGATAGCTTTTTCGGACTCTCTAACTTACGTATCCGAAGAGAAGATGGGACAATCTTCCAACCTGGCTTGCTTCCTCTTCCTGTAGTCACCTTCGGAGGCCAGAATGAGGGACCGGTGAGGGCATCGCCAGGAAGGATTGTCACGGTCTTAGCCTCGATCCAACAGCACGATCAGACTGGCCACAGCGCATCCCGTTCCTAAACATACATTTGACAGGATCAACTTCGCGCCGGCTTGGCCGGCATGCCAAGAGGCGTTTCTCAAGGAACCTCTCGAACATTCATCCTGAAGGCAGCTTGGCTGCCGTACGTTGCACCTCAGGGCAGCCGTGTTTCTGCTACCGAACCACACACCAGCAACACACGATCAGTCTTTCTCTCACAATAGCATGTTTGACATGGGCTGAGGCCCAACGGATCTAGCATTACCGGTTGAGGTACCACTATCTATTTCCGCTTCACTAGCACACGCTTAACCAACGGCAACCTCTCTAGCACGACCCACCCTTAATAGGCGCGCATTAAGCGTTGCAGTGCTATTCTAGAACTTAACAGCGAATACACTAGCAGCCAAGTATCGACAGAGACGAGTTCGACTATGACAATTCACCCAGACCGACTCCTGTTGTATAGCAAAAGACCCAGATTGGGTGGGAAATGAGACATCGCGGGAGTTTTGAGCGTCGGACCCAGCTGAAAGAATTACTTCCGCCATATCTATACAGGCACTTCGACAGGGAAAAATAGTAGATATTGATAAGGGCCTGGTAGCATTCGGGCCGAAGATCCTGTTCTGACGACGCGTACACCCCTGCAGATTTCCCGCTGATTGGCTCTGACTCGACCAGGCCTGAAGATTTTTTCATTTGCGCCTACCCTGAAGACACGTGTAGGCCTTTGGCCCTCCTTTTTACAGACCTGAGTGACTTTTGCCCTGCAGCTGTGATGTCCGGCAGAGCGGTTCGAATATGCGCGTTAGTGGACCTTGTAGTAGATGATCCTGCATGATGTTTATTTTTCTCTACCAATGTGCTAAGCGTCGGCCCTACGTCGGAATAACAAGACCTGCTCGATATGAAGAACTACGGGAGATGGCCGCCGATTCTTGGAGATCTTCGCCGACAAGCGCAGATCACCTGTGCCAATATATCCTCGCATAGCGGGACGCTTGTCTGTTTCCCGGCATGATTATCGGGCTCTTACAATGACTAGACTAGTTGTTGTGGCGTAAAAAGGTATTGCTTCCCGGTCCATATTCATCTTCCGAATATCGGCGGCTTTGTGCAAAAAATTCTGTGTAACTTACAAGCGGCGAACAGTATCTGGAGCAAGATTTTTTATGTACGTGCTATGTGTATACGACCAATGGGAGACACGAGGGCACAATTAGATAAAGGATACTACCGTGATATAGCGCTACAACGCAGAGCTGAACAGCCCATGGTACAGGGGTCTCTGATAAGCACAACGTCCTTCTTAGCTAGTTCGAATACGTGCTGTTCTAGCCTACAGGGATAGTCGCGGCTAGAGGACATAGTTGCCCAGGGGGCCTTGGTGGTGAATTGAGATCTGGCTAACCTGATTGCAAGGGTCGTAGTTTGGTAGCCAGCCTCTCAGCCTGGTATTGCTTGAGGGAAAGTTCAGCTGCAAAGCTCTTGCACCCAGTACTATGCAGTCGCAACTGATCTTCTGCAGCTTCTCAGAACTCCACAGTAGATTGACTGCGCAAACGCGACGGGGAGTCCGATTGGATGGAGCTTGGCATAAGCTGCAGCGCTGGGCCCTGCCACCTTTGTTCATGTGTGGGTCACAATAATTGTATATACCATTAGTGACAGCAGAGTCTTCATGATTCCCGCTGTCTGGTTTTGCTAGATCGTCTCTTGTCCTTGGATCTCTCATCACCTGATTGCTAGATACGATCACGCCATAGTGAGCTTTGAGCATCATCTTTGATCTCGCTCGGACACTTCAGCCGTCGCATTTATCACATGCTTCCTCTTTCTCTGCGTGCTTCACCAGTCTAGTAGTATGTCTCATGCAATGTCTTGGTTCGTTATAGGTACGGGCTAAAAGGAGAGTTGACCAAGCCAGGGGTCGAACTGCATTTCGCTCAACACCGATATCAAGGTCCGCGGAGATAGCTGTAGGCATCCACACTTTCGCAGCCGGGTGGTATCATAGACCTTTTCAGGCCGTATGGCAGGATAACCAATGCCCGACTGTTGAATATCTAAACACCGCCTAAATGAATATCGTTATGCAACGTTAGGGACCGAGCCCAGTCCTCAACTCACAGGCAAACGCGAAGATAGCCAAAGATTTGCTGCATGTTAGATGTAAGGTCAGCAGAGGAAATGGTGCCATACTTGCTATCTGGAAGGACCGTTGCGACAACATTTGTTTATGTACCCTTTGTATGTCTTGCTCCAGATCACAGTGACCTTCTTTGAACCCCTACTTGGGGGCCTTCAGCTTTGCATCTTGTCTCTTAAGAGAGAGATGTTCGTATGTCTACGCTTCGAATGTTGATGTAACTGAAATCGCACAGGCTGAATGCTCACCACCCCGAAACATTACACCTTGCCGCTGCTCCTAGGAGTGGAATTCTTTGAATGATCCAAGATATATGCGCCTTGAACTCACCAAGGATTGAGAAACGGGTGTGGGAATGTGGTTCGACCAAGTCATAATCATAAGGATCGTCGGCTGTGCCGTCATGTCATCCTGTATATTACACACCCAGTAGGAGAATAGGTAGAACATAAGATAGCCCATAGTTCGCTTGTGTGCTTTCCATGTTGTGCGATCTAACAAATGGCGAAAGGTATTGTGTGTGGTACACTGAACGAAGGCGAAAAATTGCGGACTTTTGTTAAATCCTGAACATTGACTTTCAGACTACCAGGCATATCTAAATTCAGGTCGTTCCCAATCAGTCAGATCTAAGAGATCCGTCTCTACAATACGATGATCACTGGTGTTCTGGGAGACCCCTAACTCAAGTGCATGTTTATCCCGCCGCTTGTTTTCATTGAGCAGATAGAACATTAGGGCAGCTTCGACTGCGATCATCATGGACGAGGTGACGAAATAGGCCCGGAATCCGGTAGGATAGGTCGGTGCTTCCGTCGACAGGAAGAATTGTGGTGTGATAATTTGACCCACACAGTAGCCGACAAAAATCATAACCTGGAATAAGGTAGTTTTATGTCAGGCATTTGTCTAGAATACTGAAAGCCGATAGAAGCCCCACGAACTTACACTGACGGTCATTTTTTTAGTGAACCCAGCGATGTTAGACGATATCATGGACATGCACATGATGTAGGACACTGTACAAGTCAGAAGGGAATATACAGCTCCCAAGCGAGACATTTTCCGATCCGTCGGCAGAGCTGTTCTCTTGTGAGTAATGCGTCAGGAGTTATACAAGTATTCGAAGCTTACTGTATAATAGAACACTGCCCACAAGAACGCATACATTGCTGAGGATCATGGCAATGCATCGGCCCTTACCGACCCACGAGCATACAATACCCCTGCTACTGTTAGCCGGTCACTGGGTACATCGAGGATCTTAAAACTTACGCAAGTAACACACTGACAAGTTGAACGGCATGTTCTGGCATCGCAACGACAGTGGACTCGACACTGGAGAAACCAAGACCCGTGAGAATAATCTTGTTAAACGCGTTTAAGCCGCCTCCGGGTATACACTGTAAGAATACTATGGAAAACATCATCCACGCCTGAGGATCCCGGAGGGCTTCTTTGACTTGGTAAATTTTGTATTGTCGGTTGTGAAGACCCGCGTGATTTTGAAGCACCTGGAATCGCCAGTGTCAATTGTCATGAAATAGGACGGATCATGCGCGAAAAGGGGTGTTCTCACCCGAACAACAGCAATTTTTCGCTCCCGAGGCGTCAAGAACCATGCCGACATGGGTGAGGAGGGCATGGTGAAAAACACTATGATCCCCCACAGCATGGTGATGGGGCCAAAGATGAGATATAGATACTGGCACCGTCTTAGCAAAAGCTCTGTATGACAGACAAGAGGAAGGTCCTTGTCATACCTGCCATTGGGACAGCTTCCCATGCACATGGCCGATACCGTTCGAGACACCATCACCAATAAAGGCGCCGATGGGTGCACCAGCCCACCAAATACATGAGCGCAGGGCATGCTCATTCTTCGTGAAGTATTGGCTGACCAAGAGTGTGAAGGCAGGATTGTTGGAGGCCTCGAAGAGACCCAAGAAAAACCGATTGACGGCAAGCGTTGCGAAATTCGTCGAGGCGGCCGTTGTCGCGACACAAAGTCCCCACATGAAGATCATGGATCCTATCCACTTGCCAATAGGAAGCTTTTGCATGAAGATGGAATTTGGATATTGCCAGACAAGGAACCTAAAGTTGTGAGCCAGGCGACACACTTGAAGACCAAGACTGGTGATTTATACCCAAAATAAAAGATCGACGATGTCCAACTATACTGTTGGCCCTTCAGATCCTAGTTAGGCACTGTAAGCTTCCCCGGTTACTCCTTGAAAAGAGAATACATTCATTACTCACCAGATCTGTCCTGAGGCCATAAACGGCAGCAGTGGATAGAATACCTTTGTCGATGAAGGAAAGGATATAGCTCACGGTCATCTGCCAGTGGACTTCGGTCAGCAAAGAACCAAAGGGCACATCTTCCGTCGCAGTTACCATCGGGACAATGATCAAGTCAATTTTCCAGCGGACGACAGAGGCTTCCTTGTCCGTGAACTCAACGTCTATGTCGCCTGACTCTCCATTGAATATATTGATGGCATCATCGTACCCGTGGTTTTGTTTGGGGTGGTCGACCTCCATTTGTGAACAGGAAGAGACAGATATATCCACGGTCTTCGAACTCATGTTGACCCACAATTCGCGCAAAATTGCCAAAAAACGGGAGATACCAACATGTCGACTCAATAAATACGACGACGAAGGTAAGGGGGTGTCAGAAGTCGGATTTTGTTGAACCTCCGACAAGCTTCTGCTCAGACTCCCAAGACTTGTTGTTCCACACCCCAGACCAAGGGTCCAGGACGATCCCCGCACGGTTTCCGCCCCATTCTAATTTCTCACATCTCATCGACTGAATAAATTTAGGTATGCCATGTGGAGAAATGGCGGGATCGGCACGGCCCTTTCTGGTAGGCAAATCATCCTTTCACCTGTGGTGACTACAGAGTGTGGATGAAATAGGGGTTCTGGAGAGAGAGAACAGGGATAAAGAGAATCGGCTCTTCCCGAGGAATCGGCAAGCTACCGATTGTTTCAAGGCCGTCGGGAACCTACCGATGCTGCTCTATCACTAAAACTTGATAAAATGTTTTTATACAACACTCACTTATATTCTCCGTGCATTCGACATTCACAGGTTGAAAAACCTACAAACCCGGGTCAAGATAGAGAAAGGCAAAGTGACGCGAATGATCCCCTATTTTTCTCGTCTGTGTATGCCAAGCCCTAATCTTGCACGCCAATATGCCAAGCGAAGCCAGCGGCGACTATTATCAGCATGTCGTCGTGTACGGATTACCCTATGACCGCGGGTTCTCGCATGGACAGCAAGCTAGGGATAAGATTCTGCGGAATATAACTTATTATAAAGGGCCAGGGAACCTTATCGCATGGTGAGACACCATGCCCGGCGATCTTGTGTCTATCTACTCATACTTGGTAGGCCCACTGCGCTGAGGATTATTCGGGAATGCTATATTCCAGGCTTGGAAAAGTATTGGTTATCGGGGCTTGCAGAAATGCGTGGCGTCGCCGACGGTGCAGGAGTGGACCTGGAGGATATAGTGTTATTGAATGCTCGATATGACCTCTCCCACATTAGCAATCCTTCTACAACATGTGAGGAAACCACTCGAAGTCTTCCTAAGTCGGCCCCCGAAAACGAGGAAGGACCACACTATCTGTCGTATCCGCGAGCGTCTTCTGAATGTACCAGCGCGATTATTCTATCGGAGGCGACCGGAGATGGGCAAGTCTACACGGCTCAAAATTGGGATATGTCAGATCGGCTCTTCAAGGAAGACGGGATCATCTACCTCGAGGTTCATCCGCATCCTTCAGAGAATCTACCGTCCTTATTCCTCGTAAGCGAGGCCGGCCAACTGTGTCGATCAGGAATGAATTCGGATGGGCTCGGATTGTGCGCCAATTCCCTGTGTAGCTCGATCGATGCACTGCCATCCTCGCTTGACACCAGTGTGGGGAAAGGGGAAATGCCGGCCATTCCTCCATCCTCAGCTCTACGACGACTATTCCTAGAAAGCCCTAGCTATGCCGACGGTCTGAAACGAGTCGCCAGAACACCCCGTCACGTCTCCTGCAATCTGATGTTGACCACCGCAGACAATATGGGCATCTGTCTAGAAATCACCCCCCGCATGATTTTCAGGATATCCGGGTCGGCCGGCTCCGACACTCCGTATATTCTCCATAGCAACCATTTTCAAACGCAGGCGTTCTTGTGTCAGTCCGAGATCCAGGACTGTTTGGCGGGGGGCAGTTCGTGGTACCGCGCTGATCGGCTGGAAGTAGGCATCCGGAGAAAAGCGCTGATCGGGTTTCTTACAGAGTCCGATATTATCAACGCCTTCAAGGACCACGCTGGATATCCCCACAGTCTCTGTGAGCATTCCGCGCGGAAGGCAACCGGGGGTCCATTTGTGCAGCCCGGCCAGCCGAATCCTTACTCCGGTTCGACATGCACGGTCAGCTGTGTCATCTACAATCTCACCAAGAGATCGATCAAAGTGTGTAAGGGGCCTCCATGCAGGGGGAACTTTCAAGAGTTTACGCTAAAGCGGGCCTTTGAAACGAGACGATAATTTAAAAATGAGATGCAAAAACGTGCAGACAACTTGGCGCTGGAAAAGTTTTCCGCCTTCCTCTTTGAGCAAGACCCGGCCGCACGTGAGCGCGTCTGCATGTCGTTCGCCCATTTAGGAAATTGGTATGGAGGCATGTCACGAAGATCGTTCCTTAGACGGGCGTTAGATTACTCAACGAGGTCGCATTGAGGATTGAAGAATGGTGGGGGCGCCCCATTTAGTGTGTGAGCTGATTTGTCTGTGGCCTGGACCCTTTAAGACTAAAATAATCCCCCAAAAGATCAGGCAATTCTGACTCCACCCGATTTCTGTGGTTCACCGCAATCCAACATTTTCTTGCTCACGGCCAACTACCGATGACCTATGTCGTGATTGTTCCTCTTCTCAATGAATGATCCGGGGAATCTCCCATCTTCCAAGCGAACCAGGGCACCCATCGCTTGCCTGCGCTGCAAACGACGGAAAACCAAAGTACACTCGAAACCCCCGATTGTAAGACTATCATGTCGTAGTACTAACCTCACCGTAGTGCAATGGGACGCGTCCAGTATGCACGCCATGTCAAAAGGCGAGAGCTTGTATATATATGCACCTCTGAAATAAATCATGTTTGTCCAACTGACGACTGAAGCCTGCACCTGGGCAGGACTAGGCCGCATGGGGGGCGATATGAGTGAAGAGCACGCCAGCCTACTAGAATATACCCGAAGCCTAGAGAGCAAAATCGCGGAGTTGGAAAGTCATGTCCAGCGCAACACCACCCCGGCGTCGGATCACCAAGTGACATCGGTAACAACCGAGCTGTCCACGGATGTGGCCCTCCTAAGCATGAATGCCACGGCCGAACCGTTCTTTGTCGGCGCGACCGCCGGCTTTGGTCTCTCGAGAATGGTGGAAGGCATACTATCTCAATCCCCAATTCCACATACAGCGCTGGGGTCAATCGCATCCGCGAATGCACAGGCGAACAGCGATGTTGATCCGCCCATGGACACTCACAGTAGACCCGATCCCCAGCTCGAGCGGAAGCTGGCGGACATTTTCTTCACTCGTGTTCATCCCCGGTACCCATTTCTGGACAAGTTCAGCTTTGACGATTTTCACCAGTTTTACCTAGGATCTCCGGATATTCGGGGGGTTAATCCATCCAAGCTGTTCCAGCTTCATATGGTGTTCGCAATCAGTGCCCGCATTCTGCAGCTTCATCCGGAAATGGGTGGCAGCATCAATCCCGAGTTTTATTATGCGAACGCGATACGGTACGCTGATGAGGCGCTACAGGTTCCTGGACTAGAGAAGATTCAATCATTACTCCTTCTAGCGCTCTATATCCTTCGTACTCCAGGCAGTGTTTCTAATTTAGGCGGTTGGCACATCATCGGATTCGCGGTTCGATATGCAGTGGAATTGGGAATACACCGTAACATCACCTGTGTTGGGCCACGAGCACAGGATCCATATCGCATTGAGATTCGCCGACGAGTCTTTTGGAGCGCTTATGTCCTTGACCGTGCTGTGTCGTTAACTCTGGGACGCCCGTTTGCACTGTCGGAAAGTGATATTGATGTTGATGTATGTGATTTGCTCAGATGGCGAGATGATACCTGTTGGCTAAAACTTGATCTACTTGTCAGTTACCTGTTCCTCTGGAACAAAGACCTGTCGACGAAAAGGAAACTCAATTTAAGCAGCCCTCTGCGGCACTTACTGACACAAAAGCCTTGAATTTATCGTCCTTCGTTCACCTATGCCGGCTGAGGCGATTGGAGAGCAAAATAAAGCAGGAGCTTTACAGCGCTAGCGCCCCGACCATGACGCAGAAATACTCCTATGATGCGACAATCGACGCTTTACGACAGGAGCTTCTCGAGTGGCTCAATAACATCCCCTTTAAGGTCTCTGCAGACAGTCCGCCACAGGACGGCTACTTGCTGTATGACACCCCGGAGTTCTTCCGCATCCAATACAGCAAGGCCTTGCGCATGCTCCTGCAACAGCGGATTACCCTTGTCTCCTCCGAGGTAAACTCTTCCAAAGACAAGGAATACCTAGCATTAAGCGCTAGAGCCGCGGGAGACATTTGCCAATACTATCGAACGCTACACCAGAGAAAGCCTTTAGGCTGGAATTTCCTCGCCCTGCATTCCATCTTCACGGCAGGTCTCACATTGTTATACTGTATCTGGGCAGAGAGGGAGCATGCAGACCTAGCTCGATTTGAGGACATTCGCTCATGTTCGAACGTTCTCTTTGCGATCTCCGAAAGATGGCCGACCGCCACGAAGTTCCGTGACATTTTCGAGGTCCTCGCGAAACGGATGATAGACCTAGTCTCTATGTCATCTCTGCCTCACGCTAGTTTGGACGGCGCATCTTTTCTGTCGGAAGCCGGGATTGCGCCTGCTGGGGCTTTACAGGATTCGGCAGGGTTTCCGGTAATGAATCAAGACGATTTCTGGTCGATGCTGGATGAACTGGTGGATGACGACTATATCCGCAGTCAATTTCAACTGAACGGCGTAGATAGCTCATGGGGACTTTTCGATAGCTGATGCGTGACAATCAATTTTGCATTAGCGAAGCATTTTTGACATGTATAAAAGCAGACGTACAGCACTGTATTATAGCACGCCGAGGTATGTAGATTTAGTCCTTGTACGGACATCACAACTTACAACTAAATACATTTTCCACTGTGTCTGAAATCTCCCTTGCTATCATCGTAGACGTTTCTTCAGGATGCCTGAACGGACAAATCATTCTATGCCATGAACCATAAATGACTAGATAATTAAACAAAGAGCCGCCCATCTATCAAGGTATTCCCTTGGTCGCGCTCTAATCACTCAACCTCCTTTGCAGGAAGAGACAGATCAAGGGGACCGGGCAATAGGAAAGGAAAGAATTTGAGAAGGAAATAAATCAAAACTCCAATACAACATGCTAGTTCTTGCCACCATACCTAAACGCCGTTCCATGAAAAGCCCCAGACCATTTCCATGCTGCAACACCCCCTTCTTCCTGGAGGATGGGAAAGAGAGGCGGAATAGGAATAACCGCAGCGCATCAATGTTGGCCTGCCTTGGGCTCAATTCATTGATGTGATACCATGTGTTCCCTAAGACGCGGTTGCTCACACAATGACCGTAATGCATGACGGGAGTCAGTCACGTCCTCAGTCTCGTGAAGCCTGGCGTCAACGTCATGGAGGGGGTCATTGCCATTCTGGCTGCCACTCTGGTTGCTGCCATTCTGGATCAGGCTCAGGGTTCACCCAGGCTGTCTGGTCTTGAACCGGGTTTGCCTCGCCGTCCAAGGCTCGTTTCAGAGCGATCTGATGTTCTTGCTCCTCTGGTGACATCGCGGCAAAGGCGGCGGTATTGGAGTCCCATTGCGCTACGCAATCCTTGTTCCAATTGCATTGCTCAACCTCCCCGTACACCGGGTGGTTATAGCGTGGATGCTTAGAGGGCCATCCCGAGGCGTGGTAATGGTGCTTGATCAAGGCGCTGCGGGAGTTGTGGTTCCCACTATCGGAGTGGCCTTGCCCAGCTGCGAATGCCTCTACGGTGAGGACGAGAAAGCCTCCGACCAGCTTGGACTCGGGAATATTATGGAAGGTCTTCCATGCGACCTCGTGCCCCGCGTTGATGCTCATCTCGGCCAACACCGCTGACGTGAACGCGGAAGGTCCGGTTCCACTGATGATATCGTCGAAGTCCAGCTCCAATTCAGCGATGGGCTTCCCTTGTTTAACAGAAAGCTCGTTCAACCACTCCAGGATGTGATTGACCAACCGCATCATCACAGGCTGCCGTGGTTTGGCCATGAAGGTCCACTGGCAAAACGACTGCGACTTCTGGCCGAGGATGGGATGATCATTGAAGTCGGGTTCATCAATCTCGACTCCAATCACCATGTCGATGTCGTGCTCATCGTAGCGCTCGGGAATGAATCGGTCAATCGGCCGGAGAGCCTCCACGTCGATGTCAGCCCACACGCCGCCGTCAACGTACATGATCAGGTATCGCAGCAGGTCGGCTTTGATAATTTGGGCCTGGAGGGAGCGATAGGTGTCCACGATGTCCGGGCGGTTGAACCCGTCCGGGCCAAAGTGGGTTTCCACGTAGTAAAGATCATTTTGATCGGTCAGTACTTCGTAGCGATAGCCGGGGTTCTTGGACGTCCAGCTGCGAGCCACGGTAAGATCACGCTCCTCGAACTCGAAAGGCGCAACCTTCCACGATTGCCAGATCTTCTTGGGGAAAAATCGGTGGGTTTCACAGGATCGGTAGGAGAGACCATCACTTAGCTCGCTAAACGTGTCCGTGATGGAAAGATAAGACACAAACAAGATGGCCGCGAGGCATCCGGGGATGATCCTGCGGATCTGTCTCGGCAGGCACACTCCGGACATTGAGGATGTCATTAGTTACTCCGGAGACGCATAACCCAAGAATATCAATGGACAGAGGCCCAGGAGAAAAGGATACCCTCCGACGTTTATGAGCTGCGCGTAACGGGCCATGCGGAGATTGCTATCTCGTGTCCCCGCCGCTCAGCAAGATTTTTGTTGGATCATCCTGACAGCTTCGTCTTAATTTCGCTAGTAGTTTTAGTTGTCCCCGTTAGCGTCCATGGTTTCATTGGTGCTGAGTGGCTGTGTTTTAGCGTGTATCCTGGCCATGCAGCATACCTGGTCATCATTAAGCTCATTCGGGGTAAAGTCCAGATCCATTTAGTGCGCCACTGGAGCCGCTGCCCAAGACGCTATTGGCAGCGTGCCTCTTTGACTGGGTCGACGCAATTCCCACAGTACCGGGGGGTCTGGGGTAGGCCTCGGCTCCAGGGTTACATCGCGAGCCAAGTAAAGACCCCGACGCATGTGTCTTGGTCGATAAGACTCGACGAACAGATCACCGTGCTGACGACTGCTCTATTTAGTTCCCAGTTGGCCGGGTGTTATTGGCCACAGCAGGCCCTCGGAATTCTCGAACTTATCACTGCATGTGATGTGTGATGCCCTACTCCAGCATTACGTCTCTTATCTGGGTGTAAATTGGTCATTGACTCTACTCAGTCTCCATTCCCCAGTCTCCGCACGAGCCGGGTCAGATCTTCCGTCTCTGAATCAGCGCGGACCAGGATTATCTCCGCCCTCAAATACCACTTTTCGTCATCCTCCCGCGAGGGCGACTGCGCTGGCCCAGTTCCCCGGGCCATTGAATCGCCAGAATGACTAGTCACCACGAAGACAGTGCTCTTGGTGATATCCCCAAAATGCGTACAGTAGATCTGGAGGGCACCTTAGAGAAGGGATATTGGAAATCACGCCCAACGTCCCGGATCCGATCTATTCCTACGCGGGCCGCTCAATGGTGTGTTGATCACCTCCGGCCGGCATTTCTGACCGGAATGGGTGGCCATAGCAGCCCCCAGGGGAGGCGTACCGCTTACCTCGACGGACTTCGTGGCTTTGCAGCCTTCCTGGTGTACTGGGGCCATCATGAGCTCTGGGCGCACGATGGCATTGGGGCCGAGATGATTTTTGAGAATGCCTACGGCTACCAGAAGAAACACTACTTTGTCGCCTTCCCCGGCGTGCGCATCTTCTTTTCGGGTGGGCATTTCGCCGTGAGTGTCTTTTTCGTGCTCTCGGGTTATGTGCTTTCGGCCAAACCACTCTCCTTGATAAGAGCTGGGGATTATCTGCAACTGGGCGATAATCTGGCCTCTGCCTTATTCCGCCGCTGGCTACGACTGCACATCCCCGTCATCTGCACCACCTTTGTGTACATGACATATCTACACCTGTTTCGCATCCACGCAACTCCCGAGATCAAATCCAGCTACGGGGAGGAGCTCTGGAATTGGTATGTCGAGCTGAAAAACTTCAGCTTCGTCTTCCGCACCGGCGGGGAGCCCTGGTTTACTTATAATTTCCACTCGTGGTCTATCCCCGTCGAGTTCCGCGGGTCCATTGTCATCTACACGGCTCTCCAGGCCTTCTCGAAATGCCGACCCAACGCGCGACTGTTGTGTGAACTGGGATTGATCTTCTACTTCATGTACATCGCTGACGGCTGGTTCTGCGCGCTCTTCATGGCCGGCATGTTGCTCTGTGACCTGGACCTGCGTGCTGCCCGCGATGAGCTTCCCGACGTGTTCATGATGCTAGAGCCGTTCAAGGAGGGCATCTTTTATGCCATGTTAGGGATCAGTCTGTACTTGGGTGGCGTTCCCTCGCGGACTTGGGAGGAACAGTTCTTGCGAGATTCTCCCGGATGGCACTACCTTTCCTACCTGAAGCCACAGGCGGTCTTTGATTTCAAATGGTTTTATCTGTTCTGGGCGGCGACGTTCCTGGTGGCCTCCATTTCGCGGATCCACTGGCTGAAAAGCTTCTTTGAAACGTCGTTCAACCAATATCTTGGCCGCATCTCTTTTGCGTTCTATTTGGTTCACGGACCCGTCCTCTGGGTACTGGGGGATCGCCTTTATGCCGCGGTGGGCTGGGTTCGGGACTCCCATGCGACGACCTGTCCGGGGTGGATTAATCGCTTCCCTCTGCCCAAAGTCGGCCCACTTGGCCTGGAATTGAACTTCTTCGCCCCACACCTCATTTTGCTGCCGGTGACGCTTTGGCTCGCCGAGATTGTCACTAAATTCGTCGATGAGCCCAGCGTCCGGTTTGCGCAGTGGTTCTATCGGAAGACCCTGGCCCCCGCAAACCAATCATAGTATGTGTCATATAGAGAGAAAGACAAACTTTGCTATTATTCTTTATGATTTATATGGTTTCATCGTAGTCCCACCGTTCGGTATCTTTTTTCTCGCATTTTTTCTCGGCATCCCTTGTGACCATATCGTGGTCTTGGGCTCGAAAGGGGAGAAGCAAAAGGATCCACCACGGACCAATTTCCACTTCCGATGCACGCCGGAGGAGGTCACAGAAAAAAAAATAATAATAAAATCAAATCAAATAAACTAACCACGCCGGCTGCAGATAGATTAATTTAAAAAAGACTTGCGTATACCCACCGCTATCACATGAATTTCTCCTCCAGGAGCAGTGGAGCCGCCATACCCCAGACGGGAAGTTCAGTGGTTGCACCCCCGGAGAAAAGAAGCTCGACCAAATCTTAAAAGACGCCACTAAGTCGAGCTACCAACCAGGATTATGTGATGAATTCCGACCAGACCCTGGTTACATGAGGGGAAAACACGGCCGAGCGTGAGAGAATAAAAAAAGGAAAGAAGAAAAAAAAAAAAAAAATGACGCACGCGGGTCAAAAGTATCCAAACCTGCACCGTGCCCTAATTTGCCTCCTAACGCGGTTGACTTCTCCTGTTAGCTCCAAAGGAACCCTCGTACAATAGGCTGATGTTTGCTCGACTATCGGAGTCGATTTCCCTGCTACCCCTCTTTCGTTAGTCATGCTGGCGAAAGGGTTGAAGCGCATCGTCCCCGTTGTCGGCGTGGTGCTGGTGCTCGCCGTACTAGGGCTTCAATTATACCATCGCAACTATCCCCATCGCAGTAGTAGTCTTCCTTGGGATCATTCCTTTCCCAGCCCTGATCAAAGCCCCAGTCCGGATCCTAGCGGAAATCGCTGGGGTCAGCAATATGAACAACCACAATATGAGGACCAACGCACGGGTCTCGATGCCTCGTCGGACTCCAGGATAGACATGTCCACCACCCATACGGAACTGTACTCCGTATCGACGCCAGACAAGAAGTTGTTCAAGATCGACTTTGCTGGCCGACAGGCCATCAATCCCAGTATCATCCCCCATCCCGAGCAGCCGAATACATGGATCATCACCGCGCAACTGCACAAGCCTTCCGACAAGCGCAAGGGCTCGGTCTGGTTCGCCGAACTGGTCTGTGACGCGGTCTTTCGGGATGGCGGACGAACCCTAGGCTGTGTCGAGCCTCCCTTGATCCTTCCGATCGCTGCGACGGTCGGCGACAGTAACAACTGCCTGGGCGACCTGTCGTACTTCACGCTCAACATCGGACCGCACGATGCGCGTGTCTTCTATGGGCCCGAGGCACCGTACACCGTCTACGGGTCGAACTCCCAGTTCACCTGCTTCGGACAATGGATCCATGACTTCCGGCCCCTGGTCGACTGGAAGGGGGACATGGATTTCTTGTCCGATCATGGGTTCCGCCAGGCCACCGAGTTGCAACGTCCACTTCCCTACGGGGCCGTCGAGAAGAACTGGTTCCTCTTCTGGGACGCTACAGGACAAGCGTATGTCCATTACGATGTGGCTCCCAACCGGGTCTTCGCTCGGCTGCAGCTTGACGGCTCGGTCGGTCCAGACTTGGCGCCCCTTGCGGCCGCGACTGACCTGCAATGTTTACAACGACACCTTCCGGCATTGAAGGACGCGGAGTTGGAATCGATTCACCAGGCGACCAACTCTTTGACCATCACGCTCTGCCAGCGATCAGATCCGCTGTGCCAGGCCACCGACCTCAACACCTTCATCCTCACCATCTTCCAACACAAGAGTTTCTATGCATTCCATAGCGTGTATGAGCCATATGTCATGCTCTTCCGCCGGTCGGCTCCGTTCAATGTCCATGGCATATCGACTAAGCCCCTCTGGATCTCGGGTCGTGGCACTCCTGGTCAGGGCAAGAAACCCAAGGCGCTGACCACAGGAGAGTCAGAGGCATGGGACCACACGGAGATGCTATACGTGACTTCCATCAGCTGGAAAGCACCGGGCAACAAGTACCATGGGTATTTGGACGATGTGATGTTCATCGCCTTTGGTCGGGAGGATGAAGATACGGCTGGGATTGACATTGTCGCTGGTGATTTAATGAGGAATATGGGGCTTTGCGGGATGTTGTGATTTTTTGGATTCCCCTTACAGTTTTCCGTCTTCGACTTTTCCTTTCGTGATCCCCTTAGATGTATCACTAATGTTATTGCCTTCTTGTTTCTTTTTCTTTTCTTCTGTTCTTTTCTTCTGTTCTTTTCTTTTCTTTTTAGTGACATCTCAGCCATTGTGCTTGGTTGGTACGCCTCGCAGTTCCCCAACCCCATAGAGTTCGCATCCTTTCACAATACCTTTCATTCTTGTCTGCAATTCCTTATACCACATCCTCACTAAGAGCGAGGGATTGTCCGACATCAAGATAAACTTAGGTTCGATCCGCATACCCACATAATAGAGTCCCGATCGTCAGATTGACGTGAAGATCACTGTCAGATGCTAACCTTCGTAGACGGATGCATGGCCGAACGTTGGAATGAGCTTATCTCGCTAGCATGGCTACACATTGGTGGAAAGGTCGACGCCATTGTAACCCTTGTCGTACCATTTAACATCGGCGTGGGTGTGGTGTTGTACCGCGGGCCGAATGTGAAGCCATTTGATATATGTCGGCTAGTATACGGCTACAACCGCCCTGGGGGCCCAAGCTACAAGAATGAGTCGTTTTTGATTTTTCCCAGCCATGGCACTCGGGACATTTAGTCCAATGCGACGAAACAATAAAAATACCAAGGCACTTATGACTGATGGCTGAGGACATTGAA